CGGATATTTACAGCTCATAGCAGTAGGGAAACGCAGCTATGAAGCAGCGATGAAATAATTCTACGGTTGGGGTCACCGCGGCATGAGGAGCTGTGTTAAAGGGCTGCAGCGCTAGGAAGGTTGGGAACTCGCTCTCCCTTTCGTCCTAGATATTGCTCGTTTTTGTTTGAGACTGGGCCTCCTGTAGCCCAGGCTGGCCTCAATCTACATAGCATAACTTGGACTAACCTTGAACGTCTGATCCTCCTACCTTTACCTCCTAGAGCTAGGATCACAATACCATGCATGGCTTACGAGATGCTGGGGATGGAACCCATAGCTATGTGCCTGTTACACAGGTAATCTGCCCAATGAGTTCCAACCCATTCTTCGTTTTCGTTTCAGACAGGTTCTTTCTGGCACTTTCTGTAGCCCGAGCTGGCCCCAAACTTGGCCTCCCAAGTCAGGCATTACAAGTGTGTACCTCCACACCGCTCTCTGCTTCTGTCCTGTAAGGACTTCCAGGTACCATGGACGCTTCTCAAACTGCTTTCTCTCCACTTCGAGAGGCAGCACCTGAGAAGACGTGGAGCCTGTGGTGTGTTTGTGAGTTTGTGACATTCTGGAAGGGACTTTTGGGCTCCACTGCTGGTCTAGAGGAAGGATTTGGAGTTGGCTCCGTGAAATCTGGAGATGCTTGGAAAAAAGCTTTGCTTTCTCAACCTCACTGCCTAAGAGCCCAGAGGGCTGGGCACAGCAGAGCGTCAAGGCACTGGAGACCTAGACCTGCTCCAGAAGTCTAGACTAGCAGAGAGGTAGCCGGTTGTTAAGGGGACTCAGGGATGCCCAGTGCACATCTTTGGTCTTTTGGGTACAAACACTGGACTGTCCCTCACACTTCCTCAGGGCTGTGGTCACAATCCTGAGCCAGAAGCCTTCTGTCTGACTGAGGACAACAGGGAGGCTGGTAGCCACACTCGCCTCCTTGTCCCAAGAGAATGGGGGACACTTTTAGCCTATTTTCTAGTAGCTGTGACCAAACACCTGGCAGGAAGCAACTCCGGAGAGAAGGGTTGATGTGGGCTCCATTTAAGAAGGGACAGGGGCCTGTTATATGGCTCAGTGGGCAAAGGTGTCTGCTGCCAAGCCTGATGACCTGACTTCAGTCCCCAGGGTCCTCAATGACCTGACAACTCCACTCCCCGGGGTCCTCATGGTAGAAGGGGAGAGAGAGACCGCATCTACACAAGTTATCTTCTGACCCCCGTGTGTGCACAGTGGCTTGTATGAGCCCCTCCTTCCACAAACACAAATAAATGTAAGTTTTAAAAAACCACAGAAGAAAAGCTATGGCCCGTCGTGTCGGGGGAGGGGTTGCTGCGGAAGGCGGGGCAGCGGGACACATGTCGTCTGCGTCAGGGAGCAGAGATGAGTGCCGGTGGTCAGCCTGGGATCCTAGCCCATGGGCTCTCGCTGCCACACTTCAGATGGGTTCTCCCACCTCGGTTAATCCAGTCTAGAACGTTCCTCACTGACAGGGACAGAGGTTTGCCTCCGAGAAGATTCTAGACCCTGTCTAACTGGCCGTGTTAAAGTGTGGCAGAGGTGTGGCTTCTGATCGGGCCGTCCTGAGAGGTGGCTGCCTCTAAGCACCCCTGCAGTACTGTCTAAGCACCCCTGCAGTACTGTCTAAGCACCCCTGCAGTACTGTCTAAGCACCCCTGCAGTACTGTCTAAGCACCCCTGCTGTACTGTCTAAGCACCCCTGCTGTACTGTCTAAGCACCCCTGCAGTACTGTCTAAGTAAGCACCCCTGCAATACTGACATCCTGTAGTACTGACATTCTGGCCTTGACTGCTCCGCTACAAGTTGTGCTGCCTTTCTGAGGGCTTCCAGCAGCTTCAGCCCGGCCGCCCCGGTGGGGAGGGGGGAAGGGAGGCACAGGTCAGAGCACTTGAAACACCACTATCTCCCTCCCTCTGCCCTCTCCCCCTCTCTCCTCTCTGCCCCTCTCTTCCTCTCTCCCCCTTCCTCCCCCCCCCTTAAATGCCTTCAAATGCCTTCTTGTGAGGCACGGACGACCCCGCCAGGACCTCTAGTATGTAGAGGGAAGGCAGCACATAGAGTCCTGGGGCTGCCCCTCTTCTCTCAGCTCTAGCTGGGGCAAAGCCTACAGCCTCCTGTCGGTAAATGCCCCCAGAGCTGCAGAGAAAGACCCCATCACGGGGAAGAGAAAGTGGGGGGTGTTTCAAGTCTTTCGCTTTCCTGTCCCAGTTGAGTCATTGCTCCTAACGAGGTTCCAGGTCAAAACTGGGCCCTAATTGAGCCCTGACAACCCTAAGCTGTTCAAGGCTAAGCTGGCAAAGTGAAGCAAGATTTCGGACAGGAAACACTGTGGCTGCGTGGGTGTGAGGGGCCAGCTTCCTCCCTCTCTGACACTTTCTTTGCCTTGGGGACCTTGCTCAGCAGCCTCCCCTCCCCCAAGCCCGGCAAACCCTCCTGAGGCCTCAGAGGCTGCCTCGGCCACAGCAGCAGTGAAGACAGCTGGGTGATTCCTGTCCTCAGATCCTCAGCCCGTCCCCTGTCCCTCATCTCTCCTAGATGCCATACAGGACTTTCACATCTTCAGAGTGGAGGTAGCTGGGTGACTGTTTGGTTTTCAGAATGTCTGTCCTGCTGTCTCAGAGGAAATTCAGTCCCCGGCACCTTGGGCTGTCCTTGTCTGCGTTCCCTGCCTATGGCAGCACTGCTTAGGGAACAGGCACAGGCCGTGCTCCTCAAGTTCAAGCCCAACCACCGTGAATTCACTACTGCAGGAGAGGAAGTCTCAAGAATCCAGAAGCTAATTAGAATACAGTTATTGGCAGCAGAAAGAGCAATTTGCACATTGGAACTAAGTGGGTGGGTCTGGGACATTTAGGAAACAACAATTTGTAGATTGCCCCTGGGGCTACGAGTCCACCCCTCACAGGCGGGTTATCCTCAACCACAGTCCCCGGCCAGCATTCTGCTGCCAGAACAACACACCACATTCAGACTCCAGGAACAGGAGCCAGCTGCCCGTGGCCTGACTATAGACACCTGACAGGGAGCACTCCTGACCTATGCACCCGACAAGAGCACTCCTGACCTATGACCTATGCACCCGACAGGGAGCACTCTTGAACTAGTGACTTCCTCTTCTTGTGCCCGAAACCCTCATCTGCAAGCTGAAGGGTAGATGGGATGACTTCAACATCTCTTGTATTTAAAAACACACCTGACTCTGGTTTTCCCAGCAGACATAAACCCACCTTCCAACACTAGACCTCTTAGACCTCATAAATGAACTATGCGACTTTAGCCCTTGCATGTTAGAGACAAGGGGAGTGGGTGCCTCCCAGGACAGGGGTGTTGCAGAAGCAGCCATTGCCAAGCCCTTTGCCTAGGAAGGGCCACAATCTATTCTCTTTTCTCATTGCTTTTTCTTCCTCTCCAACGTTTGCTTTTGCTAGCGTGTGTATGGTAGACGTGTCCGTGAGCACCAGCCCCTAGGCTTCCATGCATGTCGAGGGGAGAATTCCGCACTGGGTGTCTTCTCCACTGATCATGGCCTCTACCCCATTCCTTCTTCCTTCGCTTTCTTCTCTGCCTCCCAGACAGCGTTTCCCACTAAACGCAGCGCTCACCCGTTGAGCCAGCCTATGAACCGCTGAGCTCCAGGGCCTACCTGCCTCTGCTCGGCAGAGCTGAGGTCAAAGGCGCGCTCCACAGGTGCCTGGCTTTTTCCACTTACACAGATGCTGAGCCCTGGAACTCAGGGCACTTCGCCGACGGCGTGATCTGGCCAGCCTAGCCTCTCTCTTCCCTTTTTTTCTTCTTTCATTTTTCTTCTTTAGTGTCTACACTCACAACAAAGTCTTTCCCTTTCTGTGCCCACTTCTTGTTCCCCTTGTAAGATGCCTCTGCCTAGCCTGGTGGTGGCGGGGCATGCCTCTACTCCTAGTGCTGAGAGGCGGAGGCAGGCAGATCTGCGAGTTCCAGGTCAGCCTGGTCTACAGAATGAGTTCTATCTAGGACGGCCAGGGCTACACAGAGAAACCCTGTCTTGAAAAGCAAGACAAACAAGACTCCACCTTCCTCAACGTTGAAGGGCCAAGGAAGATGTAAGGGTGTGGAGGCTGCTCTCCTGGGCCTTTCCAAGGCTTCCTTGGCACTGCGCTTCCACAAGAAGAGTAGGCACTTAGGGATGGGGGCGGGGAGGCAGTCTGTCCACTGACCCTGTTCTGACTTACAGAGTGTGCAAGCTGAGCAGTTGGGAGGCCCACCCAGGAACAGAAAATTCTCAGGGCTGGGGAGATGACCCCGACAGTGAAAAGCACTGGCTGCTATTGCAGAGGACCCAAGTTCAGTTTCCAGAACGCACGTGGTGGCTCACAACTGCCCGTAAACTCCAGTTCCAGGGGATCCGACACCCTCTTCTGACCTCTGAGGACTCCTGCTATTAACACGTCACAGTGTTGGTTTCTGTATGTGCACAGACATGCACTCAGGAATATACACAAAATAAAAATAATTATTTTTGTAAAGGAAAGAAACGAAAAGAAAAAACATGCCACCAGTAGGGAGTAATCCCAGTACTTAAAAGGCTACAGCAGGGGAATCTCTGTGAGTTCCAAACCAGCCTGGGCCACAGAGTAAGATCCTGTCTCAAAAAATAAAATAAAATAAAAACAATAACAAGATTCTGTGGCTGAAATGGGGTGAGTGGGGTCAGATAGAAGGCTGGGTAATACTCGAGACAGGTGTGAGTCACAGCCAGCTTGACCACTGGGACCAAACTGGGTCAAAGACTTATTGGAAGCCTTGGTGGCGAAGGAAATCCCACTACCTTATGCTCTGCCATAGACAGGGGTACTTCCCCGTCTCTATGGGTGTGGCTGTCAGGGAGACAAACAGGGGAGGGACCTACCTGCAGCAGAGTGACCTTCCCAGAGGAGGGACTCTGTAGTCTCCACCACAGGAAGCTGGACAAAGGAAACTCGGTAACTATCTTTATTATCCAAATTCCAGACGGAAAGATCCTGCCTCAGGGCAGGACTGGCTAGCTGCCAAGGTGGGTGAGGAGCGACTCCTTCAGGCAGCTCCTGTGGGGGAGCCCCTTCTGGATCCACCACCCTAGGGTTTGTGGACAGGTGCCCCCGGAGTACACGCCGAGCCCAGGCTGGCCCAGAGCGCCTAGCTGGGGCACAGCCACGGGTACTCCTGGACACAGGTGTGTAGGGAAACTCTTGGGTGTGCAAACCAAGGTTCCGAGCTGGATGAAAGAGGAGTGAGCTGTGGTGTCACCGTGGCAGACAGCTGGCCACCGGGTCTGGTCGCACCTGCACAAAGTTCATAGGGCAGAGCAGCAGGGGGCACATCCTCTCGTGCTCCTTGAGAGCCTCGCTCAGGTGCCGCAGCTCCTCTTTCAGCTTCGAGATCTCCCTGCGCAGCGCTGCATTCTCCTGCTCCAGGCACTCATACTCCTGTGAGAGAGAGGGGAGAGGTAGAGCGGGCATGGAGGTGCATGACAGCGGCCCCAGCACTTGGGAGGGAGAGGCAGGAGGGTCAAGAATTCAAGGCTAGCCTGGGCTGCAGAAGACTCTTCCCTTTTGTTTTATTTTGAGGCAGGGTCTCACTAAGTATCCCAGGCTAGCCTGGTGCTCACTGCGTGTCTCAGGCTAGCTCCAAGCTTGTTATGTTCCTGCCCACTTCCTATGTACTAGGGTTTCAGATGTGCCCCATGGTAAAAAAAAATACCTTGGTGTTTTCTGGCTTAGGAGCTCTGTCTCCCCAAAAGAATGAAATGGTCCTAATAGTACAGCTTTCCTTTCTGAATCAATGCTACTAGAGTATCATGAAACATGTCTACATGAAGTGTCTGTAATTCAGGGAGTAGTGACAGACGTGTATGTACATCTGTGTTGATAGACAAAGCATCTGCTCTCATCCCCATCACTCCAGAGTGGTCCCTCTTACCGTTTGCATCAGCTCTCATTCCCAACACTGACCTGCTTTTTGAAGGTCTCTGATGGGTTCATGGCCACCCCAATACCAAGAGCAGTACCTGGAACAGCATGTCTTGGCTGCACTGATACATGCATGGATGCATGCCCTTGGCTGCACCCATAAATGCATGGATGCATGCCCTTGGCTGCACCGATAAATGCATGGACACATGCCCTTGGCTGCACCGATAAATGCATGGATGCATGCCCTTGGCTGCACCGATAAATGCATGGACACATGCCCTTGGCTGCACTGATAAATGCATGGATGCATGCCCTTGGCTGCACTGATAAATGCATGGACACATGCCCTTGGCTGCACTGATAAATGCTGCATGCCCTTGGCTGCACCCATAAATGCATGGAAGCATGCCCTTGGCTGCACTGATAAATGCATGGAAGCATGCCCTTGGCTGCACTGATAAATGCATGGAAGCTTGCTGTCCCTTACAGCACTCTTTGCTGTGTCTGCTGCATCAGGGTGAAGAGGCTCAGAACTGGAAGGGACCAAGAGCTCTTTGTCATCCCCCCAAACTGTGGAGGAACTTTTAACATGCAGAGCTGGCTCACACATCCGTCTTGGGTTGGGCACCCCCCTCTTCAAGGGACAGTCCCTGCCATTTCTGCGATACTCTGTTCTCTTTGCAGTGATAGAAAACTTCACATCCACCCATTGAGCTGGGCTCAACCTAACGGAACCACACAGGAAGAACTCAGTACTTGGCAACCTCAGCTCCTGAAATGATGGGCGACACACTCATCCCTCCCCCTTAGATGTTCCCTGAGCCTAAATGTCTCGAGTTCTCTAAGTTCCTTGTGAAGGACTGCTAGCCCCTCTGCCCTCCAGGCCACCACCCCTGGCATACACTCCAAGTTGCCAGACTCGCTGAGATGTTACTCTCGGAATGCAGTGTGCAAGGGGGTTGATGCGTGGATGGTCCTCCCTCATGTTGGACCTAAGCCACAGGAGACTTCCCCGAGTGTGCAGAAAGCCAAGCTCCAAGTGCAGGAGTTGCTGTCACCCCTCGAGTGACTATTAGAGCCTGAAGACAGGGCTTCCTGCGACCACTGAATCCCACCGTGTTCATTTTGAATCTCCACGTGGCCAGCTCAAGGATACATGCTGTCACATGACCTCACGACATGCGGGAATTGGGGTAACCCTTCTCCCTCTTAATCCAGGCCACAGCCCACAGCCCGTCAGCAGCTTGTCCGGGCTGGGGTGTCTTTCAGCCTTGCAGAGCTGCCACTTGCACTCATGCCTAGCTTGGCTTGTTTGGTTCGACTGTGACTCAAGCATCCCGGGCACTTGCTGTGCTGAGGGCCCCGCCTCATCCCCCATCACACCTTCTCAATTACTAATGTTTTTAGCAAATATCAGCTAAGACGCCTGGCCTCAGAGCCGCCGACACACGCATGCATCCTCAGCTTAGTCTGCGCGGCTCCCCTCAACCCGACCTGCTTTCCATTTCTCTGTGAGCTGCTTAGCATGAGCTCACCACCTCCAGGAAGGCTTCCCTGGGATCACAGCGCGCACAGGTCTCACATTTCTCGTTCTGAGTTCTCTATTCAGACAGACACTATTGGATCTCACTTACAGTAATGTCTCTCCCTAAAGGTCAGAAATGCGAGCCCCAGGAACTTCCGTCACCCTCTTCTGAACTGGCTCGTGTGGTCCAACCGGTGTGCTAGCAACCACTAAGCTGTGTGGTCTGTTTTCTTCCTAGAAACCTTTAGACCTTTCTCCCTCCCGGGGCCCCCGGCAGAGGCCATCTCAGGAAGGCCTCTCCAGAATTCTCTCCGGGGCAGCAGCCGTCGCTTCCTCCTTCCGGTCGGCTGTCCTGGGTTGGTATGCCAGTGCAGCGGCCCTCCTTGCGACGGCCTCTGGCTCCTGTGTCCTCTGACCTCTAACCAGCTGGAGTCCTGGCATCCAGATCTGGGGCCCTGCACCTGTGCATGACACAGATGCAGCTATGAACAGTCCCAGTGAGCTGTTTCGCTGGGTTTTCAGTTCTCATTCGACTCCATGCTCCAAACCACCTTTCTGTGGTTCCTGAGTCTGCAGCAAGAAGTCTGGAACTTCTGAGCTTCGTCTCTAGGCTTAGCAGGGAACCAGCCTGACCCCACCCTGAGGCTCTGCTGTTTCCCCAGACCACTGAAGGCCACCAGAGTCCTCGGGGCACCTGCCACCTCCAGGGGGGGCCAGGTGTCAGCAGGTGCCCCTCCCTTTCTCTTTCCACATACATGCATTGTGCAAAATGATGGATTTCATCACCACGTGTGCCGGGCACTTTGCTCCGCCCCATCCTTGCCTGTGCCCCAAGCCTCCCCACTGGTCCCTGCCTGTCACCCACAGGGACTTTCTTTCCTGGGATTTAAGTTTTATTCTTAAGTCAGAAGAGGGACTTTTACTGATCGGGTGGAATCGGAGGGAAAAATAAAAAGAGAAGCAGTAAAAACAATCAGGCGGGATTAATCTTATAACTAAGAGGCTCTGGGAGGGGAGGCCGAGGCCATCGAACACCAAGTAGGAGCAAAGAGCAAAGAATGTAACCATCTCTCAGGGAGGAGAGAGGACTAGACTTAACCTAGCCAAAAAAAAAAAAAAAAAAAAAAAAGGAAGAGGGACCAGAGCTCAGTGGTGGAGCATCTGACTGCAGATCAAGAGGTCACCGGTTCAGGTCCACCACCGACACGTCAAAACAGGCTTGCTAGTTCAAAGTCAGTTGACTGCCGAGGGAGTTGGGGCTTCTTGGCAAACGGAGCATCTGAGGGCGCTGTTCTACCCGACAGCCCCCAATATCTAAGTCACACCCTCAAAGCAGGACCCTCAAACATGGGCGGCAGAGCTGCTGCAAACATCAGGTGAGCCTCAACGCGCAAGCACCCGTGAAACCAGAGTTCAGTCCCCCTGTAATCCTAACGCTCAGGAGGCAGGAGGATCAGAAGTTCAAGGTCAACCTCAGTCTGATGCCGGCCTGGGTGACACACGACCCTGCCTCAGAATAACCTAGGATGAGAATCGACTCGCGCAGGTGCCCTCTGACCTCCAGATGCCCTCTGACCCCCAGCACCCCCTGACTCCACACCCATGCCACGGCACATGCACACTCAAATGTGCACAGTAGACAAATTAAGCTGTAATAGAGCAGCGGTCCTCAGACAGAGCATCTTAGTGTGTGTTGCTGATGAGTGGGCGGTGGTCTTGCACCCAGGGGGCAAAGCCAGGAGTCCTGCTCAGCATCCTTCAAGGTCCTGCCCAGCCCCACCCACACCCAGCAACGAGGTCCAGTGCCGGTCGGTCGTGCTGAGGCTGAGAGGTCTTTCTGCGGTCTGTAGGGCCAGGCTCATTTGAGGCAGAGGACACATGAGGATGGATAGAATAAATGGTGTGATGGACAGGAGTAAGCAGAGGTCTCAGGACACGGTCACACAGAGGACCCGTCTCACAAGTGAGACAGCTAAACTCGGAGAAGCCCGGAGGCCTGAGACCCCATCTCCAGTGTCACGGTCAACCCCAACACTCATGCATCACCAACTGTGCCTTCTTTCGGCAGTGTGGGCCCGGACTTCCCCACAGTAGTCGCAAGAGTTGAGATCTCAGGACTCTACAGTTGGCCTGTCCTAAGCCCTAAACGAAGAGGGCTCCCATTTGAAAAAGTGCCACCAGCAAGAGTCCTACAAATTAGTGTCATAATCAGTTTCCAAACCGTGTGTGCTGTCACCAGTGTTCTTCCCGAACAGGCAAGATTTGACAGCCCCATGACAACACTCACCACAACCCCACATTGCCCAAGCCACTTGTCAGTTTGTGACATTCAAGGCTCCCAAGGCTGGCATTGCTCTCACCCTCGTCTGACTCAAAACTCTTTTCTCGGTCTGACATCTTTGGGTGCTTGGTCACGTCTGGCTCATTTCTCAGCCAGCGCGGCACAGGCACCCTGCAGCTCCATCGTGGCTCCCATCTGGGAGAGTAGACTCAGCCTAATGCTGCCCCGACAGAAACGCAGATCCAAGCCCAGCAAAAAGTGTCAACACTGAACTCTGAGGGTCAAGGACACTTTTTAGCAACCTCGGCCTTGAGGAAAACTCCTAGGAGTCCCTCAGTTTGGCCCAGAGGGGGAGAGGGAAGCAGCTGAGGAACTCACAAAAGCGAGAGGCCGGGGTATCTTGGGCTAAGGGGCATCTGGCGTAAGCGAGGGGCACAGAATGGACGGCCACTGTGAACATTCTTGTCCCAAACACTCCCCTCTGTGACATTCGCTGAAGAAAAGCCCACAACCAGAGCCACTGTGACATTCAGGGTTCTACTCTGCACTTGGGGACCGGGAGAGGAGAGGACAGGGAGGCGCTCGGGTCATGGGCCACTCCCCACACGGAGTCAGGCAGTCTCAGCTACCAGGCGGCTGTTTCCCAAGCCCACAGCTGGCTTCTCACCAGGTGAGAGGTCTCCACACACTGCGTTCTTTCCTCAACCTGAATGTGTGCCCTGGGAGTCCCAGGTCCCCTGGGCTTTATGTGCTAAGTGCCCGCACCCTATGCACCGGATCTCCGTGACAAGACTGTCTACCCCTCTTTTTACAGGCCTCACCTCCAGGATGCCCAACATAAAACACAGATTTCCCATAGCTGTAGCATCCTACGGAAGGAGGCTGCGAGGTAACCGTGAAGGATTTCCCACAGGTGTCGTTGGGTCCGTAGTTGGCTCCCAGTGCTGGCTGTGGGACTGTGTGGGTTTACACATACCAGTCAATGAAAGCACAATCGTGGCATTGCAATGGCTGAATGTGTCCCCCCAACGGGCTGGCCTGAAAACTCAGTCCCCAGACAGCAATACTGGGAGGGAGGACCTTGGGGCGACAAGTCACAGATGCTATGCTCTCATGAGTAGATTATGTCATTAACTGGTGATTGGGCTATGATGGGAGTGGCTGTTTACACAAGCCAAGTTCTCTGACTTGTTTGCTGTCCGGCCTTCATGCCCTCCACTGTATGACCACATAGCACAAAGACCTCACTAGGTGCAGAGCACAAAGCCCTCACTAGGTGCAGAGCACAAAGCCCTCACTAGGTGCAGAGCACAAAGCCCTCACTAGGTGCAGAGCACAAAGCCCTCACTAGGTGCAGAGCACAAAATTCTCCTTCCTAGGTGCAGAGCACAAAGTCCCCACTATGTACAGAGCACGAAGCCCTCACTAAGTGCCGTGCAGACACCAAGTAGATGTGGTACCATTTTTGAAACTCCTAAGCCTCCAGGCCCTGAGCCAACATTCTCTTCTTTATCGATGGCCCGATCTGTGGTATTCGGTGACAGAGAAAGCAGGCTAGATACAGGCTGCTGATGGGAGAGATAAGCAAGGTGGTTAAGCGCCATGAGCTACCACGTGGAGGTGGCGAGAAGAGAAAGTCTCGGTGAACAGACCACATTCGGCCACGAAAGCGCATGCAGCAGAACCCCAGGGGACGCCTAAGCAAAAGCGAGGTCCTGACCGAGCACTCGGCCTGCCTGTAAGCAATGCATGGATTGCTAACGCTGACGGGAGGACGGGTTAGTGGAGAAACGTCCCACCACAGGATGAGAAAGCAGCGGAGTATCAATCCTTGATCAACGGCAACCTTTGAGAAAAATACAAATGCTGCAGGGTGGTGGTGGTGGCGGTGGTGTTGATGGCACACACCTTTAATCCCAGCACTTAGGAGGCAGAGGCAGGTGGGTCTCTGTGAGTTCTAGGCCAGCCTGGTCTACAGAGCGAGTTCTAGGACAGCCAGGGCTACTCAGAGAAACCCTGTCTTGAAAAACAAAACAAAAAAGGAAGGAGGAGGAGGGGGGGAGGGGGAGGAAGAGAAAGGTGGTACACGCCTGTCATCACAGTACTCGGCAGACTGAGGCAGGACGGAGACTCTATAGGCTACATAGTGAGACTGTCTCAAAAACAGATTATACCAAAACAAACAAAAACCAGAGGTAGAACAGCTTGACAGCAGGCAGTAGCTGAGAGTTTACATTTGATCCACAGGCACAAGGCAGAGAGGGAGAGAGCTAAACGGGGAAGGTGTGGGCTTTCGAAATCTCACAGTCCACCCCCAGTGGCACACCTCCTCCAACGAGGCCACACCTCCTAATCCTTCCCAAACAGTTCCACCAACTTCCATACTGAGCATTCTAAAGTATGAGACAATAGGAGCCATTTTCATTCAAACCATACATGCAGGATGAGGCAAGAATTTGAAAGGGAATTAAAAGCACAAAGAGACATTTTGTTTAGTTTCAATTTTTATTTTTGATTGATTGAGGGTCTCATGTAGCCTAGGCTGGACCTCAAACTTGCTGCGTTGCCAAAAATGGCCTTGAACTCCTCATCAGCACAAGTGACACCTCACCTAGCTTCATTCATTCATTCATTCATTCATTTATATACATTTATGTTCCTTTTTGAGACAGGGTTTCACTATAAAGCTCTAACTGGCCTGGAACTCACTCTGTAGACCAGGCTGGCTGCAAACTCACAGAGATCTGCCTGCCTTTGCCTCCTGAGTGCTGGGATTAAAGGCGTGTATTATCACCCCCAGTAAAGTGTGTGTGTGTGTGTGTGTGTGTGTGTGTGTGTGTGTGGTGATGCTGACCTTGACCTTCTGACTGTCAGCCTCTACACCCGAGTGCTGAGGTTCAGACTAAAACCCAGGACATCTCTGTGCATACCAGGCAAGCCCTCTACTGAACACCTTCCCCAGAACTTTACTTTTTACTATTATTATTGTCATTTCTTAAGACAGTCTTTCCCTAGTTCAAACCAGCTTTAAACTGCCTCCATCCCCCACCACCCCCAAGTGCTGAGAACAGGTATATGCCACCACTCCCTGTTGGGCCCCAGGCCCCACAGGGTCTCTGTAAGTTGCTTGTCAGCCAATAACCACAGGTGCATCCTGTGTTCTCGTCCTGGCTTACAGCCCCCACGTTGCCCCACTGGCATCAACCTCTAATTATGAAAACATGAATTCTTACACCTGGAGTTTTCCCACTGCGCTGTAAATATATATCTGCTCCCTCTTGCAATTGCAACACACACACACACACACACACACACACACACACACACACACAAACTCTCTCTCTCTTAGCACAAATGACTGAACGTCTCGTCTTTCATTTAAATCTCCAGACTTGCACCCAATACATTAGACTTGCTCATGGTGCAGGTGCCACAAGTGGAGGCCCCAGTGAGATTGGGAAAGAGAGAAGACCCTGAGAGATCGCCCTCGGAGGCTGGCCAGCAGGAAAGGATTTATGAGGGTGAATTGAAAATGGGTACTTCAGCTTCTAAGAAAGAAACAAGGTACTGGTATTAGCCTGATGTACGGAATGAATTCCAGGACAGGCAAAAGTAAACAGAGAAACCCTGTCTCATCAAAGGAAAAGAGTAAGAGAAATAGAGTAACAATAATAAATAGATAAATAAAAAAGCCACATAAAGATGGAAAATACACAGAGTCTGGACACTGTATGCTATTGTGTTGTCTTTGAATTGTTTAATTGCTGTGGAAGGAGCAACAACTGCTAAAAGATATTTGATTATCAATGCTGCTGAATTTACCCAACTTACATATTTTAAAACTTAAGTATGAGGATATGCTACCTTGGAAAAGAGATGTTATTTGTGTTTCCAAAGAAAATGAAAAGCTGTGGGTTCCTTCCAGACTAACATGTTTTGATGAAGCAGTGGCCCGGGTGATCCAGCCTTCAGAAACAGCTGGGACAAGGCGGCCTTGCAGACGACCACAGCCAGGATTTCTGGGTTTTCTTAGGATCCCCATGATATTCCAGCAACCCCCAAATAGCAGGAAGCAGTTTGGAGAGAATGACGCCCACGTTCCCAAATATCGTTTATAAATGTTTTCATTTAAACAGGATTGGTTATAAATAATTAGTGATCACAACCAATCTCTTTTTAAAGGAAAAAAAGGGGATTATATAGAAATGAATACTTTGCATTGGAATGGATTTTCATTTATTGATACAAATTTAAGGCCAATTTTGTGATATGCATATTTCTCTTGTTTACATGGCAGGCCATTTAATTCAAAGAATGGAATGAGCTGGGTCCCTATTTCTGGGCCTTGTAGTCATAGGACTTATTATCATATGCTTCATTTGGCTAAGGCACCTCGGCACTAGACAAGCCCAGGAACAATTTGTCACTCAAGGGCCACAGAGAAACCTTCAGCTCAAATGTGGTTGAACCTATAGAAAGATTAGGCAGTCAATGATGGTTGAGACTAAGGGGATGCCAGCCAACCTAAGACAGGAGGGTCATGCCGCCTGGGTGACTTCTCCATTGACAGGTAAGGTGGGTGTTAATGTCCTAGTCACCTGAGACAGGCGCTAATTTATATATAAAGAAGGGGGCCCCAGCCCCCACGGGGTCTCTGTGAGTGGCTTGTCAGCCAATAAGCATAGGTGCATCCTGTGTTCTAGTCCTGGCTTACAGCCCTGGCCTTGCCCCACTGGCATCAACTTCTAATTATGAAAACACGAACTCTTACACCTGGGGTTTCTCCACTGTGCTGTAAGTCTGTATATAAGACAGCTCCCTCCTTGCAATAAAGATAAGTGCGCACACGCGCACACACACTTACTTGCTCTCTCTCTCTCTCTCTCTCTCTCTCTCTCTCTCTCTCTCTCTCTCAGCACAAACGGCAGGACGTCTTGTCTTTTGCCCGATATGTTAGACTTGCTCATGGCGCAGGCGCCACAACTCTCAGCTGATGTGTGACCCTTTAGTGAGAGAAAACGCAGTGTGGGAAGCACCAGAGGCGAGGGCTGAAGGGAAGAGGCCAGTGAATAAAGAAGCAAACCAGACCCAGCACAGTCAACCGTGTAGAACCGTGAGGAGCATGGCGATGACGTCACGATGGTGATGTCATCACCCCGGCCCCTCCCTGGGGCACAGGATGGCTGTCCCTGAAGGCGGTCCCGCCCTGACCACAGCCTCACCTCATGGAGCTTGTCAGCTTTCTGGGTCTGCTTCTTCCGGCTTCTCTGAGCAGCAACCCGGTTTTTCTCTCTCCTGCGAACCTTCCTGTCATCATCCTCGGGGCTCTGGGGGTGACATGTGGCAAAGGGACAGCGCTCAGTCCTCTCATCTCTGCTCACCGAGCTCCACCGTCCCTTCTGCTGCTGTGGACGGCGCCCCCCCACGACACTGGTGGCATGCGGCTGGCCCTTGTTGAGGGGTGTCCCCGACCATTCTGGGCCTTCACCTCAAGTCCATCTCCACCCCGCCCGTCCATCCTGAGAAACATACAGTGAGATTGTCATTTTAAAATGAGGAATAAGGGGCTGGGGTGCAGCCTAGGGGTGTCACGTTTGTGTGGGATACGTTAGGCCCTGAGTTCCATACCCAGTACCACAAAAAAAACAAAAATACCAAGAGACAGGAATAAGAAACTCAGGTTAGGGAAGTTCTCCAGGTACCGCGGCCAGCGTGGGGTGAGCGGGAAGTGGAACTCAGGTTTCCCAGCCTCCAAACCCAACGTTTGCAAACCTCCACCCCACAGGGCGTTTGCCTGGAAGAGCTGTGCTGTCACTGCTCATCTGAGACAGGGAAAGGCCAGGGTAGCCACTCTCTGGAACTTGCTGGGCCAGCCTTTATTCTACCGCACACTGGCAAGCCCTTCTGAAACCGTGCGGACCATAATCATGCATTGATTACTAACTGCAGCTACACAATTCTCCCAGTGCGCGGAACGCCAATGACAGACATGCTCACTTGAACAATGCTTGGCTGACATTCTCTTTCAGAGGTCAGGGTTATTCCAAATGCAAGTTTGTGATGTGTCTTGAAAGTCCTTAACCAAATATCCAAAAGTTCTTCATGAGGTGGCGAGAAACAGGCAGGCAGAAAAATGCTCCTACCATGGTGAGAACGTATTCAGTGGAAAAGGTTAGCTTCCCAGAAATGCATTAGAACCATGGAGGAAGAAGAAAAAATAGCCTTCAAGATTAAGTCCAAAAGACGTCTAGAAGGGGAGGGAACTCAGAGATAGGCTCAGGGTGTAACCCCCAGCTCAGGTAAGAATAGACAGCTTGCACACAAAGGGCGTGTCATGGAGATGCGGTTCAGGAGAACACAGGAGGGGGCCAAAATATGTCTTCTAGAAGCGGTCTTGTTTTGTTTGTTTGCTTGTTTTAACAGAATTTTATGTAACCCAGGTTGGCCCTGAACAATCCCCCTGCCTCCCTAGCTCTGGGATTATAGGCCTGCAATTACAGGCCCAGCAATCCAAAGAGCCTTGATAAACATCCAGGTGGATGGGCCGTACAAACGACAGAAGTGTAGCGCTACACTCTCACAGATCCTCCTACAAACGCAATTCACCCATCCTTCCAATGTATGTATTGACTAGGAACCTGCCACGTACTCAGAACTCTGTTAGCTGCCCCCAACTGTGATCAGTTCCAGCTGCTGAGGCTGGCCCGTGATGTAAGATTTTGACCCCTTTATTTTCCAAAGCCAACAAGTCTGGGGGCAAGGGACAGCGTGCCTCCTGTCCTCAAGATCCATCCCTGTAAACTGGACCTATCACCTGTCACAGATGATCACACCTGCCCACTCCGCAGAAATCTTACATGGAGACACAAGTCCTACACAGCTCAAATAATCGGTGCAAAAAAAAAAAAAAAACCATCAGGGAGTTGATGCTATAGGGTTCAACTTATAGATAGGGAAACTGAGGCTCGGAGAGGCGAAGGAAATGGTACAAGGCTCCTCCACCTGCGTGGCTCAGACTTTGGAGTCTCCCCAGGACACGACATGTCAAGCATAGAATTGGGGGGGGGGACTAAGATAAAATCAGCTAGTTGCTTTAGCCAAGAAGGTTCCAACATCTAACTCAGCTTCTTGTGGTGCAGCTGCGAAAGTTGGGGACAGCAGAAGGGGCTGATCGGATGGGGGCCAGGAGTTTCCACCCGCGCTGGGGGGTGGAGTCTACCCACTAGAGGCACAGCCCCACACCGGCAGGCTGACCTGTCCCTCGGTCCCCACGCTGACCTTAGCGGGTGGGGTTGGATGCAGGGACGAACCGCCCCTTTGGGCTGAATTCCCAGTATGGCAGCTCTGGCCCTCTCCCTCCAGCGTGGGCAGTGGGCAAGGACGCAGTGGCCCCCAGCAGCACGCGGACCCACGTGCCCGGTGCCGGCGAGTCGGCTTGGACTGCATCCTTCCCAGGCCCCCGAGGCGGGTTGAGCGGGGCCCTCTCCCTCGCCCTCCCCTCCCTTCCCCGCACCCGGCCCCGCGTCCACTACCTGCGGCTGGTTCCCAGGCGCTGCCACACTCCTCTGCAGGACGCTGCCCGCTGGGGGCCCTTGCGACATGCCGCGCGCTCACCGCACGGGGCGCCCTGAACGCGGGCTTCTGCTACCCGCGCTCCGCCCGCATCCCCGCACCTGCCGCCCCGCCCCGCTCCGCCGCTTCCCGCTCTCCCGGCTCCGCGGCGCCCTCCCGCCTCCCCACGCCCGCGCGCCCCGTCCCGTCCCGTCCCGTCCCCGCCCCCTGCTCCCACCCCGCCCCCGCTTCCTCCTCTCCCCGCCCTCTCGCCGCACCTCGGGGTCCCGGATCCCACCCAAGTCGCTCTTTTTCCGCTAGGGGCCCCGTGCTTCGTGGAAGTCACATGGCAGCCCCGAAGCCCACCCACGGGAGGAGAGGCCGGGTGGGTGGGGACGGGGTGCCGGCACGGCACAGCCATTGGGGTCCCCCAGCCACTCTCAAGGAGATCGGGCGAGAAGCACCCGAGGGCTTGGGTTGGTGGCTTCCCTGTCCCAGCGCGGGTCGCCGGCGATGGGGGGAGTTTCTTCCCGGCGAGGCTGCACCTGGACCACTCTCACTGCCTCCGCAGCCCAGTGGCGCCAGGGGGCAGGGACGCTACGGAGTCCCCTCGGTAGCGGGGCGTTGTCTGGTCCAGTAGGAGGGCGGGGGAGGCGGGGTGACTCCGAGGGTGAACTCTGATGGGGGAGGAGGGGCAAGAGGAGGTTGTGAGCAGAAACCACGAAAGGCGTCCCAAGAATGTATCTGCCAGGCTAGTTCGTCCTTCGTCACTCATTCGGGGGTCTGGGCAGACCCTGGTAGGCTTCCATGGACCAGCCACTTTTGCTACTTCAGGATTAAGGTAGCACTAAGGACTAAGACACACGGTTGCTATGTTCGCACCAGGCATGTAGAGGCATAGCGCGTCCTCCTTCACCTGCCTGGCAGTTTTTAAATTGCGAAGTCAAGATGACTGTGCCCAGCAAAGAAAAAAAAAAAACTAGCGGTTGCAGGTTTGTGGTCTGCTCATAGGGGACGGAAGCTAACCACGAGCTGGGGGGCGGGTGGGAACCAGACGAGAGGGGCCTTCCTGGGGTTTTCGTTTGGGCCTTCTGGTTTCTGGGCAGTAGGAGAGGTGGCCTTTCTGAGTCCCAACCCAGTGTGCATGGCTCCCATGCTGGGTGTTCTGCATAGATTTCAGTTTTGACCCCCTTCCAACAACATAACGTGTGTGTGTGTGTGAGTGTGTGTGTGAGAGAGAGAGACAGACAGACAGACAGAGACAGACACAGAGACAGAGAGACAGAGGCAGACACAGAATGTCAGAAAGACAGAGACAATTACATTTCACACAGTATACAGAGTACCCAGCACAGCACCCTGAACTTTGTGTGGAGCGATCCAGGACCCCTGTTCTTGAAAATTAAAGTGACTCTGTTAATTGAATGTGGTGGCACAAGCCTTGAGTTCCTCCACTCAGAAGGCTGAGGCAGGATTCCCATGAGTTCAAAGCCAGTCCGGGCTAACAGTACATTCCAGACTATCTAGAGATACATATCAAGACAAGATCTCAAAACAACAGCAAAAGACTAGCAAAGGGAGCGACTTCGGGGGCAAATGGTCATAACTTTTAGCAGTTTTATTCTGGGGCATCTAAGAATGGAGGAAAAATTCCTGGACATTTCCCTGCACTCCAATGCTTTTATTCTAGCCATGGTCTCCTTCCTGTCCTTGCTAAGCTACACCACATTCTGAGTCCCCGCAGAACCCGGGACTTGAATCAGCAAAGTCTACCTATGTGATCAGAGAGCTTTGCAGACATGGCTGGCCTCAAATTCAGAGATGCGCCTGCCTCTGCCTCCCAAGCTCTGGGATTAAAGGTGTGCGCCACATGGCCTGGCATCGGATGGTTTATGTCCCTTCACGTCAGTCTGTACACCGCAGAAGTGTCTGGTGTCAGAAGAGGGTATCAGATGCCCTGGAAATGGAGTTATGGGTCAATGTTAGCCACCATGTGGGTGCTAGAAATGGAGCTGGTTCCTAAGCAGCCAGCTCTCTTTACTCCGGAGCTGTCTCTGAGCTCCGGAATTATCATCTCATTTGCCTTCTTCAACTTCTTGAAAAGGTTGGCACTGGCTTCCTTACACACTCATTTACTATATGGCATATTATATCTACTTCTGTTATTCCCATAATACTATTGCAGTGCTAAGCTCATTTGCCACACCAGAACACCTACTCTTATCTAACCAAGATGGATACTAGCCTGGTCTATGCATCAAGTTCCAGGCCAGTCAGAGCTACACAGAAGACCCTAAAACAGACAAACAAAAAAATTGGCGTGGTAGCACCAACCTTTATTCCCCACATTCGGGAGGCAGAGGCAGAGGCAGATGGATCTCTGTGAATCTGAGACCGGCCTGGTCTACAGTGTGAGTTTAGAGAGACCCTGTCTCCAAAAACCAAAATAAATACATAGGAGAGAAGAAAAAAAGCATGGTATGATGTGTCAGTGTGCTATTTATGCCACGATGACCCTGATCCATCCTGGGGGGGGGTTGCCATAATTCAGAGCTAGGTGCTCCGGTGGTTCGATTCACCAGAAGATGATTCTTTCCAATAACAAGCTGCTTAGACGCTTGGAAGTCCCCGTCAGAAGTTCACTCCTGCTGTTCTCTTTAGAATCCTTGCCTTCTGTTGAGTGTCCTCTCGTGGCCTTTCTCAGGGAGAGAGAGAGAGAGAGAGAGAGAGAGAGAGAGAGAGAGAGAGAGAGAGAGAGAGAGAGAGAGAGAGAGAGAGAGAGAGAGAGAGTTTTAAAACAGAGATCAAACAAGGCTCCTCTGCAGGGCTGTGGGGACACCTGGAGGATATGGTCCAAGCTGCATCAACACAGAAGCAAACTGTCTGGCCGTTCCCGACACTGCAGGAGCCCGCCCCGGCTGAGCAGAGGTGTGGCATGATCTGACCTCAGTTGCTACCGGCTCCTGATGGTTGCCTCACACAATATCAGCCCCAAGTGGAGATCCAGCATTCAAAACAGGAGCCTGCGGGTGCTCTTCCAGACGGGAGCAGTAACATTTGCAACGGGATATTTAAATCTTAGGAGCAAATTTAAATCAACTGAGAGACACGGGAGGTAAAGGTCAGGATTCAAAGGCAGGGCTGGGAAGACAGTGGAGGCCCAGGCCAGGCTGCAGGGAGCATGTCGAACGGGAGGTTCACAGTGCCTAACTACCACACCCTCCTGACCCAGAGTGGGCCTTCTGTGCTTGCCGGATGATGCGTGTTCACGGATGCCTTGGTCACACAACTGAACAACATGCCTGTCAGGACGACCCAAGGGGCCCAGGGAGATAGACGGCTCAGGGGTTAGAGTGGGGGGGGGAGCATGAACTGGAGTTCAGGTTCCCAGAATCCTTATAAATTCCCAGTGGGTGTGGTGGCCTACCAGGCGGTCCAGCTTTCTGAGGCAGAGATGGGGTGGGGGGCTGGGGGGTGTCCCCAGAGCAAGCAGGCTGGTGAGACCAGCCATATCACTCAGTGGAAGGGTGATCACGACCGATCAATCCTCTACCTCAACCTCAGGCCTTCAATCAAATGCACCAGCAAGTGCGTCCCCACATGTGCAGACATGTGCGCATGCATATATACACACACACACACACACACATGCACACGCACACGTACACACACCATAAACACAGATCAAAAAATGGAATAAGGAAAGTAGAAAAAAAGTAAGGGAGAAAATCCTTGCTTTGGTCTCCAAGCTCCAGAAGCTCCTGTCAGTTGTGCCACAGAAGAGACTGTTCACTTACTGCCGACAGACGGGACAGTAAGCAGAGAACGACCCAAACTTGGGACGGGGTGGGCCACAGCTTTCCAAGGCCTGGCCCTAAAGACTCAGTACCACCAGGGTGACCCTACCTTCTGAAAGTTTCATAGCATCTCAACGTAGCGCCACCTACTGGGAAAATCACTCAGAACAGGAGCAGGTGGGGACCATTTCCAACGGTTAACATATCTGTAAAAACAAGACATTTAAGACACAAATGGGTTAAGACCATTGTCTCTTTCCAGCTCATCATTCCTTAACCCCTAGAGCCAATTCAAGTTGACGTGACTGCAAGAATTTGCAGGACCCCGGACAAGGAAGGCTTAGCCGGGGAAGCTTACGGCATGGAGATCTTCCTAAGTGGTTTACAGACACTGGTGTATCGGCACAGGTTTTCTTCGTATGACCTCCAGGAATATTTCCACTGTCCTCTGTGTCAAACTATGCAAACAGCATATGTTCTACTGAGATAAAAAACACCTCCCACACATCCCGGCACCAGAATTATGTGGGCGGTAGAGGAGAAGTCAGATTTGAACCAAACACCCTAAGCATCCAGCCTGAAAATTCTGTGTCATCAAACAGAAAATGGTAAGCGTCAGAGTTCCTTCTTGTTTACAAACTCTTCAAAACTGAGCCCGCTCTTTCGGGACTTTAATACAAGCAGCATACATGCATGTAAAGTTACTCCCTGGCCTTTTTGTGTGTTTCTTGTTAACGTGAGTGACACTTCTCACAGAGCTTGAATAAGGTTTAGCTGCTTTTGTTACTATTTTAAGAGTGTGAGTGTTTTGCCTGCATGTATGTCTGTGCATGGTGCCTGTGGGCCCCAGAACAGGTCGTTGGATCCTCTGGATCCGGAGTCAGACAGCTGTGAGCCACCCTGTGGGTACTGGGAATCAAACCCGCCTCTCTGGAAAACCAGCCAGTGCTCTTGACTGCCGAGTGGTCTCTCAAGGCCCTTGAATACGGCATTTTAACTGCTACTTGGAAATGCACTAGAATAGTCCAGTAAACAAGTCAACAGAGGTAGACTCCTGACTCGTCTGTCCATTTGTGAAGGACACAGCACTCATCCCTCTGAATTGTTTACACGTGAAAGGACTGAAAACATTAGAATGCGTGAAACCCAGGGAGTGTAGAGAAGGGTGACTTCAGGGAACCACAGTCAGTAGGAATGCCATACCCACAGGCCAGCTATGAGAAATCTCAGGTTATGCAAGGGACAGCAGCTCCTGCAGACGAGGTCAATGCTGACTGGACCGTTGGACGGCCCAGATGCGAGGAAGAGCAGGCTGGGAAACAAAAGCATTTAGATTTTCCCTGCTGTCACTTGCAACCCTCACAGGAATGAGAGGACAACACCCAGGGTGTAAGCCACTGTCCCAGGGACACCCGTGACTAATTAACTAAACATCAGTCCTAAGAATTTCAACACGAACCACAGGAAAAGAAAACATGAAACGTCCTGAAAATTACAACTTAGGTATTTCAAAAAAACAAAAAGATTAACAGGGGCTTTTCCAAGTCTGCCAACTCTTAAAGATTGCATGAAGTTATCCACCCCTACATGGCCTTAACCACCACGTATGACATTACCGCCCAATGTCAGGCATCATGCTGGCCTGCCCCTGTCACCTGGCAGAATGCACTCAGGCTGTGCCCTGGTCAGCCCAGGGCTCCACGACTACTAGTTTGCATGAAGGTGCAAAGGACCCTTATACAAGAAAGACCCTCCACCCCCACCCACTTCCGCTCTTTCCCACTGTTCCCCTGGGGCAGACGGGACTTTTCCTGTCTCCCTCTTCTCTCCTGTTCTCTTTCTGTCTCTCTGTCTCCTTACCTTTTCCTCTTCCCCCCCCCTTTCCCTTCCTAATAAAACTTCTCACTTAAGCTCTGTCTGCCTGCCATGTTTGTCGTCCTCCCTCCCTCGGTCACCCTCGCCTGCCATGGAATCCACCAAGCTTCCACACGCATTATCATACCCCCCATACATGATATTACCACACACACACACACACACATTACCCTGCAGATGATATTACCACCACACACGGCATAACCCACCCCATGAATGACATTACCCTCCTACACACACACACACACACACACACACACACACACACACACACCTTATGGGGTATAAAAATGGCGGGATATTTCTTAAATTATCATGCAATTACATGGGCTGAATCATCTTGAGTCTCTGTGGAATAAGGTGAGTTATAGAGCCATTGTGTGAAGAAAACAAAGCAGCTAGTTAGAAATGGATAAGGAGTAATCATCTCAGAAATACCAGAAAGTCTTTAAATACACAGAGTTTTCTTGATTTTAGGCATTTGTCATCTCTTTAAATTTATGATGAGCTCTGCCTTATATTTTTATCTTCTATCAAGAAATTTCAGACGTATTTTGCTTGCGTGTATGTGCATGCACCATTGCATGCCTGGCGGTCAGGAGAGGGCCTCAGATCCCCTGGGGCTGGAGTGACAGATGGGTTTACCTGCCCTGGGGGTCCTGGGAATTGAACCCAGGTCCTCTGAAAGAGCAGCCAATGCTCTTAGGCAGCTGAGTTCTACATCCTCGCTGCTTCTGTTGTCCTGTCAATCATGTCCATCTTTCTTTTCTAGTAAACTGAAATTTCATTCCTCTGTCGTCTTAATTTGATTTTCCCATGCATTTTAGCAAGACTGGCCATGGAATTTAACATTCTCTTTCCTTCCTGGTTGTGCTTCTTCAAACATGTAGCTGGAACTTTTCCCAGTACCCAACTCTATGTGGGCATATGTGTGTCCACGTGTTGTGTGCTCACATGCGTGCACTGCATGTGGCAGCCGGAGGCGAGCCTCCAGATGTCACTTCTCAGGCACCTTCTTCCACCGTGGTTTTTGAGACGGGAGTTGTCAGTTTCCTGGAACTCACCAAGTAGGCGGGGCTGTCTGGCCAGTAAGCCCCGGGATCCTCCTGCCTCAAACTCCTTGGCGATGGCTGTTTAAGTGGGTGCTAGGGATCAAACTCTCTCTTGCGAGGAAGCACTTACCCAGTGAAGGCATCTCCCCAGCCACTGTCACTCAGACTTAGCCCTTTAGGAAGGCCTCTGCTTCAGCTTTGCTTTGCGGCTTGTTATCGGCAGGGCACTCCAGCTCAGGAGCCCAGACGGTCTCTGAGCAACTCTCCTGTGTGTCTACCCCTGGACGGTGCAATGCACGGCTGACACGCACGTGGGTAAAAACCTCCGTTCCTGATCGGCACGCTTTTAAACGTCTGAGGCCTCTGCAGCGCACTCTGGATCTGCCTGATCCATCTGCGTCCCTGCCCCACGACGCTCCGGTTCACAGCGTTGATGCTGCAGCTTTCCGTGATCATTTTTGGCACCGCATGCTCTGTCGCATTTCCTCTTACTCTCCCCTCCGTGGCGGCCGAAAGGCGCCGGCCCCTCTATCTGCCAAGAACGTTCAGAGAACTGAACTGCCCAGCACTCCACCAAGGTCTCTCCTTGGTGCCTGAGCCCCGTTTTCCAGATTTGTTGTTTTTGTCACTCTGAGGCCTCCGTGTAAGTGGCCTGTTTCTCCTAATAATCACTTGCTGGGCTAATCTGAAATTGGCCCTGTCTGAAAGCCGGGAGCCGCACGCGTTGACTTGAGGGCGGGTGTTCCGAGCTGACTCTATGCTCGCCCTCTATGACCTGGCTTAAGATCATCTTGTGGCCAGTTCTTGCTAAGCCTTACAGCCTGTGACTGAAGCATGAACTTCCTAATAAGAGCCATAGAGAACCACACAGGCAGTTCCCAGAACTGGCCAGTTTCTCAGTGATTGGGAGATCAAGAAGGAAAACAGTATAGATTTCCTGTTACCAGCCAGCACTCCTCCCAGCTGTCCTGGAAAGCCTGGTTACAAAGAACAGGCCAGGGCCCAGAGACTCCTGGGATGGGTGCCCTAACAAGGCACAAGTCTGGGGACCACGTTCTTAGGCAGCTCTGGCCACCAGCTGGGATTGTAGCTCAGCTGGGAAAAAGGCTTAGCCTAGTGTCCTAGTTACCTTTCTGTTGCTCTGAGAAAACCCTGACCAGAAGCAACTTGGTCAACGATGAAGCGCTGACTTCATCTTACATTTTGTAGTCCGTTGTTGAGGGAAGCCAGGGCGGGAACCTGGGAGCCTGAACTGAAGCAGAGACCATGAGGAACAGTGCTTACTGGCTGGCTGGCTCAGCCTGCTTTCTTGTAGTACCCAGGGGTGGCCCCACCCACGGTGAGCTGGGTCCCCCCATCAATCATTAATCAAGAAGATGTCCTGCAGGTTTGCCCGCAGGCCTATCCGATGGGAGCAGTTTCTCAGCCGAGGGTCCCACTTGTCAAGTGACTCTGGTTTGCCACAGGCTGACGAGGACCAAGCAGCACAGCTGACACGCTGTCCTCCCTAGGTTCAGTCCCCAGCACAACGTAAGCCAGCTGTGGTACAGCCCTGCCTGCCATCACGACCAGGACCTCAGGGCCATTCTCAGCTACACAGGGAGTCCCAGGCCAGCCTGGGATGCCTGATTTAACCCCACCCACCCCCACCACAAAGAAGCTCAGGCTTCTCAGGGGGTAGCTTGGAAGCTCCAGGAAACTGAAGCTCACTTGCTCCCTTCTGCTTCCTCATTTCTTTGCAAGCCATTTCTAAATGCAAGCCACTGGGTACCAGAGGAGCCCAGAGATACAGCCTCGGCCACTCCGGGCCTCAAACTGAACGCGGCTGGAGTAGCTGGGAGGCTGAGTGTACAGGACCCCGGCAGTGCTGACAGGGAGGATGGGCCCTCACCTGCTGGGAGCCCAGCCTTTGCTGGGGTACTCCATGCTGCAAAACACTTGCAGAGGAAGTGCCTGGCCCCGTCTTGCAAATGTTTGCCTGAAGTGGCCTTCCATTCTTGTGGAAAGGGGTTCGCTCATCATCTCCTATGCCTGGCTCTCTGGTCTCTGGATTTTTACAGCCTAGCGTTACACTATCTAGCTCACACCTCCTTTCCAAATACCCACAGGGAGTGTCGTGTTCCCCCATTATTCAAGAGGACCTTGAAACCACAGCTCCTAGGAAGGAAGTCCTCCCTGACCAAGCTCAGTAGGGAACCTTCTAGGCCCTGTATGTGACCAGCCCCTCCTAGAGCTTCCCTTTGTTGTTTCCACAGATATAAATTCTGCAGTTGACCTGTTAGCTCCTTATGTCTCAGATGGATTACAAAAGTGCCCTAATCATAGATGACGGCCGGGGTGACCCCAACATAGACCAGCAAGGCTGCAGTCACAACTTCACAGGTAGCTGCAGATGCTTTGCTCCTCAAGCCTGAACTGCATTTCCAGGAGACCGATGCTTATACACGCCGCGTTTCAGCATGTGGCTCGCTAGCGTTCATTCAGCAGGTGTCTGTGCAAGGACTGGTCATTCAGCAGGTGTCTGCCCGAGGATCACCCATCATTCCACAGGCGGAGTCGTGTGTTAAGTGTGGGAGATGGACTCCTAGTGAGATTGTGAGGGCTTTGTGTGTGGTTTGTTACTTTGAGACGCAGTCTCTCTAGGTAGCATAGCCTGGCCTCAGATTTCTGACCTCCTTGCCTTAGGTGCTGGAAGCCATGCAACCGAATGAAGGGATTGCAGGGGTTAAGTTGGCTTCTTCAAATGTTACTTTATGCACACAGGTGTTTTGCCTGCATGTATATATGTGTACCACATGCATGCCTGGTGCCTGCAGGGGCCACAAGAGGGTGTTGGGTCCCCTGGAACTAGAGTTTCAGACAGTTGTGGCCCACCATATAGGTGCTGAGAATTGAGCCCAGGTCCTCTGAAAGAACAGTCAGTGCTGTAACCACTGAGCGCTCTCCCTGGTCCTAGTCTCCAGGTGTAAGTTTCCGAGGCTGCTGTAGAGGACCATGAGTCTGGTGGCCACAGTGAGCCGCTCTTCAGTGTCCGTGTCTTTGTGTTTCCCTGCCTGCTGTGATGTATTAGTTTAAGATGTGTTTGTTACATTGGCTTATGCTGTGGAACATTTGCTTAATGATGCAAAGATGTATTGCGTTCGTTTAACTCTGTAAAGCTGTGCTACTTGCCTGTCTAAGACACCTGATTGGTCTAATAAAGACTTGAAGTGCCAATAGCTCGGCAGGAGAAAGGGTACGCAGGGCTGGCAGGAAGAGAGAATAAATAGGAGAAATCTAGGGAAGAGTATGAGGAGCGAGGAAAAGAAGAGGGGGGTGCCAGGGACCAGCCACGCAGCCACGCAGCCACGCAGCTGGCCACAGAGTAAGAAGGAAAGACATATAAAGAAAGTTAAAAAGCCCAGAGGCAAAACATAGTTAAAGAGATACAGGATAATTTAAGTTACAAAGGTTGGCTAGAAACAAGTCAAACTAAGGCCAGGCATTCATAAGTAAGAATAAGTCTCCTTGTATTTATTTGGGAGCTGGGTGGCAGGCCCCCAAAGAGTAAAAAGGAAGGAAGAAAAAACAAAAAAAACAAAAAACACCCACCTGGCCCAATTTTGAGTCTGGGGTGGCCTGTGACCTGATCTTTTATTAACAGAATGGAGTGGGGCTGGAGAAATGGCTCCGTGGTAAGCAGCCATTGCGTAAGACCTGGGTTCAGTTCCCAGCACCCATGTGGAGGCTTGTAGCCCCCTGTAACTCCAGTTCCAGGGGCTGCGACCCTCTCTTCTGGCCTCTGTGGACACCGCACACACATGCTGCACATATATACATGTGGGAAAAACAAGTAAAAATATAATTTTACAAATAGACTTGAGGGGCTGGAGAGATGGCTCAGAGGTTAAGAGCACTGGCTGCTCTTCCAGAGGTCCTGAGTTCAATTCCCAGCAACCACATGGTACCGCACAACCATCTGTAATGAGACCTGGTGCCCTCTTCTGGCCTGCAGGGATACATGTAGAACGCTGTATACATAATAAATAAATCCTTTAAATAATAAAAAGACTTGAAGTGAGGAGTCAGTGGAAGGTCACCAGGGGCGGGTAGAGATAAGTCTGCTCTGTGCAGGTGGGGCACAGCGCTCACACTGAATCTTCCCCAGGGCCTGTGGCAGCCTTCACAGTTCCCAAGACTGCCTCTGGCAGGGTTGGGAGGGAGCAGGCTTAACCCAGAAAATGGGCATAAGTCAGCGTAACGGTCTCAAAGCATAAACACTTGGAAGACTGGTACAACAATCCACTAAAATGATAGCTAATAATTCAGTTTCTCGGAAGAGAAAGGATAATGGATTAAAGTGAGGCTGTTCGTAAAGTGTGACGGCCCACTTGTCTGGAATCAGTTCGGTGATTCAGAGCTTCTCGTAACTGGCGTCTGGGTAGTGAGAACTGTTCACATCCTGTTAAACCTAAGCCATCCTGGCTTTGGCGGCTGGTATAACCCTGACCACAAACAGCAAAACACGCATTTGACCTGTTTTAAACAACTGTTTCCTTTCACAGATGCCCCTACTGCTTTTTATTAGCCGTGCCTGAATCCCAGGATATTTAGAAATGGTCCTTGTCACCATGTGTTGGTTTGTGTTGCTGAAAACAAGACAAAACAGACAAGAGGCTGTGACGTAATGCTGAGGACATCTGAGGCCAGACTATTGGCTGAGCCTCAGGCTGGAGCCAGGCCCCGCTGGGCCTGCAGTAAGGGGCTTAGCCCCTCTAAGCTCCATGTCTTCTCCATGACAGTGGGGGAAACACTACCCCCACCTCAGGAGCCTGTGAGGAAGAGAGGAGAGCTTAGCACGTGTGGGAACTACTGGCACCTTGCCATCCCCTTCAGCGAATGCACTGACAACACAGACTGGACATAAGCTCAGGGGCATGCTCTCTCTCCATGCCCCCAAGACCTTGGCTTTGATCCCTAGCACCACAAAATTGGAGTTTCCAGGTGAGGGACTACACAGATCCCTGACAGGAGTTAGACAGAAAGAGGGACCACCAATCCAACTAAAGATGGCAAATTTCTGGCCCCTTCTTCACACTCCTGATCAAAGGCCTGGTGGGCTTTTGCCCCATCCGTGGGCTGCCCCTGCCGTAGACTGGTCCAAAACATGTTTACTTCAGAGTCATGCATGGGCTTATCAGCCTCTGTCTTTGTTCATACTGACCAGCACTAAGTTAGGGGATGACAGCCCCTCCTAAGCCCTTAAAACCTCCAGGAAGCCCTGTACCACTGAGCCACATCCCCAGCCTGGTTCCTGCTGTCAATGACACCCCCCCCCCCACCCCGCCTAGAGTCTCTCATTCTTTGAACCACATTTTATTTTGAACAAACAGGTGACCCAGTGGCTATACCATTTAAAGCAGATGTCAGGGAGGCATGACAGAGAAGGGGAAGTTCATTAGGACATCGGTGTTTTGTGAGGACTCGGATACAGGGCTGCTGTGTTAGGTGGTCACACACAGCACCAGGGGAGACCTATGGGTGGAGCCACTTTCAGATGACGCCAGGTGAAGCTGGTCACGGTCCCTGTTGCCTTACCTTGACAAGCCCGTTCCACTCTATCGCAGACCCCAGCACAGGCCTCCAGCTTGAAGCCGCTGGTGTCTCAAGGAGGGCATGCCTGGGGAGCTGGGGTTGGTCTGGGAACACAGAGCCCGTCACCCGAGGCCGGGGGGGGCTGCGTTTGTTTATGAATTTCTTAATGCTTCACTGCAGTTTCTAGAAACAGATGAGGCCATTTCTTGCAAACATTTGATTCCACAGAAATTGCCAAAGTGTGAGTTTCACTCCCACGTTCCCTCAGGAGGTCAAAGTGCAGGGGACTCTGTCTTCCTCTTTCCCTCAGAGTCTACTGCCCCCGTGGGGCTCTCAGGGGCACACTGGACAGGCAGAAGTTGTTTGCACAGGTGGAGATCTCCACCCATCCCCCAGAACTACTGTGGGGTCACTGAGTATGTGTGGAGTAAAGGAACGCACATGAAAATGACTACTTAACTCAAACTTTCGTTATAAACTTTCCAACGTAGAAAGAAGTTCATCTAGACTTAAGTTAACACTTTGTCACATTAGTCTTACCTATTGTTTTGGGGGGGGGGGGGGGGATGACACGCACAGGGTATTGCCAGGTCACCTATGTTGGCCGGAAACTCTCAATCCTGCTTTGGCCTCCAGGTGCTTGGACTATAGGCATGTGCCATGAAGCCTGCCTCCTTATCCATCTAACTTTTATTTCCCTGCTGGGTCATCGCATGTAAATACATATGAACAGTTACCTAAACCTGCATTCATATACCCACAATCCCGCCATCCAGTCCAAAGAGGAAATCTGGCTCACGGTGTGGAAGCCCAAGCGCACGGAGGGGCGCCAGCCAGCTTCTGGGGAGAGCCACGCCCACGCTTATCCTAGAAGGGCAGATGAGCAGGGGGTTTGTACAGAGGCCCCGCCCCGCCCCGCCAAGAGAGGGAGCTGGGAAGTCACACAGCCTGCTCCTCCAAGAACTATCCTCACCCCTGGATGAAGTGGACCCCCGTGGCCTCATGACCTCCCGAAAGTCCCGCCATCTCTCAGCCTATCATGCTGGGACCCGGCAACCCCACATTCCCACCACAGCACTTGGCGGTGTTCTGGTCACGTTTCTGCTTCTGTGTTCTGAGGCATGCATTGCTTACTCCACTTCAACTGAAGCGCTCAGTGGCTTGACTATACGCACTAAAAGCCAACACAGCCACTGATCGCAAAAAATGTTTTGTGGCTGGGCATGGTTGGCACGCACCATCTCTCCAGCCCTCACAGAGAATTTTAAGGCCCTCTCCAGTTCAGTCTCCCTTTCCCAGTAGAGAGAGAAAATCCTCAGCTCTCCCTTCGGCTGTCTTTTTTGCTTCCATACTCTCATCTTGCTAGCCCATGGCCTAAGAAGTCATAACTCCCCTGTGACAGCCTACTCAGCTCTGGTATTCTACACCGCTGTGCCTGCAGGGCACAGCTAGCTTCTCACAATTTCAAGCCTCATCCGTCTGGCTGTTCATAAAAAACAAACTACATACATACATATATACATATATACACAATTTCTAGGCCCAAAGTAAATGTTATTTCACAGAGGTTCAACACTTCTTATACACTTGCTTAACCTATTAGTCTGTCCCTTCTCTTTGCTTAAATACTTAAGAGCAAATCCAAGATATGACATTTAACTTCCACAATCTGCATCCCTTTAAACTCAATAAAAATGCAATTAGAATTAACACTTCATTTTTTATTTGGGGGCCCTTTTCACACACTCTACAGTTTTAGATCAGTTGCACGTTGTCTTATGAAGACTGACAGTGGGGTATTTTGACAAGAGTTAAGTGCAGCCAGCACAAACAGCGCCTCCCAGAGTGGCTGGGGGCTCAAGGGTCACCCCACCTTGTGCCATCAGGCCCCGCTCCGCTCAACAGGCTTTTCTGCCTCAGAATCACTGGTCTTGGGGCAGACCAGGTGTGTCAGCCTCCCAGGGCATGTGCGGCCTCTATTCGCTAGATGACAGCAGTGCCCTCACACACACACACACACACACACACACACACACACACACACACACACACACACACACACACACACACCTCAAGCACATCTTCACCTTCACCAAAGGTCCCCCGGGGAATTCGCTAGATGACAGCAGTGCCCTCCACACACACACACACACACACACACACACACACACACACACACACACACACACACACACACCCCTCAAGCACATCTTCACCTTCACCAAAGGTCCCCCGGGGAAGTAACCCCAGCTTCTGCACTGGGGACTGAACGACTCTCAAAGGCCAGTGTTAAGTAAATCCCACTCAGGCGAGACTCCCCTTGGCACCATCCAGACACTGGGTGTGGAAAGTGACTTTCAAGCCCAGCAGAGCCATGAGTGAGACCCTCCAGGCTGGTTCTCCCATCTTGCCACACAGCACTTGACAGTGGAAACCCACGCCACTGCCTCGTCGCCCCATGTCTGGCCTAGCCATGCCTGCTTCCGCAGAGAAAGCAATCGCAGGACGGGAAGGCCATGAGCGCACAGGACAGCAGCCACCTTCTCAAGTCGCAAAGTGACTAAGGCAAAGGTCAGTTCACTGGAAATGCAGAGAGCCAAAGACCTGCTGTCCTACTAAAGTTGGCACCAAGAGTGCCTTGTTAGCTGGAAAAAGCACATGTCAAGAATTTAGTCTTTACATATTATCTTAAAATACAAAACAGTGCTCTGTATGAATATACTGATCTCAAATTTTAACACTGAAACAGAATCTAGAAGTTCCATGAAGTGGCCTCACCTAAGGCTTTTCCAAAGGAGAAAACCAGACAAAGGAGAAAAGCTAGATGTTTACCAAGCAAGAGCAATACAGATCTTCCAGGCCATTAGTAAATGTTCAGGGACCCTGGAATGGAAGCATAGGCAAGAAACAGAGGCTCTGGCCTCAGGTTTTCTTTTTAACAGCATTCCCTGCTCTTCCTCTTACAAAACGAACCCTAACCCTGTAATGAAGTGCCGTGGGACAAAGCCAAGGGCAGGCCCGTTGTCTGTGCGTCCATCTGATGAACTACACTAGCAATGCCCAGCTGCTGTGCGGAGCAGAGCCAGCGCCACCCAAGAACCACCTCAGGGCTTCACGTGTGGAGAAAGCTGCCGTCAAGAACCCCTCAGAGCACCCTGGACACCTTGACAGCTGCAAGGCGACAGGGACTGCTGGCCATCTGAGGACACAGACAGCTCTGTGCAACGCTCAAAAGGCTTTTACCCACCGCAGAGGGAGACCAAGGGAAGCAGAGAATGCCACCGTAGGCCAGGACAAGCAGAACAGTGCACTGTACCTGTCCAGAGCCACGGTGACCTTAAGTGAAGTCTCCCAGCAGCAGACAGTGACCTGGGTGCTGAGAGAACTAACTTTCAATTCCCCAACAACAGTTTATGTATCGAGATTAATTCTCTTTGGCCGCAGCGGGTAGCGCTGTCTCTGGGAGCAGTCTGGGGCGGGCTTTCTCTTTAGCACTATGTTCGAGGTGCTCCTGGCTGCGGTCTCTGTTGGTGTGGTTTCCACTTGTGTTACAGACTTGCTGGCCTTGGTGTCCGCTCTCCTGTAATAGCTGGAAAAGACTTCCTGGTTGATTCTCTGCAGTTGGATGACAGGCTGCATCTTTAAGACCTGGGAAAAGCCGTCTCCTTGTTCAATTAACACAGGCAAAGCCTTGGGAAGGAAAAAGCTCAGGTTGAAAGGTGAACGCACGATGCACAGACAGACACAGACATGGACACAGAATGCACAGGCGCACTACACACAGTCATGGACATGCTGCATTGTAATTCTTTAAGTCAAGTCTTGGTGCCACGGATATTTGACTTTAAGTTTTAAAATGCCAATTTAAACAGAGGAATTAAACTTAAAGCTAAGACTAAAAGACATTCCTACAGTAACTGTTAGTGATACTAAATCAGGCAGGGGTAAGAGACTCTCAGAGCTAAGAATTCACAGCCTGAAGTCCCCTTTGAAGAGCACACTTTAGGGATCTTGACCATCAAGAGTAGGGATAGGTACCTTCTGACTGTAGTGAAGAAAAGCGAGCATTTTAGATTCTGGAGCTCTCTACCGTGACCAGCCATGGTGGATGGTACACAAATGTAATCCCTGCACTTGGGAGACTCAAGTTAGTTTGAAGGCAGCCTATGGAACACAGTGAGGCTCTGTCTCCAAAACAAAGGAACTCAACTCCACTATTGGAACACAAATGACAGGAAGTAAATGAATGGTTCTAGCTGTGTCCCAGTAAAGCTTTGTTTACAAAAATGAAGCAAGCTGAATACCTGGCCCACCAACTCTGGAGCAAGAATAGGATAAAAGCAATAGATGACCAATTATCAAAAAAACATGGAACCCATACAAAACAAAAAATAACTCCACAGACAAAGGACATGAGAGCTAGGGAGGCTCTGAAGGAGTTTAAAAATAATCTCCATGTACCAGGAATTTATTTTTATGTCAGATAAAATAAATGTACCAATAGAAACCATGTTATGATGGTGGTGGCGGCGCACACCTTTAAGTCCAGCACTTAGGAGGCAGAGGCAGGCGGATCTCAGCGAGCTTGAGGCCAGCCTGGTCTACAGAGCAAGTTCCAGGACAGCCAGGACTACACAGAGAAACCCTGTCTTGAACACAAACAAACAAAACAAGCAAAATTCCATGGCTAGGACACAGTTCAAGGTACAGTGTGTGATAAGCGTACACCAGCCCTGGGTCCAAGCCCAGCACAAAAGCAGAAATAGCAACAAACAAGTTCTGAACCCAGGTACCCTTGGTGGCTCGGTTTCCCCATCTGTAAGTCGGGTTAGAACATCTGTCCTCTAGGGTTAGTGTGAGATTACACACGACAGCAAGTGTAAAGCGGACAGCGGCCACCACTCAGGGTGACCTCACCAGAGACGCCAGGATGGACACAGCTACAGTGAGTATCTGCCAGAGGACTATGCGCACACAGCAGGCGCCTGATAGATGGAAAGGCAGACTCTGGCACACAGTAGGGGCCTGATAAATGGAAAGGCAGACTATGTGCACACAGCAGGCGCCTGATAGATGGAACTCTGGGTGTGACTGTTGCTTGACACACTCCCAAGCGTCCTCCTGCAGCCCCAAGCACGCCTGGCGGCCCCGACACCACGCACCAGTCTTCTCCCACCCCACACACCTAGCACGGCTTTACCTTCATGGCATCACTGATTTTCTTAGCTACGGCGTCCCCGCGGCATTTCAGACTTTCCACATGCGAAGCTGCAAGAAACCAAACAGTATTTCAGGTTCTTTATCTAAGTAGCCAACCATAAAGACGTTTAATGCAATTCAAACAGAAATCTGTTAGGACCACTGACCTTAGTCTAATCTTCTCACAGTACTGTGTAATCTACTAAAGACCATGTCCTCTCCTATTTATCAGGATGAGTGACAGGACCAGGAGAGCAGTAGAGTACAATGCAAAGGTGTGCACAGAGGCCCGATGCTGAGCAGTCCCCGCTGCACCCAAGAGCACCCGACATCTATAAACATTCTTGCAGCTGACACCTCTGTACATCATCAAGTTTTAAGACAAGCACAGGCTAAGACTTTATTTTTAAATGATTCTGAATTTTATAAAAAGCAAAACACAGGCCAGTGAGATAAGTAGGCCAAGTGCTTGCAAAGGGGTTGGTAAGCAGTTCAGCCCCAGAACTGAGGCAAGGCTGTTGAGGCATTCCACACCTGTCTCTAGGATTTCAGTGTAGACTCAAGACTAACAGCTCCACAGGAACTCCCTGGGACTGCAGCTCCAGACTGGAAATTGACTCAGCAGCTACCTTGGCCTTTGCACTGGGAGACAGCCATAGGTGAACCACCCAGACGGTAGCCCGTAGGCCACTCTAGTGACACTCTCTGTCTCTCTCTCAAACTCATTTCACCGGCTGTCCCTTTAGAGAACCTAATACAGCGGAAAGCATTGGCATCCTGTGCGCATCAGCCCTGTCACAACAGTCCAGAGGAGCCCCGCTCCAATGCGCGCAAGCCTGCCTGCAGCTCTTTCCCTCTGCAGGACTAGTGACCTACAGGTCTAAGTGCAAGTCACTTCCAAGACCAGGGGCTTAGGACAGCCTCTGCCGTGGGTAGGCTCTCTCACGACATCAGAAGAAGCAACTTGAAGAAGCTTAGAGGCTCATGCTGGGAGGAACTAAAGTCCCTTCTATCAGGCTAATGACCTCAGGAATCATAAGGGATAGAGCATTTGTTTATTGTTTTGGCTGTTAAATTTTGAGATAATTTATTAAATAATAACAGATAACCAATCTTATATGAGAGCAGTGTGTTCTCAAATCAACACATTTAGTCATAAGTCTAGAACATTCCAGGAAATCTAGAATGTTCCCCAAAGACCAATGTGTTAAATGCTTGGTTACCAGGCAAGCATATTAGGAGGTTTTCAGGTCTCTGGGGTATGTCTGATACATCTTACTGCTCACTTAATTTTCTCCCAGATAAAAAAAAATACTAAATTTAAAGAAACAGGTTCCAATAGTTGACATGAAGAAACACTATTTTTCTTATGATCCCAGGATTTTGGAATATTCTATTGTATTCACTGTATAGATAAAAACATAATGCACACATTTGAAAATGGTTTAAAATGTTTAGCATGTTTCTGGTCATCAGACACTCATAGCTAGATGGTGGTAGTTGCATACACATGTACACAAGCATAACGTCATCGAGTTGTACGTGTTATGACACAGCAAACACACATGCAACAATGAATCGATGTGTGAACAAAGAAGTCAGTCTTTATTGTTGCTGCAGCTTTTACTAGCAGCAGCAGCTACAGTCCTTGACCTGTGATGTTTTCTCTAGGTTTCTTACAGATTAAATTCATTCTATCAGTGACCACCACAAACAATTCCTAAACTACCTCATACCACCTTTTTTGTTCTTTATCTTCCTATTGCTAAACAATGCCTGTTTTTCATGTTGCACAAACAATGAAAACATATAAGCCCGAGAGTGATGTGGGCCTGTGTGTAAAATGGAGCTAGGCTCTAGGCTTGCATACTTACAGATTATCACACCCAAGTGAGTGATGGGGTATTCTAAAATTGGGCTAGACACATAGACATTTAGTATTTCTGTCATGACTACAAATCCCTTTTACAAATGACACTATCCCAACTTTTCCCCGAAGGGCCACTAGAGGGCAGTATGCACACCAATGAGAAGTCTAACGTCTCCTGGGAGGAGGACTGTTCTCTGAGCATGGGATCTTTAATGGTGATCACAGTACCTGAGAATATGTACCCAAAAGCTAGGACAGCACAGCCATGATGTCAGGCACTTCCTTAACTAAAGAGGGAGACATCAGCTCTCATGGGGGACTATATTAGGGATAGCTTGCCTTAAACAGACATCTGGTCCCAAACGGACTGAGGAGTACAGGGCTGGAGGCAGGTGGACAGGATACTCTCTACCCAAATAAAGGAATTTATCAGAAGCAGGAGGAAACAGGAACTGGAAACATGACCCACGGCCAGAGAGAAGCGAGGCTGCGGTGTCAAAGCTCACCCTGAAGGACATGTGCACCACAGGGCTCAGTCTAAGGACCCAACCCCAGACTGAGGCTTCTCTACAGGAGCGAGAAAGAAAAGTGAAGCTAGTGGGCAGCCCCTAGGACACAGGGGCAGGTGGATCCCTGTGAGTTCAAGATCAGCTGGTCTACAGAGCTAGTTCCAGGACAGCTGGGACTACATAGAGAGACCCTGTCTCAAAAAACCAAAACAAAACAAAACAAAACTAAAAGTGACTCTGATAAGTGCAATGAGTCTTCCAGGGAACTGGTCTCTGAATGCAAAGCCCCCCGGAAGGAAGACACACCCTGAAGCCGTCTGTCCGCTGCAGCCGCCACACATCCTGTCATTCGAAGGCCATTTCAGAGCAGGCCCATGGCCACCTTTACAAACAACCCAAGAAAGGGAACTGCAACTGGACAGATTTAGAACTCACACCTTTTGGAATCCAGTGTAACACTAAAATATCACTCTGTCTTCCTAAAGATGTAAATTCACAAATGGTTCTGAAAAACTCAGCCCCAGGATAATGAAAGTTTCCTGACCACTCTAAAATTAAATGTGTAACTACGAATTTACAGTACCTCTTCTTTTTTAATTAAGTAAATTGAATCCTTTGCATTTAAAAGGTATCTGCAGTGTGTGGTGGTGTTCGCCTTTAATCCAGCACTTGGGAGGTAGAGGAGGTCTCTCAAAATGACCTCTAACAGTCAGGAAGGAGACAGAACCTATGATCTCAGCACCCAGAAAGCAACAGCAAGAGGACCACACATTCCAGACCATTCTGTACTAAACACAAACAAAACTCATAAAGCATGTGGATACACTGTACAGACATAAAAACTATTTTCTGGGCTGACAAGATGGCTCATCAGGAAAAGGCACTTGCTGCCAAGCCTGACAATCTGGGTTTGATTCCCGGAACCCATGTGGTAGGAGAGAACGGACTCTGACCTCCATGCACATGCTACAGCATGCACATGTGCGCACACACACAATAAATACAAATTTTAGAAAGTTAAAGACATGTCCCTTGCTCACAATGATCTAAGTCAATCTTTCATGGTTTATAACTGAGCAGAACACAGAAACACTCCTGACACACGAGTTCTGCCTCAGGAAGTCTCCAGTGCTGATGGCTGACACAGTCCATGTTAAGAAGCTGTGTGAGCTTCCTCTAGAATCGTTCTTTGTGCCTCCTCCTCCACAGGCTCCACAAGAACATCCTCATGATGACAATGTGTACCATTCTTACCAGTGCCAGCAAAAGTTCCTAAAAGAAGCACACCTCACTGGGAGTCTTCCACGGCTGACTAGCTTACTCAGTGCAACCGGGAAAGGATGCAATGTTTCCAGTCCAGAGCGCATTATCCCAGCTGCACCACGTGACCTCCTCTGTAAGTGACCCAACATCTCTGTGACCGTTACACACATCCTTGAGGATATACACAGACCGGTGTAACCAGAAAGCTGAGCCCCCCGCAGATAGCACCGTAGGTCCCTCTGTAACCACCTGCCCGACACCTCCACCAGTGATTAAAAAGATCTCATTTATGATTTTCTCTATTGTTTTGTAAAACTCCACAAAACTGTTACCATACTACAACATGAAATTTGCAGTAACCAAAATCTGTATCCTCCGGCCATGGTCACTCATATTTACCTCCAAAACAAGCTATCTCTTTCCCTCTTTAAAAGTTCGCATCCCAGACACAAATGTGAACCCTGAAGTGGAGTCCTCGCGAGTGCTCCCGCAGACTGCTCAGCAGTGCCGAAGGCAGACAGCATCGCCTGCAGGCTCTGCTTGCAGGGCCAGCTTAGGACGCACGTGATGGCTGTAGGAGAACTTGAGACATGTCTGCCATCACTACGTGTTTAATGCAGGGTAATGGGAAAGAACCTTTGCATTCCAGGGGCTTTTACACTGGTACAGACTGGGGTGCTCTGACAAACAAGAACTGTGTCTCATTGGTAACTATCAGTAAATACCTGGGGAAAAAGTTTGCCCTTACGAAATGTGGAAGTGCACAGCCTCTGAGAACACAGCCTCCCCTGGCTGCCTGCTTTCTAAAGCAGAGGGAAATGAAAAAGTGGAAACGAAAGATTGAGTAATAAGCCCGGTTTTGCTTCCGGGTCAATGCCTGACTAAACAAGGGAACATGAACCCCCAAAGCCTGCAAATTCAGCAGAAATGCCCCAGCAGAGGGCTTCCCATGTACTTCCAGTGTATTTCCTGAGCACGAACAAGCAAGCGTGCTCAGAGGGCAACCGGCTTGTCTCGGTTCCTAAAGAGGCAACTGATGCCAGCGACGCTGTAAGTCCGTGAGGATGGAAACCAGCATTCCTGCTGACAACACCAACGGCTCCCAGTGCCGGCGAGGCAGGGACGGGGGAGGGGGGGAGGGGGATGGGACGGGACGGGACGGGACGGGACGGGACGGACTCCTGACTGAACCAGGGAGCTCCCCGTTCAGGTACAGGAATGGCAGGATACCAGTGAGTGGCAGGTCTGACCAGGGTTTAAAGGACTCTGATGCAGGTTAACACGGGCATCCTCTTGAGTGAGATGACCTTGTGAAGGGAGAGGTCACACAGGTAACTTTATACACCAAGAGTGAACGGCACCAGCCCGGTACACACCTGGCACAGCCTGGGACGGAGAGAAAGTTAGAGCACCCCAGGCAAGCATTACAGGCATGCAGCACCAGGCCAGGCAGAGCGCGCACACACAGCTGCATCCCAGCAAAACCAACAAGGGGAGGAGCTGCAATGAGGGCTCAGCAGGTAGGAGCTCAAACTGCACTTGCAGAGGACCTGAGTTCAATCCCCAGCACCTACACTGGGCAGCTCACCGCCACTTGTAACTATAGCTTCTGGGGAACCCAATGCCTCTGGCCTCTCTGGCACCTGTATTCATGCGTACATGCCTACCCACATATATGTGGTTTAAAAATGTGTGTTTGTTAAAAACTTTCCTAAAAATTGATAATGGGTTCAATATATTCAACATGATGAAAGCAAATAAAATTTAAAAGCAAAGGTGAAATAGAAACTCAGAGCTGACTCTTGACAATCTTTACCTGAGCTGCCCAAGGAAGTACTAGCAAGAAGCAAACCCAGAAGGCAGGCAAAAAATTAAAAATAATAGCTATTTCAGAATTTTGAAAATTTGATAAATTTAACTAATAACCAAGTACAAAAAAGAAGCTACTGAGCCAGACATGGTGGCTTACACCTAGGATTCCAGCACTCAGGAGGTAGAGGCAGGAGGATCATGAGTTCAGGGATTGCCTGGGCTATATAATAGGACCCCTGCCTCAAAAAACAAAAACAAACAAAGCCAGCTGAGGCTGTAGCTCAGTGGTGAGCATTTGTCTAGCAGGGACAGGGGCCCAGGTCCCATTCTCAGCAGGACAAGAAAAAAGTCCTAACAGGTTAACAGGTGAAATTTACCTTTTATTTAACCAGAAAAACTAACACTGACATTAAACACAGAAAACCGGGAGTGGGGGTGTCGTCACTCAATGCGGGGGGGCACAAAGGCCCAATTCTTGCTCACGGGGTTCAAAGGACGGGATAAAGTCAGACGGCTTCACTGGAGCAGTCACAAGTTTACAGGAGACATTAAGGGAACAGAACCACAGTATGTCTCCTCCAAATGCAGAAAGAACACCGTGTCCGCACGACAGCAAAGACCGGGGGGGGTGTGCAGGCTTGGTAAGAGACAGCTGGGATTGGAACCTGGAAATATGCAAAAATCTGAGCATAATGCTGGACTCCCAACTGTGGCCTTCACTGCGTTCATTAAAACTGTCTAGACTAACTCAAGAAGTTAAATATCACACGCATTGTACAAAACCAGGAAGACCACATTAAAGATAAAATCTGAATCATGAAAACAAAAAACCAAAACAAAAGAAACCGACAGCAAAACTGAGAGAGAATGGAGTTCCTGTTAGAGACAGCCAACAGCTGAGCAGTTGCGCTCAGGAGCATCTAACATTTGTGAATGTAATACTGGAAAGGGAAAACTCGCGGAATGACAAAGAGCATTATAGAATCATAAAAACAAGTGCTGGGCCTAGACTGTGAGAGGCTGCACACAGCTGGGGGCCACGACAAAGGAAGCTTGGTTTCCAACACATTCTCCAGTGACTTACCTGGGTCAGGGTCACACTTCAGGTCCAGGGGATGCACAACAGGGCGATACTGCTTCTAAACACAGCACAAACGACAACATTTAACTCAGACATGTGACGCCTCAGGTAAGTAAGCATGTCTTTCGGCTCCCACAGCAAGCGTGCTTATACAGTCAACAGTGCTAGCTTCAAGGCTTTTCTCTTTTCAGATCCTGAACTCTGTAGGGAAAATGTCCTTAGGTTTGGATACCCTTTTGTTTGTTTTTTGAGACAAGGATTCTCTGTATAGTTGCCTGGCACGCCCTTTGTAGACCAGGCTGGCCTTGAACTCACAGAGATCCACCTGCCTCCTCCTCCTCCTCCCCCCCAGTGCTGGGATTAAAGGGTGGCCATCACTGCCTGACTTTGAATACCTTTTATGTACTGCCACCTGCTGCATGCAGTAGGTAATTGCACTATGAAAACTATAATCAGAAAGAACAAAGTGAAGGCACCGTGGTGTTTAAAATACAGGGGCAACGGCCAAAGCGTGATGGAAGCTCATTCAGGACAAATGTTTGAAACCCTGGACTGCAGTTTCCACGGCGTCTGTTACAAAAGTGGCTGGACGACACACCAGCCCACTACTGTCCACACCTGCAGCAGCACACAGGACAGCTGGCTCTCCCAGTCAGGCAAAAGGAAACGGGAGATGATGCTTCCTACTCCTGCTCAGTGACAACCAGAGCCAAAGTGTAAAAGAGAAGGAGGACAACTAACACTCTCCACACTCTGCCTCACTGACGAGTTCAGGGTTTTCTTTAGAGAGGTCAGGGAGGGGGGAGGGGGAGGGGGAGGGAGGAGGAAGGCATAGCACACCGTGCACATCAGGCATTTTTCCTTTCTAAGGACGGATGCTGTGAGCAAGACGAAACATATGACCTTGAATATTTGGAGTAACTGCAGACCTTTAATGACCTGAAACACTGCTGAAGGAGGAGCTACGGGAAGGTTCACATTTTAAAGCACGCTGATTTAAAAACCTAAAGGCAGCCGGGCGTTGGTGGCGCACGCCTTTAATCCCAGCACTCGGGAGGCAGAGGCAGGCGGATCTCTGTGAGTTCGAGGCCAGGCTGGACTGATAGTCTCCAAAACAGAGAAACCCTGTCTCGTAAAACCAAAAAAAAACAAAAACAAAAACAAAAAAAAAACCTAAAGGCATAGAGGATTGTACAATCTGAAGCCCGCATAGTCACTGAGAGGGACAATGCCACCTCAGCGAATTTCAACACCCAGAAGGAGACGGGGGTCTAATCTGCCAGGGCTGGCATCATTTTCATCTGTCCCAGTCTTAATAAACTGAGAAGACAGGCACGTGACTGGCATGGTGACGGACACCTACCGGAAAACAAAGCCTATGTGGCTCTGCCCACCTGGAAAGCTGAGCCAACCCGGTGTGGCAGTGTGGTAGAATATTATTTTAAGGTGTGTGACTTTTGTTTATGCTGTGGAACATTTGTTCAATGATGCAAAGATGTGTGACTTTTGTTTATGCTGCATTTGTTTAACTCTATGAAGCTGGGATTCTTTGCCTGCCTAAAACACCTGATGGTCTAATAAAGAGCTGAACAGCCAACAGCAGGAGCAAGAATGGGCGGGGCTGGCAGGCAGAGAGGATAAATAGGAGAAACAAGGAGAGGAGGATGCTAGGGGCCAGTCACTGAGCCACCCAGCCAGCCAAGGAGTGAGAAGGAAAGTAAGTATTCAGAAGAAAGAGATAAGCCCAGAGGCAAAAGGTACACAGGTTAATTTAAAAAAAAAAAAAAAAAGCTGGATAGCAAGAAGCCAAGCTAAGGCCGGACATTCGTAAGTAATAAAAAGACTCCATCTGTACTGTGATTTCTTTGGGGGTTAAGTGGCAGGCCATTCATAAAGGCCAAAGAGCCAAAAGAGCAAAACATCACCCAACACGGCAGTCCATACTGTAATCCCAGCACTGGAGATGAAAGTTGGAAGATCAGAAGTTCAAAGCCAGCCTGCACTGTATGGAAGGTAATCTGATTTTTTTTTGGTAAATACCGCGTGAGGATTTCAATGTTAAGCATCTCACCAGAGTCTCGTGCTGCGCTTTCAAGGTTTTGATGACGCTTTCCAGGATCCGTCTGGGGTACTGCCTGCGTTTTGTTGCCACATCTACTATGAGCTCATCAAATTCATCTTCAAGAACTTTGATGTCAGAGTCTGCTTCAGAAAAGGTCCATATTAGTAGAGAAACATCATATATGCTCAATTCACAAGATAATTAAAGAAAACAGCATGGCAAACTAATGAAGCCTGCCCCCTCATTCCTGTACCCATGCTATCGAGTACCTACAAAGATGAGTGCAGCATGACCCCTGGAGACTATAACCTGACAAATGCAGCAGCAGGGCATAAAGACAGCGGACGCAGACGAGGAAACCCCACCAGGGGGAGGGGAGACTGAACAGAAACATCTGAGCTTGAAACCAGGTGCAAACAAAGGCACCAAATACAAGGGGAAGGAAGCGGTAAGGACAGGAGTCTTTGCAAACCGACGCGCTCCACGTGGGTGAGCTACAGGGAAAGGGCTGAGGTACAGTTCAGCTGCAGAGCATGGGTTCACAGTTCACAGGGCCCAGTCCTGTGGCACCTGTGCCATAAGCAAGTCTAATGTATGGGGCGAAAGCAGGGCCCAACACAGTCCAGTACTCTACCCCCAATAGTTAAATATAAAGGACATCTCATACTGTGGACAAGCTTTCATTTTATTTTGTGCCGACCCAACCTGTGACAAGAGCAGTGGGAAGAATGCCAGATGTGAAAGGTATGGTGACTTGGGCGATGTTTTATCGGCTCTTTCCTCTACTTTGAGGCAATGGTCTGAGGCGCAAGAAGGAATGATTACCTGGGGAGTGTTACCAGTGTAAATGTGGACTCAGAAGTTCTAGGGCAGGACGCAGAAATGAAGCACCCTGGAAGAGAGTGCAGACAGACGCACTGGACCTCATCTAAATAACTTTAAACTCCTGGGCTGGGGAGGCAGCTCAGTGGTAAGAACTAGCACTGGAAGGGATCTGCACTCCATCCCCAGTACGGAGAGAAAACAAACACAATGCTAAAGACCTAAGTCTTGGGTTAAATGGCTTGCACCCTGAGCTCTGCTATGCCAGTCTATGCCAATCTCACTGACTAAAGCTCTACCAGGAAGAAGTCTGACTGGCACCTGTTTCTGAAATGTTCGGCAAGCGTCTGCACACGCACGTCACCCCTAGACTGAAGTGTAGTAGGTATGGCCTGTCACTCCTGTAACAAACCAAGTCCACTCAGGGCTTCTCTGGAGGACTAGAGGAACATGTCTCACTTGGAACTCTTAGTGAAATAGGCAGCTTTAAATTTTATTATGTCCTTTTGAAATGCAGTCAGTGGCTTGCAAAGAACAGCACACCATTTTACAAAAGTTCTTTTTAAAATTTGTGTGTGAGCCGGGTGTTGGTGGCGCACGCCTTTAATCCCAGCACTCGGGAGGCAGAGGCAAGCGGATCTCTGAGTTCGAGGCAGGCCAGTCTGGTCTACAGAGCAAGTTCCAAGACAGCCTCCAAAAACAATACAGAGAAACCCTGTCTCGAAAAAAAAAAAATTGTGTGTGATGGGACAGTACACATGCCCTCCCCACTCCAACTGAGGACCAAACCCAGGCCCTTAAGCCCTCTACCACTGAGCTATATCCCCAACCCCAGCTAATTTTTTATATATATTCCCTACTAATCAGCAATTATTGGGTTAATATTTTACAGAGCGGATGCTGTTGGTTTTTATCTATTTAATGTGTAAACCCAAAATCTGTTTTGGTAATTTTAAAGACAACTAACATAGTCCCAGGTAACAGACAAGAAGGTCTCCTGGGCAAAGCACTCTTACTGTTGAGAAGAAACGTTACAGTCACTAGAGTTGCTAGTAGGCCTTTAATCAGCTCCAGTGACTGGGCAATGTGAGCACTCAGCAGTGAGTGACATCAAAGGATGCTCAGCCCTGAGTACTGTTCGCAGAGGGGCAGATGGCACACTCAGCTTCTGGTCAGGGTGGCTCTTCCCTGGAGAGTTCTGCAGATACAGGGACGCCTGCCTCACTTCTCGCCCATCACTCCCTTCCCACTGGTGTTTCCTCCTACTCTGCCCTGCCTTTCTCTTCCTATCAGCACTTTGCCGCCTTTCCCCACGCCAGCATCATTAGTGAGGCACAATCACATCTAAGCCAGGAGTGGTGGCGCATGCCTTTGATCCCAGCAGCTGGGAGGCAGAGGCAGCTGCATCTGAGTTTGAGACAGGCACGGTCTACAGAGTTCCAAGACAGCCACGGCTACCCAGAGAAGCCCTGCCGCAAAAACAAAGGTACAATCTTTTTTTTTTTTTTTTGGTTTTTCGAGACAGGGTTTCTCTGTGGCTTTGGAGGCTGTCCCGGAACTCACTCTGTAGACCAGGCTGGCCTCGAACTCTCAGAGATCCGCCTGCCTCTGCCTCCCAAGTGCTGGGATTAAAGGCGTGCACCACCAACGCCCGGCTCAAAGGTACAATCTTAAGCTAACAGTCTTAAGAAGCCATCTACAAATGTGTAACACTCTTTGCATGGTATTCGCAGTTTAACTTTACACATAAGAACACTTCATCATTGCCCATTCTAAGTATCATCTAAGCATTGCACAAACATAAACCTGGCTTATTTATGAGGAAATGCAGGGATTTTCTGGGCCTATTTCTTTAACGGGGGATAATTCCACAGCTCTTCCAACAGCCTACTGCGGAAGCACCTGACGAGCAGACGGGACCTGTCAGGACCCCAGATACCAGACAGGACAGATCAAGGTGCCCCACTGGGTTTCTTCTGGGCTATGACTTCAGTAATCTACGTTAGTTTGATCCCTGAAGTCCACACGGTGAAGAGAAAAACAACTCCTGAAAGCTGTCCCCCGGCCTCCACTGTGTGCCATGATGTGCACACCTCCGCCCAAAACAATGTTTGTTAAAGCGAGAGTGTGTCTTAGTCACTGTTCTTTTGCCATGAATAGACCCCATGACTAAGGCAACTCTTATAAAAGGAAGCATTCAATTAGGGGCTTGTTTACAGTTTCAGAGGCTTAGCCCATTATCATCATGGCCGGGAGCATGGGGACAAGCAAACAGGCACTGAAGCAGCTGAAAGAGAGAAAGATCCACAAACAGAGAGCAAGAGAAAGACCCTGGGCTTGGCATGGGCTTTTAAAACCTCAAAGCCCACTCCCAGGGACACACTCCCTCCTAATCCTTCTCAAACAGTCCCACTTCCTGGTGACTATGAATTCGAATACATAAGCCTATGCAGGCCATTCTTATTCAAACAACCAAAATAAGGTTAGCCGCAAAAACAAGCTCAGAAGTTAACAGCAGAGGAAGAGTCAAGCCACGTACCCATAAGACAGTGGTCGGCGGCTTCCTGCCAGGCTTGTCCGTTGATGCTGACATTCTCCTGCACAGCCGATTCGAAGGTCTGCAATGCATCCACAGCAGCCATGTCAGCACAAGTGAGTCTAAACCCTGAACTCAAACACTTTAGCAAGACGGTAACGGAATCTCTGTGGAACAGAGTGGAAATAACGAAACACCGAGGAAAAAGATAAAGTCCACGTTAACTACTAGGGGAAGGCTAAATACCCTTCCCACGCAGTAGTGATTGCACTGGCTCTAACAGTAACAACTTATCAGCACCGTCACATAAAAAACAAGAACACGGAGTGGTGAACTGTGAGACTCTAAAGGTATAGGCTCTGCCAAGTGCTCTCCAAAATAGTTATTTCCAGAAGGGGTTCAGACAGATGGGGAATTAATAGAGGGCCTAATAAATCCTATTGTTTGAAGATATTTTTAATGAGCATGCCTCCTGTATCACTTGTATAATTAAAAATAAGCATAAATAATTTATAAGTCATAGTACAGATCCTACACGAGTATCTCACAGGAAGGGCTACGATATAGCTCAGTGGACAACACTTCACGAGCATGAGCAAGCCCCTGCATTCAATTCCCAGTACTAACGGAGAAAAGATTTGATAGCATAAGATTCCTACTCTGCTAAACTCTCAAAGAATACAAACTGTCTTTTAAATACTCACTGCAGCTTCAACCACTTAAGAACATGCTACTACATTATGCAGCGTTACTTAAGAGGTATATCAACATGGTCAAAACTTCTCAACAAACCGTTACTTCCCGTTCTCTTGAAGACCTCACCCAATAGGATATAAGAAGGTAAGCCATACACTCGGGAGGCAGAGGCAGGCAGATCTCTGTGAGTTCGAGGCCAGCCTGGTCTACGAGAGCGAGTTCCAGGACAGACTCCAAAGCTACAGAGAAACCCTGTCTGGAAAACAAAACAAAAACAAACCCCCTAGTGGGATGAGGCCGGGAAGGGGCGGTCCGGTGCGTACCCACTGCGCGTCCCGCAGCGCGAGCTCCCGCACGTCCTCGGGCAGCGCGGCCCCGAGCTCCTGCACGAAGCGCCCGCACAGCTCCATCACTTCCACCACGGCCCTCTTCAAGGTGCAGCGCACTCGGAAGTCCTCTGGGAGAGAGGCGGGTGCCGCGGCCTGGGAATCAGAGGAGGCGCGGGCATCCGGAGCCTGCGCCGGCGCCGCCGTTTCAGGAAGACCCGCCATCTCCCCGGTTTGAATTGAGGCGGCGACGCAGACGCCGGAAATCCAAGGCCTCCCTCCGTGGACCGCCTCTGTATCCGTCCGGCCGGAAACTCGATCCCCCGGTGGCCCGTGGTTCCGCCCGGGCTCCGGTGACCCCTGGAATTCCGCGCCGGCTTCCGGTTGAGAAGCCTGCGGACATGGCTGTGGGTCCCGTGGGTTTGGGGCTAGTGGACTGCCACTGCCATCTGTCCGCCCCGGAGTTTAACAGTGTATGTGAGGCCGAGGACTTGGGGCCCGTGGGAGTCGGGAGGGCCGCGTCCTTTCCCGGAAGTGACCTGCGTGGTCTGTGACCGGTTTCCCTCTGAAGCTCCGGCGTCGCACGGCTTGTTCTTTGTGGTCCTGGGTGGCGGCGAACCTGCCTCCATGAGGGAGGCTCGCGGTCGTGATCTCTTACCTCTCCTGAGATGCGCTGGTCCATCCCAGCCCCCAGCGGAGGTCCCAGTTCTGGACCCGGAGAGAGAAGGGCAAACAAGAATAACGCGGGGCGGGCCCTGCGTGCGGGGGTAGAAATAGTTTTCCTGCTCTGATAGGAAGGCTGAAGCTGGAGGAGCAGCGGGTCTCTGTGTCTTAGGAGCTGACGCGTACGGTGTGAGTGTGCGTTGTTGAGGAACACCGGCCGCTCGTAGGCACCCCGCACTGTATGGAGTTTGGCCTGTCTCAGATAACCAACAGCTGGGAGCGATTAGTAAGATAGACTATTCAGAGAATGGGAAGTCAGGTCAGTGAGGGGTTCGAGCTGCATTGGATGCACACTTTTAACCCATTAAAGTTCTAAGACAGCCCCGTTTTGTAAAAAGAAAAATTCTGAGGACAGATTTGCTGCTGTGTGGCGAAGAGGCGAAGGAGGGAAAGCTAATAAGCCACTTAAGAAGTCTCGGTAAACAGACGGGAGATGGTAGAGGCTAGTGCTGTGGTTACTCCACGAGAACCAGAGTAGATGTACTCAACGTATTTTACAAATAACTCCAGTAATACATGCAAGGGACTTGGATGCGAAGAACAGAGGGAGGAAGGAATCGAACGTGGCTTGGATTTTTAGTTTGTGTTTAAGGTGGTGATGCCCCTTGCTGAGACGAGGGAGGACCAAGTTGTGGGATGGGAGTGGAGAGCCAGGCAGACAGAACCCTAGCAGGGACATGCTGGAGAGTCCAATCTCATCCAAATGGAAACGTTGTGTTGATTTAGGATGTGAGCAGTTGTGGGTTCAGGAGAGACAGAAAACTGAGGTAAGCTGGAGATTCAACTTGCTGTCTAAAGCCACGAGAGGTAGAGAGCCGGCAGGGTGTGACCAAGGGTGCTAAATAAACAAACAAGACAGATGAGGTATCTTACAAGTGCAGAGAGAACAGAAGAGCTTCAAGTCACAAAGGGGACAGTCAGTCAAAGAGGCTGGAGAGTCGCCACCAGTGAGACTGACATTGTAAAAGCAAAGTGTGGGGGGGGGAGGTCTAGAAGCTGTAAGGTTGGGACAGAGCTGTCCTGTGTATTGGGTAGCAGAGATTTCTGCTGTGGTGCAGTGTGTGTCAGGGAACATAAGAGTAAGCAGAAAATGGGTTGATGGAGGCACTTCATTTTCTGTCACAGTAGGTGGCAGAAACACTGTTGTCCTTCCTGGGGCCCCAGCTACTTCTATAAGACCGATGAGCAGTTAATTACTCATTAAAATAAGTGTGGTCCCTTATGTTTGTGGTAGGATCTGGATGGCGTGTTGGAGAAGGCCAAGAAGGTAAGTTAGTTTCTGTTGCTGTCCCCTCACCGTTCATCCCCCTCCTATTTTTAGGTAGTTTAGACGTGCCGTTTGTTTCCATGGTCCATGCCAGCCTCAGAGCTAAGCCCTTACTAAGTTCAGCTCATTATAAGTCTCAACACCTCCTGAGGAAGTTACTTGTCTATAGTCAGACATTCTCCATTTGACAGATTCGGGTTCTAACGTCTAAAGGTTAGTATCGGAGACGTGCCAGAGAATTGACAGAGGTGCGATAATCGGATTTGAAAAGGTCCCCACAGCCACTATAGGAATGGAGCAGTCGGGCTCTCTTCCTAAACTCACATTATTTTGGAGGTCTAGGATATATTACGAAAGTCTTGTGAAACGTTGGGAGTTGTTAGGAGACAGCAAGGGCTGGAGAGATGGCCGACTGGATAAAAGCACTCGCAAGCCTAGTGTTCTGACCCCAGCCCCTGGGGCCACCTCGGAAGGGCAGAACCAGCTCCGGAAAGGCGTCCTCCAACGGCCACGTGCTTGCTGAGGCCTACGTGTGCCCACACGTGCTTATGCACCCGTGTTCCAACGCACGTGTACACATGCAGAGAGAGAACAAATTAAACCTGAAAAATAAAAAAATATAAAATCTTGGAAGTACTTACGAAACTAGTTGCACACTGTCATATGGCCTCTTAATTGACACATGAGCCTAAGGACTTGATTCCTTCCAGAGGCTGTCTCTGTCCAGTGAGTTGAAGCAATGCCTACCTTTGATCAGTGTGAGTTAATGAGGTGACATTTACACTCACTGAATGTAGGGCCTGGAAGAGTAAGCACTCAGTGACACTTGTTTGGATTATACTACTGGAACCTGGCCAAAGAAGAGTAGTAAGATATACTGAAAACTTTAACATTTCCCTTAATTTATATTAAATGTTCATATTGTTTGGAATTCTGTTCTGTTCTTTTCTTTTTTTTTTTTTAGGCTAATGTTATGGCCCTTGTGGCAGTTGCTGAGCATGCAGGAGAGTTTGAAAGGATTATGCAACTTTCAGAAAGGTGGTTGTTTTTCTTCGTGTGTGTGTGGGGGGGGTCACATCTGTGTGCAGGTGTGTGTGTGTGTGTGTGTGGGGGGGGTCACATCTGTGTGCAGGTGTGTATGCGTGGGGGCGTGTGGACACCCAAGGTTCTTTGATGGATCTCCTCTCTGTTGAGGTAAGCTTCCTCACTAAACCCGAGCTCACTGGTTCTGGCTAGTCTGGCTGTCTTGGCTTGCTCCTGGCATCCCGTGCCACACAAGGGCTGAGTTCTAGGAAGCCACCACGCCTTCCCAGCTGGGGGCTGAACTCCAGGCCGTAAGCTGTAGCTGCTGAGCCAGTTCCCCACCTCTGCTGTTGCTTCTAACTAGGATGTAGCTTATGCTGCTGAGGCCCGTCTTGAACTCATGAAGTCAAGCCGTTCTCCCACCTTAGCCTTCCTAGTGCCGAGGCCACGGCATCGACCCTACCGCTGGCTCTAATGGAGATTTTAAAGAGTTGCGAAGAAAGATAATTATGGCCAATTTAAATAATATCAAAGAATTGTTTTTTTAAAGGAACCAGGAGAGCCAGGCATGACAGCACATGCTTTTTTTTTTTTTTTTTTTTTGGTTTTTCAAGACAAGGTTTCTCTGTGGCTTTGGAGGCTGTCCTGGAACTCACCCTGTAGACCAGGCTGGCCTCGAACTCACAGAGATCCGCCTGACAGCACATGCTTTTAACCTGGCACTCAGGAGACTCTCTGTGAGTTTGAGTCCAGTCAGGTCCACATAGTGAGTTTCAGGCCAGCTAAGGCTACATAGTGAGAACCTGTCTCAAGGCAAATGAAAAGATCAAGGAGGAAAAGGCTTATTAATATAGCCCTAAAAGCAGAGTGATTACTTTTTGTTCTTTAGGGAGACACTGTGATCTCCTGGCCTACGGTAACCTTCTTAACCTGTTCTACATTTTTAGGTATGCTGGATTCATCCTGCCATGTCTGGGAGTTCACCCAGTTCAAGAACTTTCACCAGAAAAAGCAAGAAGTGTGACATTAAAGGTAAAAGTCATGTAAAATAAGAGTCATAAAAATGATAGCTGTTGACTCGGTGATCACCTACTGTGGACAGAAGTTTCTGTCCCGCCCCTGTCCTACAGCCGTTCAGTCCCAAGTAAACACACAGAGGCTTACACTAATTAAAAACTGTTTGGCCGATGGCTCAGGCTTCTTACTGGCCAGCTCTCTCTTAATCATTAACCCATTTCTATTAATCTGTGTATCTCCACGTGGTCTTGGCTCACAGGTGATGCCGGGACCTCTTGCTTCCTCAGCAGCTACATGGTGTCTCTCTGACCTAACCTTTCTATATACCTGTTTGCATTTCCCACCTGGCTAAACCATGCCTGCCCATTGGCTGAAATAGCTTTATTCGTCAACCAACAAAAAGCATATATTCACAGTACACAGAAGGACATCTCCCCATCAACCCCCATACGCATTTCTAATTTATATGCTTTGTGATGTGGGATGGAAGCGTCGGGGATTAGACCTAGGTCCTCAGGCATGCTAGGTGAGCATTCCGCCACTGAGCTGTAATCTCGGCTAAGTTTATTATTCTCAGACAGGGTCTCACTGAATTGCCCAGGCTGGCCTTGAACCCGTGATTCTCCTGGCTCAGCCTCCAAATTGTCAGAATTGCAGCTTCTGACTTGTATTCTAAGTTAATAACCCCAAAACAAAGAAACAGCACCTTCTACCAGGTCAGGATTGTACATCTTTCTTCCATATTTTTTAACTGTGTCATGCCGCTTTGTCCATTAAAAACAAAGTGACAGAGGGCTGGGGACAGCTTGGTCAGTAGAGTGTTCACTGCACAGGTGTGGTGCCCCGAGTTTGACCCAGGAGTGACGGCACACACTTGTACCGTCAGTGCGGGGAGGTAGAGACAGGAGGATGCTTGGGGATTCTCAAGACAAGGCAATGGAAAAAGAGCAGGGGGAATTGGAACTGCCACCACCACACATAAACTCACTCACCACTGCTTAGGGAGAAGCAGAGCCATGTGCGTGAGGACCATCCACGCCTTCCCACCCACCCCAGGAACTTCAAATCGGGGTCCCACTCCAGGTTCCCCCAAACCTGTGAGGAAATGCCTCCTAAGCAGAGGGTGGCATCTCCGCAGGCCTGCAGCCAGAACATGTGAGGATGGATGGTCCCCCTCAGATTTCTAGTTAGAGGCGCGGCATGATAGAGACGCTGATCCCTGTGTCATAGGCTGGTTGAATGAATTCAGTAATGGGAAGCGCCAGTGCGGCATGGGGCCTGGCGTGTACTCTGAAATGAGGAACTATTTATTATTCCTGCTCTCAGCATTAACACGTTCTTTTCCTCGCAGGATTTGGATGTAGCTTTGCCAATTATTGAGAAGTACAAGGATCGGTTGTTGGCAATTGGAGAGGTAAACCCGTTTGCTGATCAGATGATGTCTAATCCATATCTCCATGGGACATATGCAGTAATCAGTACTAGTGATTATAACCGACTTGGACAGTTATATTCACCCTTTTCAGCCTGCTAATAACTCAGGACTATTGGGAATGAAGTGGTAGAAAGCCTTACTCTAGACTTATCTAAATGAGAGAAGTTGATGTAATAATATTTCTGAAGACTTGGCTATTGCTTAAGTGTGGCCATTGCTCTGAGACGCTAAAGCAGCCTATAGAGGGAGGGCCAGTGAAACGGTTCGGCAGCCAGGAGCACTTGCCACTGAGCTTGAGACCCGGGGCCACATGGTGGAAAGAGAGAACTGACCCCTGAGAGTTGTCCTCTGGCCTCCTCACGTGCCCTGTGGCATCTGTGTGTGCTCCTCCACCCAGTAAACGTAACTTTAAAAACGACAACTCTGGGCATTGGTGGCACACACCTTTGAGCCCAGCACTGGGGAGGCAAAGACAGGCAGATCTCTGTGAGTTAGGGGCCAGCCTGCTCTACAAAGTAAGTTTGAAGACTATGCAGAGAAACCTTGTCTCAAAAAACAAACGAAAACAAACAACCTTTGTAAGTAACATAAAGGCCTATTTTAATCTTGAGTTTGTGTTTAAAGCCCATGTTACTTAAATCGTTGGTAATGGAAAAGAATTTTTATCACAGTAGAAATCACTGCTTCCTACTAAATATAAAAGATAAGGGAACACATTCTGAATAGGGATCCTAGAATACATGCCCAGGTAGCTTCTGTGGGAGTGGTCGCCTGTAATCGGTGCTGCCCAGTGCAGCGACTGCAGCCACCTAACGCATGCATAACACAGCCATGCAACTTTTGACAGCTGCGTCATGCATGCATTAGGTGGCTGCAGTGACCATGTGTGGCTTTGGAAAACTTGCAGGTGTGTGACATACACAGTGAGTTTTAATAGTTGGGGTACCACACAAGAGGAATATAAAACAAGTTAGAAGTTGGGGTATGTCAAATACACTATTAAAGTTAGTTATATCTACTTTGGCTAATATTTTAATATAGCTAATACCTGTGTGCTGACTGATAGTCTCTTTGGGATCATTACAGATGGAAAAGCAGTTATATTTTGTCTTTCTGTTACAGGTGGGGCTCGACTTCTCCCCCAGATTTGCGGGCACTGATGAAGAGAAGGAGGAGCAAAGACAGGTCCTGATCAAACAGGTCCAATTGGCCAAAAGGCTAAATGTGCCTTTGTAGGTGAACTGTCTTTCTACTCAGACCTACAGAGCAAATAGCGTGACAGCTGGTCCTCTTGGAATGAGTTCCGTCTCTTTCCACCTGGGCTAGTTTTTAAACATTCATTCTTGGTGTGTGTGTTTGCCTGAATGTATGTCCCTGGTCCATGTGTGTGCGTGGGATCCCCTGGGGCTGGAGTTACGCTTATTAACCTGCTGCTGCCGTGTGGGCGCTGGAAACCGAACCTTGCCCTCTGCGTCAGTAGCTGAACCATCTCTCCAGCCCCCTAAATTACTGGTAAAACAACAAAAACAGTATTTTCATATTTAAAAGATTTCAAAGGAATTTTGTTGTTGTTAAACAGAAACGTGCACTCACGCTCAGCGGGAAGACCCACCATCAACCTCTTACGTGAACAAGGTACATGTGTTCCTAGCATTCAGACTTCACAGTCCCAGCCGTGGCTGAAGGAGCCCATGTGTCCCACTTGACTCCTTAAAGAGAAGGGAATGAACCAAGAGTAAAGATAGAAATCTACTAGGGTGGGTTTATATGCCAGGCTAACATTCACAGGTTGTTTTTGTGCAATTATATATTTATCAGGCTCAACTAGAGCAAATGAAAACTTGAAGCTCTAATTTTTTTTATTTTTCTTTATATTTTCTGTTAGATTTATTTATTTATTTTTATTATTTTATGTGTATGTATGTTCACTGCATGTGTGCCAGGAGTCCTCAGAGGCTTGAAGAGGGAGGGCATCAGGTTCCCCGGAACAAAAGTTATAGATAGCTGTGCCATGGGGGTTTTGGGAACCGAACCCAGGTCCTCTGCAAGAGCAGCAGGTGCTCTTGAATATATACTATCTCTCCAGCCCCGGCTCTAATAAGAAAGAGAAAATAAGGCAAGAAGGGCAGTCCCATTGCTCACTGGGTTTCTGTGCATGCTTTCTGTCTTGTCGCTTTGGGGGCCAGATAGTAGAGGAGCTTGTACCCAAGCCTGATGACCCAGTTCAAGTCTCAGATCCCATAAGGCAGCAAGAGAGAAACGAGTCTCTAGAGAGCCATCCTCTGCCGTCTGCCATGGCACCTGAGTGCTCGTGCAAGCACATATATGCAGTGAGCATGTAAGAAGAGGGAATAACAAAGACAGCGGTACTGTGCAGGGCGTGGCTGTCGTGTATCTCAGAGAACAGTCACCGCTCTAGTCTTTCCAGTTTAAAATGCCATCTACAAGAAGAGATACACCTCCGTTTTAGACTCCTATTTGCATAAAAGCCTGTCAGACATATAACAGTACATGTAAATGTGCAGGTGTGTTTAGTCTACAGTTGTTTGTATACAGAAGCATATATTGGTTGATTGTGACTTACTAAATAAATTTTACAACAAATTTGTGATCATATTGAAGATTCACACTCTGAAAAAACATGCTGAAGTAATGGCACTTCCTGCAGTTAGAGGTGTGGTCACTGATGTATTCAGCAGTGAGTGCTAAGCCCTTCGGGAGTCATTGAACACGTGGTTTTTATGCAGGTTGAACAGCTGTCCTTAAGAGCTGCACCTTAGGGCTACAGGGACTGCCAGCTATGAGTAACCATCTGGGCTTGGTCCTCAGCAACACACACACACACAGACACACGCACGCACACACACATGCATGTACACACAGGTATATACACACATGTTTTATGAGCCAGGCAACTTATTTTCCCCCCTCTGAACACTATGTTTATTAAAACTTTAGGAATCTGATCTTTACATCACGGTGATAAATACTGACTTGAAGTTCAGATCTGTTTAATTGGACTAATGGGGAAAGCCTTTGTTACGGGACAAAGTGGAGCTCTGGTTTCTCTTTCATCCGAAGGCGCTGAACAGGTCCTGCTGCACGCATTCGATGGCCGGCCCTCCGTGGCCATGGAAGGAGTAAGAGCAGGCTACTACTTCTCAATCCCACCGTCCATCATAAGAAGTGGACAGGTAAAGCCTTTCACTAACACTCACTAAACACTTCGTATGACACAATTCAGAACCTAAGCTGTGTGACAGACTTGGGCTACTTTAGTTACATTTCAAAAGTTTATCTTAAGTCTCTACCCAAACATATAAAAAACTTAAAAAAGGATCTGAGGCCGGGCGTTGCTGGCACATGCCTTTAATCCCAGCACTCAGGAGGCAGAGACAAGTGGATCTCTGTGAGTTCCAGGACAGCTAGGGCTACATAGAGAAACAAAATAACAACAACAAAAAGAGTCAGAGGACTTGAATTCTGTCCCCAGCACCCGTGTTGGATGGCTCACAACCAACTGTAACTCCCGCCTCAGATAAGCTGACACCCTCTTCTGTGCACACATGTGTGCGTGTGTGTGTGTGTGTGTGTGTGTGTGTGTGTGTAAAATCAATCTTTAAAAAAAGAATGGATCAAGGCCTAAATGTAAGAGCCAATTCTGTTTTGTTTTGTTTTTGTTCTCGTTCTTGTTGTTCAAGACAGGTTTTCTCTGTGTAACAGTCTTGGCTGTCCTGGAACTCTCTGTGTAAACCAGACTGGGCTTGAACTCACAGAGATCCACCTGCCTCTGTCTCTGAGTGCTGGAATTAAAGGCTGGCGCAACCTTCTGGCCCATGAGAGGGATTAAGTAGGTACTTCTCTAAAGAACGTAACACAAATAACCAATTAGAGAAGCTCAGTGTCATTCCCTCAGGAAATGCCACTCCACACCACTGAGTCTGGGAATCTACAAGTGTAGAATTACATCTACCCACTAAGTCTATCTACCCTAGGAAGATAACTCCAAATTGGGGAAAAAGATATCCTACCACACAGTACTGGACATGGATACTCACAGGGGCATGTGCTTAATAGTCAAAAACAGAAACAACCTAGAAGTGTGCCTACTGATGAATGTCAGATAAAATATGGTACATCCATACAACAGAGCATTACTTAGCCATGAAGAGGAATGAGCTACTTAATTACGCCACAACATGAATGAACCTTGAAAACCTATTAGGAGAAAGCAGGTAGACACAAAAGACCACATACTGTGTGATTCTGCTTATATGAAAATGCATAAACTAGGCAAATCTATGGAGACAGAAAGTCGGTTAGTGTTTGCTAGTGATTGGAGGGAAGAATGAGAAATGACCAGTAAGGGACTGGATGATCGAGTCTGTTACAGCTGACGTGTGCGCGCGTGCATGCGTGTGTGTGTGTGTGTGTGTGTGTGTGTGTGTGTGTGTGCATTCACACACATGTATACACTGCAGTACCCAGTATGGAATTCATGCATGCTAGGCCATTGTACTCTCAGCCTGAACCCTATATGATTAAAGGGTTACTGTTATGGCATATGAATTACAGTTCAAAATAGTTACAGGGCTATCTTTAGTAACTTCTCATATTTAATCAGTTTTATGATGCTCATATTCTCACACCCCATGAGATGAGGACACATATTACAATTAGAGATGTCTTCGGTTCTTTGAAGCACTTCTGAATCACAATTCGAAAACTAATGTAGGTGCAGAATTGTGGTACAGCCAAAGAAATGTAAATATCGTCATCAGAACTGTTGATGGTTTTAATTGATTTCTTACTCTTACATGGTTACATTTAGTTCCCTAGAAGCTTTGGGTAATTTTTGCAATTTTAGGCTTTTTTTTTCTTTTAAACAGGGTTTCTTTGTGTAGCCCTGGCTGTCCTGGAACTCTCTCTGTAGACTAGGCTGGCCTCCTCGTGCTCACAGAGATCCACCTGCCTCTGCACCTAGCCCCAAGCCCTGTGCTTGTATTAAAGGCGTGGGCCACCAGGGACAGGCTTACTCCTAGTTTAAAGTGGCCATTTGAAGTAGGATGGTGAGAGCATGGTAGCTATCCAGATGGCACGATGGTTTCGTGGTGAAGATGGTGTTGAGTCCTGCAGGCTAAGACTGGTCCACATGTAAGTTAATGCCATCCCATCCCCTGTGTAAAGCTTGCTCTCTCTTCTCTCCAAGAAGCAGAAACTTGTAAAGCAGCTGCCTCTAAGCTCCATCTGCTTAGAGACAGATTCGCCTGCTCTGGGACCAGAAAGACAGGTAAGCCGATCTCTGGCTTATGCCTTATGCGGTACAGATGTGTCTTTTGTGGGGCTGTTCTGGCTTAGCAGGACTTGCTGTGGTACCCGAATGCTTAGGGTCATGTTCCCTGAAGAGCCTGCCTGCCTGCCTTCCTCTCTCCCTCCCCTCCCTCCATCCCTCACTGTCTCCCTCCCTCCCTGCCTTCCTCCCTCCCTCCCTGTGTCCCCTCCCTCCCTGTCTTCCTGTCTCCCTCCCTCTCCTTTCCTTTTTCTTTTTGTTTTGTTTTGTTTGTTTGTTGTGGTTTGGTTTTTTTCAAGGCTTTCTCTGTGTAACAGTCCTGGCTGTCCTGGCTTTCCTGGCACTCACTCTGTAGACCAGGCTGGCCTCAGACTCACAGAAATCCACCTGCCTCTGCCTTCCAAGTGCTGGGCTTAAAGATGTACACCACCGCCACCCAGCTTCCAGTGCTGGTGTTAAAGCCACCATGCCCAGCTTCATTAGCATTTAGGATATCACCTTTCCTGTGAACAGGATACTGTCTCATAGATGTTAAATGAGACACTCCAGGAAGGGAATGAAACCTTATCTATGGAAAACACTAGGTTTAAGGTATCGTATCCTTTCAGGCCATTCTACCTGTATACAGGCATGCATACACACACACATACACACACACACACATCCTTAAGATAGGATCCACCTGAACACACTGTTTCGCATTTCTGTCAGGGATATATATTATAGATGTACTTTTCCTCAGTGTTTAATAGCCACATAATGTTCCACTGTTAAAACTTCATATTAGGGGCTGGAGAGGTGGCTTTGGGGTTAAGAGCATTGGCTGTTCTTCCAAAGGACCTGGGTTCTATTCCCAGTACCCGCATAATGGGTCACAACCATTTGTAATTCCAGTTCCAGAGAACCCAGTGCCCTCTTCTGGCTTCCACAGACAACAGGCAGGCATGTAGTATACACACAAAATGCTCATGCATGTAAGATAATAAAGTCTCCTCATAGAAAACCTTGGTATTAGTCATAAATATACATACATGTACACAACTGTGTGTCTTAATTTTCTGAGACACAGTTTCATGTGACCAGACTAACCTCAAAGTCAGTATGTAGCCTGGTTAGTCGTTAAGTCGGGATTCTGCCTGCTTCTCCCTCCCAGGTGCTGGGGATGTAGTGAGCCCCCACGCTCGGCCAGTCTGTAATTTAAACACCATGATGAACAAGAAGCCTTCAGCGCGGATCTTTGGCATAGTTCTGATTTTTTTTTTAGCCTGTACTATCAAGGATTTCTTTTTTACTTAGTAATTTTATTCCTCTTAATACTTGGATACCCCAAGTATCCACTTATCAATAATTTCAGGAATGTTTTTCACTGTCTATTTTTGGTTGTGAGCCTAGCCTTTAACAGCTGAGCCATCTCTCCAGCCCTTTCACTAAGTCTAAATGCTATTGATTGCAGAAATAGTTTTGTTGTTGTTGCTTTTTTTTGTCATTAAGACATATCACTGAGTGTGAGCAAAATGCTTATTTATTTTACATGTATTAAAAGTCAGTGAGATGGCAAAGCCTAATTGAGCAGTCTTTGCAGTCCTTGGGGCATTTAAGTCACATGGGCAGGCAGCCTGTGAGGTGAGGCCAAGCAGAGTGCCATGACCTTCCCCAGCACTCACGAACACAAAAACAAACACACACAAAAAACAGGATGGCTAACCCTTCAGACAGGCTGCTTCCCTGGGTTCAGGGTTAGACTGCTTATATGCCGGGTGCTCAGGCTACAGCTGCAGATACCTCTAGGTTCTTTTCTGAGCAGCACAGACCCAGAGTCACACCCTGCCAAGTTCATCCCCCACCCCCTTCTAAAAGGGCATTAATAAAGAAATGTCAGTTCCTTTGGAGTAGAAAAGGAGCTCATCATGCTTGTGTGTGTGTCTTAGCTACAGTCTCCAGGGGTCTGTAGACTCTGAGAATTCAGTTCTGTTCTCTTCCAGACACGGAACGAGCCCTGCAACATTTCCATCTCAGCAGAATTCATTGCCCAAGTGAAAGGGATCTCAGTGGAAGAAGTCCGAGAAGTGACAACACAGAATGCATTGAAACTGTTTCCCAAGCTGCAGTACCTGCTCCAGAAATAGCTTCAAAACCACCACTGCACGGCCAGGTCAGCTCAGGGCAGCACCGGGGAAAACGAGTTATCCTTAATGGTCTGGAATGAAGAAGCCATTTTATATGAACAGCAGTCATAGTTTACAGAAACATTTCTCTTAAAAACAAATTCTGGGCTGCAAAGATGGCTCAGCCACAGGAGCACTCAGTCGCTGCTCTTCCAGAGGACTCCTGCACCCACGCTGGGTGGCTTGGAACTGCCTGCAGCTCCATCCGACTCCAGAAGATGCAACCCCCTCTCTGGCCTCCTCTGTCACCAGCACATACGTGGCATACCCTACACAGACACACATAATAATAATAAAGATAATAATTTCTAAAAACTCTATTAAAAAAAGGAAGTTTGGCTTGGCTACTGAAACGCTGGATTCCAACTGTCAATTAGCGGAGTCCGGGGGCAGACTGGAACACACCACAGACACACTTAGCTTCTGGAGTTATTGCCCACTTGCGGGGAGAAAGCCTCAAGAGACCCCTGGCCCTGCTTTTCCCCACTTAACAAGCTTACAGAAGATGCTCCAGGGATTTTTGTCTTTGAATACTTAATAATTTAGTGTGTGCATGGCAGAGTTCTGTATTCTTCAGATGTGGTGTTCTGTGTACCTCTGGGCATGATGAGCTGACCTGTGTGGGAAGAAGGAACCGGATCGGAGTTGTACGGGGGAGGGCCTTTTCCAGAAGAAACAGCAGTTGTGAGAGCACTGAGATGTCCACTCCCCTCCCCCCTTAAGGAGACAAACTTCACACGGGGCCTAGACTCAGTAATGCCAACTCCCCTTCCTAAGCAGTAGTCCCTGTGCCTCGCGCCCCAGCACCCGGCTAATAAAGACGAACCTTCGGGGAAGTGGGCAGGTCTCTGTGATACAGGACAGAGAAGAGACTGGCCCAGCTTGTCCATACCCCTGTTAATTGGTTCTTGAAACGAGGAAGCCTGTCATCTTTGCTTAAGCCTAAACGTTAGGGCACAATGATTAGGCCCAGGGTAATAGGTTAGAATGGGCCATGGCAGCCACTGTGATTTGTACTGTCTCTGGCATCTCGGGTCACAGCGCCCACGGTAGTGCTCCCCCCTCTCAGACAGCACGGCTCCTCAGAGAACACCGTGAACCTCTAGCTAACAGGCTTCCACGTTCCAGGATCCCTCATCTGGGGGAGTGAGTTTACATCAAAGGGTATTGGTGGACACTCACCCTGCTCCCCACTCCACCCCCACCTCCTGCCTGGAAGTCAGAGCCTGGCTACGGGCTTGTGCTGTGAAACCTCAGAGATAAGCTGAGTCCTCCATTTCTTCCATAGGGGGCTCTATTCCTCTCCTCAGCACCCACCATGCTGTCTAAACTGTCCTCGGAACCTCTGCCATGCTATTGTCTGTCCGTAATCACCCTTTTGTTAATAACGCAACAGACTGTCTCAGTGTCCCCGTGAGCCCCCATCCAAGACCTTTCATTCTAAAAAGACACCTGTATCCCTCCTTTTGGCTGGCTATCAGAATATTAAAACAATAAACCTCAAGGAATTGGAATTTTCCCAGAAATCACAAGCTTATAGAAAATCGACTTCAATTTGGTGCCAGCTGGAGGAGAGACATCTCCCCGGAAGAGGTCAAACAGGTCTGACAGCTTGTCAGCCACCCTAAAGGACAGACCAGAGCTGGACAGAGCTGTGTCAATGGTGGGTGAGACTATGTCTCCACCAGGACAGCTTAGACATACATGTCCCCCTCTGTTTAAATCTGAGCCCCATGCACGTACCCTGATGACAGCCTCTCAATGTGGTCACAGTAAATTGTTTTTTACATTCCTGTCCCCTGCCCCCAATCCCCTGTGAGTCAGGCTGGCCTGAAACTCACTGCATACACCAACCAGGCTGGCCTGGAACTAGCAGACATTTGGCTCTGCCTCCTGAGTGTGGAGATTAAAGGTGTGTGCCACCACCCAGCCTAGGAACAATGTCTGAGGTCCAGACTGCTCCGTACCCAGTCTCGGGCTCACGGAGGAGGAAGAGCCTACAAAGGGGGTCAGGGTGTGAAAGGGTGTTTCCCGTAAAATGCCCAAGAGAAAAGCGCAGATTCTCTGGCCTCTGCTCCTAAGTGGAGTCTCTTCTCGAGGAACAGTGCAGACTCGGGTAAGGGCTTTTATGTCTGAGTCTGCTCACACAGTCCATTCATACTGCGCAATCAACCCAGCCCCTAGATTGACCCAGGCCCTTCTTGTACCGGAAGCCTACATGGAGGGTCCCGGTCTGCTGGTTCTGATTGGCCTCTAGCTCTGCACCCCATCTCTGGGCCCTCGGTGCTGAGAAAGGAAATGGAAGTCTGTGGAGCTTAGGAAGGGTCGGCTGCCCGTGGCCACAGTGACAATGCTGTCACTAATGTTCTTCCCAGAGCGTTGGGGAAGCAGCAGGAATCGTGTGTACATTAGAGGACTCAACTGGGTCTCGGAGGAAGCCAGGGCAGAAAAGAGAAGCCTGTTATCACACGCTGACTGAGGGAACGTCACGGACCGACAGGAAGCACTCCTGAGAGGTGACAGGATAGTGTCTGCTGTTTCAGGTAGGGTCAGCGCCCAGGACACCTGTACTCTGCGTTTCTGGCTTTAGCTTAAGATAGCTGTAGGATACACAGGGAAAAGTAGAAATATTGAATGGGAAGGGCCGAAGGGAAGGCGTTCTGATGGCGGCATTTAAACCACAGCGGGGAGAGAGCCCGGAGACAAAGGCAGGTGCAGAGAACTGCAGCCAGTCCTGCCCACCAACGAGAGGCCGCAACTGTGTATAACCTGGCTTTCGTTGCTCTGCGCCCGCTCCTAAAGAATACTATGCCTTGTCATCTCTAATTGGGCTGCTTAAGGTACAAACTCTAGATCTGGTCTCTTGTTTCTGCCCAGGCAGGGAGCAGAGGCTCTGATAAGCCTCGGTACCAGGCGATCTCAGAGAACAGAGATGAGGTCTCCCTCTGGAGCAGAGGTAGGCCTGGTTACCTCATACGGTGAAGACGAAGTCTCCTTATAGGCAGAGGCTGGGTCGTTCATGCTCGGTGGGGACCCTCAGATGTGCAGCCCAATCCTGTGTGTGTCTACCTGCCAGCTCGGCCTAGCCCGAGGGTCCTGAGGCAGTGGGCTGTGGACAAGAGAATCAGCTAAAGCCTGTGAACCAAGAATGTCATCTCCTTTGTCAATGCCCACGCTCACAAAAGAGGAGGCCACCCTTCAAGGCTCTTGAAGCTAGCTGGGTACTGTTGGGACTCTGCTCTTTTTATTACACGCCCCCAACCTTTTTAGGGACATGGTCCTGAGATGCAGGCCCAGGCTGGCCTGGATTTCACTGTCGTCCTGAGTGCTGAGGTTACAGAAGTTCACCGAGTCACCAGGCCAGTTTCTTTTATTGGCAGCTGTTTCTAAATAATTCACAGACATTGGAGACTGATGGAGGAGAATTTATTTGTGTGTCTCTGGACTTGTACTTTATCCAAATATGGCATTATCTGAAAGATAAAAAAATACATTTATTGGGCTGGTGAGAGGACTCAGCCGTTAAAGGCTAGGCTCACAAGCAAAACATCAAAAAGAAATACTTTTCTGCAATCGATTGCAATTTTTAGAATAACCTGAAGGGCAGAGAGGATCACGACTCTTTCACTTCTTTGTTCTTGTGCTGGGATTAACTGTGGATATTGCACATTTGAGACAGACAGACACACACACACACACACAGAGACAGACAGGCAGACAGAGAGAGAGAGAGAGAGAGAGAGAGAGAGAGAGAGAGAGAGAGAGAGAGAGAGAGAGAGAGAGAGAGAGCGCGGCAGGAAAAGGGCTGTGCCAGGCTCCTGAGGTTGGAGCAGCTCGGCATTGTCCCAGAAGAGGAAGAAAACAATGGAAAGGTCCAGGAGAGCTAAGGAGCCTGGACTGTTGACGGAGAACCGTGTGGCCCAGGGTGGGAATGTGGGCTCTCTCTATCTGAAGCATGGCGGGAAAGCACAGATAAGTTCTGTGTAGCGGGTAACATGCTCTGAACGGCTCACTCGGGCGTCCTGTGAGGTAAACGCAGGAGCAGAAAGGGTGCAAACCGGGTGCCCTCAGGGCCCTGATAAACTTCTCTGATTGAGGTTGGGCCGGTGCGGTGGCAGGTTCAGATTCAGGACTGACGCTGGGAGAGGAATTGACAGACGGCTCGGGTTCACACACTGGACGTGGAGTGTGAGGGCCAGAGTTCCACTTTGGCTACTTTCCCAGGTGACGAAGGCAAGGCTGGTCACAGGGATTTTGTCTCAGCCACACTTAAGCTGCGAGGGAGTGGCAGTGTGGCAGAGTGTGATAGGTAGTTTACATGACTGAAGGTCAGATGAGGGGTCAGAAATTACAAGGTGGGGTCATCAGAAAAGAGGTAAGTGTAGTTCCTCCGGCAGCTGTTGGGACGGGAATGTCCCCACAGGCTCATGCATTCAAACACTGGGTCCCCAGTTGACCATGCTGTTTGGGGACCTCTAGGGGGCGTGGTCTTGCCCGAAGGAGAGGAGCTCTGAGAGGTTAAGGCCTCACTCTCCCGCTCTCTGCCTTGTGCTCCAGGATGTGAGCTCTGGGCACCCTGACCCAGCTGCCATGCCTGCCTGCTGCCCTCCACCCTGACACTGCGAACACTCTCCTCGGGAGCCCTGCCGCAAAATGAGCTCTTCCTTCTACGAGGTGCCTTGGTCATGTGTCCTAGCACAGTGACAGAAAGGGATTCACACAGTCCACAAGCTGCCTGCACGGGGCTCCCGAGAGGACCACAAGGGCTCCTGTTGGCCCCTCACCCTTTCTTTCAACACTCAGGGTAGGAGAGACTGGCTTCCAAAGAGACAGTGCCACTTTGTAGCAAGCGATGCGTGTATAACCTACCAAATTAACACTTCCATCCAACTGCAGTGTCCCAGCTCCTAATTTACCAAAGGATTTTCTCTGCTGGCCTCTGGGCTCCTCCTCTCGTTCTCCTCAGCCGAGAGGAGAGCAGCAGACCTCAAGTTCTGCGCTGGCGAACGGTTGCTTGACTTCTTTTTAGTGGGTTTCTCCAGTTAGGGTCTGTTTTTCCAATAAGCTAACATTTTTATCCCCACCCTATTTCTCAAGTTGGTGGAAACTCAGATAACAGGCAAGGGCTCTCTAAATATGAAATGACTTAATGCTTGGGGGGCAGTGTTATTGGTTTACAGTTTTGACACTATGAGCGTTAGTCGTGGGATTAGATATGTTAGACTCTGTTGTATGAAGCCAGGTATGCTCCCCTAAGAGGTGGACTTTCTCTCCACCATCCAGGTGGTGAGAAATGACATACTGTTGCTCTGAATAAGCCCAGCAGAACCAAGAGCTGTGCTTTTTCTTTTATAATTAGGAATGCCAAAGCATTCATTTTGTAAAGGTGGTTGAGCTTTGTTTGTTTGTTTTTTAAAAAGCAATACAATTGTTACAGATAGCCTCAAACTACAACACAGTGTCTGGGCTTTCTATACCACACTGGACCACTTGACTGTGCCGCTCCCTAAGGACACTGGCCAAATGCAGAGCAATGGCCAGCGTGGGCCGTTCTTTGTGAACTAAATTAATAATGTATTGGCTATATTGAATATAGTTGCACATACGCACTTTCTCCAAATAAATGAGAAAATACTGCCAGTTGCCTGCCTTGATTACAGAACAGATATTCACAATCTATATTTGTAACACTACCAAAACACCCTCCCACCCAACTTCCCTGCAGAGTTTTATTGCCACTTCTTATGGCATTATATATCACATTTGTTATTAAAACCCCATTTTCTTCAGACAACAGAAACTGGTGATACAGGAGGTCTCTGAAGGGAATGCAGCTTTTCTCAAAATGTGGTTGTCAGGCCATCGTAGGTTAAGAACCACCTCAGTCGGCCAGCAGTGGTGTGCACCCCTTTAATCCCAGCGTTCAGGAGACAGAGGCAGGAAGATTTCTATTAGTTCCAGGCCAGCCTGTGAGTTCCTGGACAGGCTCCAAAACACACAAAGAAACCCTGTCTCGGAAAAACAAAAGAAAAGCAAACAAAGCAAAAACACCTTAGTCTGCTGGGAATGCAGACTGCAGGGCCCAGACACCAAACTACTGAATGAACTGGCCTGTGGTGGGGCTGGGGTCCTACAGACGCAAGAGTCTCCGTTCTGTAGTGGGGCTTGCACCAAATAATCTATTTTTGCCTCCAGAGACCCCCCCCCCCCCAGGCAACACCCCCCTTTCAGCCCGGAAATTCCACTGAGTCTCCATGTTTACCCCTCCTACAGGTTGGTGGGCGTTGTCTTACTTTTTGGTGGGAAGTGCCTTCTCTCCTTGTGAACAGAGAGGTCCCGTTCGACCCAGGAGGCCCTGCTGCTCTCAGGAGCGGACGCTCTGACGTGCGTGCTATCTAAGGGCTGGCCGTCCTGGTTGAAGTGCCGCTTCTGGACGCGCAGGAAGCTCACTTGATTGCTCCTCTCCACCAGACAGTGGGACTCTCGCCTCTCGTTTAACTCCTCCAGGAGCTGCTTCCTGCTCACCCTGTTCCTGCTCGCATTGATGTTCTTGTTCACAGACGCCATTTTGTTAGCGCAGCAGCTATCCGCTGACTCTGGATGCCCTGAAAGCACAAGAACTCTGTCACGGACAGGCTCAGCCTGGCTTTTGATTGTATCATTAGCCTCTGGATGGTGTGCGCATGAAAAACAAGTGGGGACAGGATTCCTATTTTGTCAAAAGCCCGTTTTGTAGACCTACCGCAAAAGATAGACGCGCAAAGGTTCACGGAGACCCAAAATTAACCCTTTATATCACTTACAGATTTGAGCCCAACACTCAGCTATAGAATCCAGTAGTGAAACCATGGACTTCTGGTCATTTGGGTCTATGTGCTAGCTTAAACAAGCACACACCTTGTTTAAGTTACTTACCTTCTCCGGGCCCCAGTTTCCTGACAAGTCAGTGCAGAAAGCCAGCTCAGAGCGTCACATAGACTAAATGAGCCAACCACATAAAAAGAGTCTACTGTTGCCCATCCTCAACAAATGGTCCCGTAAGTTATTGGGCACCTTGAAAAAAAAGGTGTATTCTCTCTTACAAGTTAAATGGTGTATCTTGGTCCCCCTAATCACTGCTGTGCTTACATGTGTTGTGATGAATGTTGGTGGGGCCCAGGGAAGCTGGAGCTGCTGGGTCCTTGTTTTAAAAATCATTTGAGATGCTCAGGGGGCCCAAAGCAGAGCACCAGCCAAGTCTGAGGCCCTGGTGAGCACCAGCCTGCACAGGCAACAAGCCTAGAAAGATGGCCCTGTGTGTGACTGGCACAGGAACAGGTCAGTCTCTACGGCCCGTTCTCCTAATTTTACAGTCTTCCGGATGGAGATAAGTGGCGTGTGTAGCCTGTGACATTGAAGATATGAAGCATGAACACGGCAGACTTTATTTGTTGAGTCCGTATAGCTTTCCTATCACTAAAATCCGTAGCCCAGGTCAGTACTGGTGGCTTTCACAGTTCATGGAGGACACTGTAGAGCGACAAGAAGTCTAAGTTTCCTGCTGCCTCACTCCCTGGGTGAGGAGTGTGGCCCCGATACCTTCTTTGCTCAGCTCTCAGACTTTACTTTCTGTGGTCTATTTCGAATCATGTCCTGTACATCTGTGAGGTTTTGTTTCTTTCGGTGTTTAAGATGACCGAGGGAAGGACTGGGATGCTGTCAGGTATTATTACACACACAGGTGTGGCACACCTCGCAGAAGGATTGTTAGATGAGGTTTGTATGGACCTGAGATGCTGGCTGTGAATTAAATTTGACTTCTCAGTATTGATCAAATAAGGTGTCTCCAAACAGAGACAGGTCGCACTGGTGCACACCTATAGTCCCCAGTTACCCAGGAGGCTGAGGCAGGAGAATCATTTGGGCCCAGCAGTTCAGGAGCAGGCTAGACAATATAGTATGATCCCATATCAAAATAACAACAATCTGCAAACATCCACAAAATAAGGCTATACACCAACTGGTTTTCCAAAGTTTATAGGAACTTAATCATCTAGGAGACTGGCATTTGCTAGCTCAGTGTTTACAGTGATTTTATACACTACCAGAATAATGAGAACAGACTATATACAGAGAGAAGTAGTATTACTGTTTCCAAAGGTACATCAGCTATAAATTACCTTTAGCAACACCAACCCGAAGCCTTTGAAATCCACAGTGGGAATCACCCACTGAACCGTGCCTGGGAGATAGAACTTTCTGAGCTCTGTCACCTCAGCTCTGTTGTGTTCTCAGAATTCTGCTTAACAGAGGACGTTTCCCCAGAGACCACGTCCTTACTAACCATGTGTCCTCGGGTAAGCCACCTGACCTGTGCTCACTGTCAGCGTTGTTGTTCTTTGCTGCAGCTCCGCGCGATGAAATGCAATCCACCAAACTCAACAAACCCACATGGCGTTTATTGGCAAAGGGAGCGAAGGGAGGGGTAGGTGTTAGCCGGTCGGGAGCAGAAATGGAAAGAGAACAGGCAGGAGGCGCTTGCTTATAAGGAAAGGGAGTGTGTTAGAACAAGGCTCAGCAGTTGGAGCCCTTAAAACGGAGCTGCCGTTGGCCCGGCGAGGCCCCAGGTCCACATGGCTTCTGCATGCAGAGTCCCTTTGCAGCCACCTAACACATCATGCTTGACGCAGCCATGCAACCTTTGACAGCCTTAGAGCTGTCACCCGTCAAAGATTGAGGAGCAAGGGAAGGCAGCCCGGAGAAGAGGATCCTGGGGCGGGAGAGAGCAGGAGGATCAGAGAGGGCCTGTGACCAGGAAAGTTTCCCTAAGGAGAAGGCACAGGCCCAGGAGAGGGTTGGTGCAGAGTGACAGGCAGGTGCTGAGGAGAAACCACTGGCAGGAGAGGGAGAGGAGTCGGGAGCAGGAACAGGGCCAGGTTGCCCAGGACCTGGGGAAGAGAAGCCAGGATATCAACAAGCGAGACACTAAATCACCTGTAAAATGGGAACAAAGACACTCATTGAGTTGTATGACAGTCGGCAGGGAAGAAACTAGATTATGTAAGGTACACATGGAAAACTGGGCTATGTGTGTGTGCTTCTGTTTGCTGTGTGCCGGATTTCTTGAGTACCCATTCTGTGTGCCTGGTGGCAAATAAGAGCGTACTTCCATGACGAGAAGTGCTAGGGCACTTAAGCCCAGAGTGGTCGCACGAGCCTGAAGTCCCAGCTACACACAGCGACTGAGGAACAAGAATTGATTGAAACCAGGAATTTGGGGCCAACCTGAGTAATGTTATAAGATCTCATCTCCAAAAGAAATACCTTTATATTTTGCACAAGGGACTATTTAGATACTTTTTGTTGGTTTGTTTTTGTTTCTTTAGACAGAGTCTTACTATGTATGTCTGGCTGTCCTGGAACTCACTACGTAGACAAGGCTGGCTTCAAACTTACTAAGATTGCCTGTCTCTGCCTCTGAGTCCTGGGACTCAGATATCTTCCTTCAGAAGAGATCTCCTCCTGCCTTTTGCGAAAATCTTAAGTAATGAATTTCAGAAATATAAAAGTCAGAATTTCTTTTATTTCCTTGCAGGAATTAGTGATGGGGAAAGACTATTGGTGAAAGTTTACACATCAGTTCACTGAAGAAGTATGTGACAGTCAGCAAACATGCGAGATCACCCGAGTCTAGAGAGAACTTGTGGCAACTATGGAGACCAAAGCCGAGTGGTCTGAGGGACGAGAACAGCTTTGTCTTGTTTTGGATGCATCAAAAGATCAAGATCCACTGGTCATAATCTTGGCATTTTCAAACCCAGGGCTAGGATGAATTCTCTCACTTCCAGGGCCCCTACAGGGAGGTTTTTACCTTGTGAGCTTTGGCTTGCTTACCCAGTGATGGGGCTAACCATTATAAGTCTTTGGGATTTGATAACAAATTAAAGTGTCTGATGGAATTAAGTTGAAAAAGGTGTTCAGCATTAGTTTCTCTAAAATATATTTGAGGTTAGGTTACTAATTCAGAAAGTTAGGCATGTTGTGCCCAAATACCATTATTCTACGATGTGATAATTTGTCCTATGAATAGCCTACCCTGGATTATTCGCAAGCAGCAGATTTTCCTTGGCCAGAGGTTATTTCCCCTGCAGGCTCCACTTTAAGGTTGCACTGATGCCCATCCCCCTATGTGTCACTTAAGTCTTAGCTTCATTCTATTCCAGCGTGAACACTGAGCCACACCAGCCCTCTCTCTTTCATCAGAACAAAGGAATGGTGTGCTGGCATCCTCACATTTTCAGGTCTGAGCTTGAGGAATCTGCTATGGTAGCTTATAAACACATATGCTGTCTTCAATGTGGAGCCTTCAGTAACCACAGGTCAAAATTATGTTGTGTGTTTTATTTTCTGCTGAGCACCTGAGCATCTTCTACCCCAAGTTCCACTCGTAGACCATATGTGTTTGACTCTGCTGCTCTCGTCAAGAACGGCAGTGGCTCTTTAGGAGGATGAAGCTGACACTGACGTACAAAAGGCTCACCCAGCTCGGCCCCAGACTATAGTCTTCACCTTGTAGCCATCCCAGTCTCCCAGAGAATCCATCTCTGCTCTCGCTAGCCGGCTTCTCCATCTGTTTGGAGAGCTCTCTGGAGTGATGTCACAAGTCCACCTCTCTGAGACCCACTCTTCCCCGCTCCCCCACCACATTCCTTCCTGAGGCTGCAAAGGCCTTACCGACCTCTCTTCACAATCTCCCTCATGGAAAGAATGTGTGTGTGAGCACGCACACCCATGGCCCGCCACTGCCTGCTCATCACCTGGGAATTGTCCATTCCACTCTGTCTCCATCCCAGAATGGCTGGCTTACTCGGCTGCTCTCTGGACTTCATCCTGTTTTCCCCTTTGCCTAGACCTCTTTGGATTAGGTGACTGACTTGTAGTGGCTGAGCTCCATCTGGCAGTCCCTCTGAACACAGCTTTCAGGGAATACTTATTCTTTCAACTCTACACAAATAGACGCCTTAGGCTCCTCTGGAGATACGCTTTGGCCTGGCCAGCGGTAGGGAAGGAGATGGGAAGTCTGTTTTTGTCTGTCTAATTCCTTCTCCAAGGTTTTACCAGATTAGTTCCAATGTAGTGAACTCTAAAGTGAAGAATAAAGAGGTTGCACAGCTGTTTTAGCACAAAGCTGGCAACGCAGACATCAGCTGCTATAGGCAGGAGAGTGAGCAGTTGATTTACTGTAAAATTCAGCACGTTTTGAATGCCATCTTTGTCATTCTGTATTTTAACTCCTCCCCATAAGACAAGCTCTAAGCAATAAAAACAACAACTAATTCCCGAATAAGGCTGTAGAGGTGGCTCCGGGGTTAGGAAATGCTGCTCTTGCAGAGGACCTGAGTTCAGTTCCCCGAACCTGTATTAGAGATCTCATGACCACCTGAAACTCCAGCTCCTGGGCCTACAACACCCTGATCTGCCATCCTGTCGTGCCTGTACCCATATACAAAACCCATACACAGACATAACTAAAGACACATCTTTTTAAAAATACCTTCACCAATGGGGAAGGGGGTTAGGAAAGAGTGCAAGTTTTGGTCAGTTCAAATGAAGCAGTTAAACTTTGTGAAAGAGCTGGGTGGCGGGGGTGCACGCTTTTAATCCCAGCACTCGGGAGTCAGAGGCAGGTGGTTCTAGGCCAGCCTGGTCTACAGAGCAGATGCCAGGACAACCAGGACTGTTACACAGAGAGACCCTGTCTTGAAAACACACACACACAAAACTGTGAAAGAACATTTTAAAATATTTTAAATGTATTTGCTTATTATCACCATTATTTGTATTTGTGGTTTGGTCATAATGTCATCATTATTATTTGTGTGTGTGAGTGTGTGTTTGATGCACAGGTGGAGGTCAGATGATGACTTTTGTGAGTCACTTTTCTACTTTCACCGTATGGGTTCCCAGGATGGAATTCAGGTCATCAGGCTTGGCAACAAGTGTCTCTGCCCTGCTAAGCCATCTCCCTAGCCTTCAGGAAACACTTATTGTTTTTATATTTATTTACTTTTAATGATTTGTTATTAATTTGTATCTTATGTGCCTTGGAGTTAGACAGTTGTGAGTTGCCATGTAGTTGCTGGGAAACGCAGGACCTCTGGAAAAGCAGCCAGTGCTCTTAACAACTGAGCCATCTCTCTAGCCCCTATTTTGCTGTTTAAAAGTATACATTTTGGCAGGGCAGTGGTGATGCGCGCCTTTATTCCCAGCACTTGGGAGGCAAAGGCAGGTGGATCTCTGACTTCAAGGTCAGCCTGGTCTACAGATGGAGTTCCAGGACATCCAGGGCTGCACAGAGAAACCCTGTCTCAAACCCCACACCTCCCCCCCACCAGAAAAAGAATACATTTGGATCTAAATTCGAACTTACTAAACTTGTAAATTCTACTTTAACTATTTTAGGTGGTAGGATAGTCAGGTTTTCCATGACTGTGGTAAAATGCCTGAGACAATCAGCTTCAAGGTGAAAAGGGTTAGCTTGATGGTTGCAGAGGTTCGGGCCATGTGTCGGCTCCATTACTTTGGAACTGTGATGGGGGTGATGGGGGTTAGGCTATCACGATAAGTCTGTGCAAGCTGGCTATGGAATGACACTGCTTAAGTTTGCCTCTAAATAAGACATTATATTTAAGAATCTCTAGGGGAGCATAGACCACATGCTTAACCCTAATAGAATTAAAATGTTTAGAGGAATGTGAAGTTGGTAGTCACAGAGATGAATGATTCTTGTCGCCTTCACGGTGAGGTTAAACAGGTTCTGAATGGCCGACCCCAGATGTGGTCGGAAGGGTGATGTGTTCTCATCCATCAGTTTGGTTTCATTTCACTGATGACTTCAACTGCTGTAAGCGCACAGAAGAAGAAAAGCAAAAGCACAGGAGGGGGAGCCGTACGATTTTTATTCTTTTATTCTAGGAAGTGGATTCATGCACACGACTAAGCTGTCTCAGCAAGGAGGGGAAAGTGTGCATGGAGGAGGATCTTAAATTCTGGACTTCCCACCTCCTTGTGAAGCAGGATGGCACAGCCAGTGCTGCTCAGGCAGACAGAAAAAGGTTACAGTGGCAGAAAGGTGAATCTATCCATTCCCCATAAGGCAGAATGGGCTGCATGTCTGCCAGCATTGTCTGGCTTGGGCCCGTCCTCTGAGTTTCTTGGACTGTAGGAAACCTTTGCTCAAGAACAGCCACGTCACTTTAACATGAAAAATAAATGGCCCAGAGGCTGATACTGGGGTTCAAACTTCATGCTGAGTATCAGAAAAGCGAAGCAGCTGCCACTAGCTTTCACCTCCAGCTCAGGTTGAAAGGGCTGATCCATGCACGAGCTCTTCAAGTCTCAGACTGTAACCTCTCCTCAGCATGGCTGGAGAATGAATGCCTCATACCAAATCCTTGTCCTGTCTTATATACCTCTTATTGAGTCCTAGGATTGAAGGTGTGAGCTATAATTCTCTTTTAGACTGATTCAGTCTTGTGTAGATTTGGGTGGTCTTGATTCCCAGACACCCGGCTCCCTCTTAATCCTGATTCCTAGGATTAAAGGTGTGTGCTGCCACTTCATAGCTTCTGGCTGCTGGGATGAAAGGTGTGTGCCTTGGCTTCTTAGGCTTGTGGCTGACTTTGCTTTTCTGAATCCCCAGTCAAGCTTTAATAAACCATAAATAAAATATCACTGCGTTGGACCTTGATTCCCAGGTGCTGGTCAGGTTCCAGATGACTAAACTGTTACTATTCAAATCTCTACACGCTATAGCTTAATCTGATCTCAACTCCTGGCCAAGCGATGCTCCCAGTGGTGTCCTTTCCAACAGAGATTAAGGTTCATGTCATATTCTACACCCTAACATAAGGTATAGAGTGTGACTCATGCCTACATTGGTTAATAAGTAATCACCTCAAGACAGAAAAGTCAAGGTTAAAGGAGTTGAACACAATTCCAAAGAGACATTGCTGAGTTTTCTTCTTTCTCTATGCCCAATTCTTTATGGCGCTTTGCTGAAACAGGCATATGAATCTTATCTAATTCTTCCACTAGAAGCATCTTATTTTACTTTGCATACAGCAACAATGTCAGAAGAAATCTCAGACATCACACAGCTCAGTTTTCTGAGGATTCTGTTGAATTCAGGAATCATATCCACAACATACCTGTTCAGACAAGTTTTTAATGCTTGTGGTGGTGGGGGGGTGATGTCAGTAATCATGTAGTTGTCCAGATAAGGAAAATGGTGGTCCATCCAAGTGTTAATTGCCTCTGATGAAAGAAAGGTACCCCTTGTTAGGCAATGGGCTTGTTAGATAAGCCACTGAGTGCTTCATTCGGGAGTACCCTGAAAACACCCACTAGGGATAGCCTCACCATTATAAACTCAGTTTGAAAGTTCTTAGTCTGAACAATTGCACGAAAACCCAAGCAGGCTTAGACAAGCTGGGGTCAACTCTAAATTAATAAAAAGAATAAGATGTGAGAAACACAAAGATATGAGTAGATAATGGTGATAACATTTACTGAATATTAATGTAGGAAGAAGTCAGGCTCTCCTAGAATGTCTGCTATTTACTAATCATTTATTTTTCATGACAATGTCATCAATATTGATTTCATTTTATAGCAGTATATACATGCACGTGTACACACATACACACACACACGAGGAGGATACAGACAGACAGGGGTGGGGGGAGGAGGAGGGAGGAAGGGAGGATGTGAGGAGAGGGAAAGAGGGAGGGAGGGAGGAGGTGAGAAGGAGAGGGAGGGGGAGGGAGGGAGAGAGGAGATTATTCCAAGGCCGTAATAGCCAAAAATGAAGAAGCTAGGATTTACATCCTAGCCTTCCGAGGCTTCACATTTCACCACTACAATAGATTACTTACGAACTAAACTGAGAAAGCCTACCACATACCACGTGGTGTTCAATCTTTTAATCTTCATAATAGTCTCACAGAGGAGTCTGCCATCCTGTTACAGTTATGGAAAGTGTCCAAGGTCACAAGGTCACACAGCTAGTGAAAACTAAAAGTAGAATTTAGTTTTGGAGGCTGTTGGACCAGCCTGGCCTCGAACTCACAGAGATCTGCCTGCCTCCGCCTCCCGAGAGCTGGGATTAAAGGCTTCTGCCACCAACACCAGGCGTAGTGCACACCTTTAATCCCAGCCTTGAGGAGGCAGTGACAGGAGGATCTCTGTGAGTTTGAGGCCAGCCTGGTCTACAGAGCAAGTTTTAGGACAGTCAGGACTATGTAGAAAGACCCTGTCTCAAAAATATATACATAAATACATATGGACTTTGGACTCCCATCCATAAATGAGAGATGCACTCTCAGCCTGGACTCTTGGGGGAGGGTCCAGGCCCTGCCCTGGATGAAATGACAGACTATGAACACCCCCATGAAGGGCCTCACCCTCCCTGGGGAAATGAGGGAATATTGGGGGGGTTGGTGGGAGGGCAAGGGAGGAGGGGAGGGAGAGGGACCTGGAATTGACATGTGAAGTAACCTTGTTTCTAATTTAAATTTAAAAATAATATAAATATATACATACATACATACATACATACATATATACATAAGCCAGGCGGTGGTGGTGCACGCCTTTAATTCCAGCACTCGGGAGGCAGAGGCAGGCAGGATCTTTGAGTTTGAGACTAGCCTAGTCTACAGAGCATGTTCCAGGACAGCCTCCAAAGCTACATAGAGAAACCATGTCTGGAAAAACAAAAAGAAAAAGCAAAACAAATATAGGTGTATATATATATATATAACCCTAATTCTAACCACACACGAGCACACGCACGCACTCGCATGTACATGTATGTACCTGTGTAGCCTGTCTTTAGTTATGATGCCCTTCCCTGCTCCCTGCTCCTACAACCTCCTCATGCATGGTTATAACTCTATAAACAGAACTTTGTTATGGGCGGGGGAAGGCGCATGAGAACAAGAGCAACATACCATCTGTGGAGGGAAATTAAAGCTGATTAGCTGTGCCAGAAACCCAAGCAATGGTCAACCAATCCTATTAATAAGGAGCCCAAACAAGAGACCCCCTTTGTCACGAAGAGGAGGGGCTGTCTATCAGATCTGGTAAGAGAGGGTCTCCAATTCCCTCCAGGTTAGGGGACATTATCTCTGACATACTTGGCAGGCCGGGACTTTTGGAAGGAATCGAGTTCACAAACAATCCAAACGTTTACTTGACTGGGCAACTAAAGAAAGGCACACGGCATTCAATGCCTGGATCCCTTTCTGAATACTTTTGTTTTTTGAGAAGCAGGTTGGGCTGGGACGTAGCTCACCTGGTGGAGTGGCCGCCTGGTATGCACACAGCCCTGGGATTGCTCCTTAATCCTGCAGAACACAGCGACACACGGCTACAACCTCACCACCGAACACGGCGGCACACGGCTACAATCTTGGGAGGCTGAGGCCGCAAGCTCAAGGCCTGTCTAGGCTATACGAGACTCCAAATTAAAAAAAAAAAAACTCAAATAAGTAAAATGTTCAAATGTGGCCTTGCTGTGTTGCCTAGGCTGCCAGGCTACCTTTAAACCTGTGTGGGGTTGTGTGATTCTTCTGCCTTAGTCTACAAATAACTGGGACTACGGGCATGTGCCACGGTGCCCAGCTTCTTTTTGAGCCTTCACAGAGCTTTCCCCGGTACCTGAGATCATTAACGAGATACCGATGAATACTTAAGATAAGTTGTGTTGAGTCTTAAAAACACAACCAACTCTTGTTTTGTTTTGAGACAGGGTTTCTCTGTGTAACAGTCATTGCCATCCTAGAATTAGCTCTGTAGACCAGGATTGGTCTCGAACTCACAGAGATCCACCTGCCTCTGCCTCCGGAGTGCTGCGATTAAAGGTGTGCGCCACCACCACCCCGATAACTCACATTTTTTAAATAAATTCACAAAATAAACTTTTTAAGTGAAGATGAGTTCATCAGATGCCACACTTGTTTATATTTTTCCAGTAGCTGCGTCACGACATACAACGACTTCTCCCTCTGCAGCCCCAAACCGTTAGCAGTTCCTCTATCCCCGGAGGACCAAGGATCAAGGCCCCAGCCCTGCTCAGGTCCTGTGCAGGCAACCGCAGCCCGGGTGAGTTCATCAGTGTCACAGCCAAGGCTTGTCCATAGGCGTGGTGGCGCACACCTTTACTCCCGACTCCCGGGAAGCAGAGACCCGGGCCAGCCGGGGCAGCACAGTGAGACCCTGTCTAGAAAAGAGCGGGGGCGAGTGGGGCGGAGTCTATTTAACGCCTGGTACCCCGCGTTTCCACACGCAGCTTCCCGAAGGCCAGCAGGCCAGGCCGACTCTGTCTGCGGCCCAGGGAGACCCCAAGACTTCCGGAGCTCCGTCGTCATCCGGTGCTGGTCACAGGGGAGGAAGAAGAGGCAGGCAGGGACGGCGCCCTGTCCCGTCATCTTCAGTCCGCTGGCGGGCGGCCTTCGACCGCACAAGGGCCTGCTCCTGCGGAAACCGCCTGGTCCGGCTGCACTGAAGCCCTCCGGGGCGCTCCCCCGCCAGGATAACCCGAGGCTACCCGCGCCCGAGCGGGGAGAACGCCCGCCTGGGGCTCCCCTCACCTCCCCGCGCGCTTGATCCGCCCCTCTTCCCGGCAACTCCCTGATTGGCTGTGTGGACTGCGGAGGCGCGCGGTGATTGGCTGAAGGGCCGTCACCCACCGCGATACGCGACGCCCTGGGGGCGGGGCCTGCCGGCCAGAGCCACATCCCCGGCTGCTCGGAGCGGCGCGCGCAGCTTCGCTTAGCCAGCGGGCCGTGCGGGCGAGCGCTCCGCCCCGGGTGGGAGCGTGGAGCCGGCGGGGAGCCTAGCGGGGCGGCTGGGAGGGGAGCCGGGAGGCATGGCGCGGCCAGACGACGACGACGAGGAGGGGCGGGCCGTGGCGCCCGGGCACCCTCTGGGCAAGGGATACCTTCCGGTGCTGAGAGGCGCCCCGGACGGGGAGGCGCGCGCGGAGCCGCACGGCGGGCCCGAGGCGGAGAACGGAGGCCCGGGGCACGGCCCCTTGGTCGCGGGAGTCCCGGACGGGCCTCAAGCCCTGCTAGCGGCGGAGGAGGAGACCCAGGCCCGGCTGCTGCCGGCAGACGGTGGGGAGGACGAGCCGCTCCCCGCGCGCTCCCCGCGCACGGCGCTGTCGCCGCGGCGCTTCGCGGTGCTGCTCGTCTTCAGCTCGTACTCGCTGGTGAACGCCTTCCACTGGATCCAGTACAGCATCATCAGCAACGTGTTCGAGGGCTTCTACGGCGTGTCGGCGCTGCACATCAACTGGCTGTCCATGGTGTACATGCTGGCCTACGTGCCGCTCATCTTCCCCGCCACCTGGCTGCTGGACACGCGAGGCCTGCGGCTCACGGCGCTGCTGGGCTCCGGCCTCAACTGCCTGGGCTCCTGGGTCAAGTGCGGCAGCGTGCAGCGGCACCTCTTCTGGGTCACCATGCTGGGGCAGAGCCTGTGCTCCGTGGCCCAGGTCTTCATCCTGGGCTTGCCCTCCCGCATCGCCTCGGTGTGGTTTGGACCCAAGGAGGTGTCGACGGCTTGTGCCACCGCGGTGCTGGGCAATCAGGTAAAGACTGGAACGACTAGATGCTGGGATCCTCTTAGGGACGCTGGGAAGCCGTAGGCGGGGCTGGGGGCGACGGTCGGGTCGGTGGGTAGAAAGAGGCGTGAAGGCTGGGCGCCGGCACCACGTGGGGGGAAAAAAAAGCCGGGCTTGGTGGCTCCTGGTTGTGCTCTCAGCCTGCAGTGACAGGTGAGGACGGCTCATGAGAAAGGAAGGGCATCCAAGATTGCCCTCTGGCTCGCCACACACAGGCGCGCACACAGGCACGCACGTAAACTTTGGCAATGAAGGAGATCTCGTAGGTATTTTTGTCACCATTGCAGAAGGAAGGTGTTGAGTTCTGTGAAGTTTGCCTCCATATTGAGTGTCTCTGGGACAGCCCCGATTTAATTGTGTTAGTAGTGAGCCCAGCCTGGTACGTTCCGAGCAGGTGTAAGTGAATGTTCTGTAAATGTCCTGGTGATGAAGACTTAGCAGTTTTGCCGAGTTCGGTTATTAGCTCTTAACAGTCAGGCAGTGGAAGGCAAACCATTGATCATGGAATGGTTAGTGGTTTAGTTAGCCAAGACTCCCTTAAGAAATGACCTTGTTTTCCTCACCAACATAAATTCAAATGCCACTAGAATTCCAGAAGCAGTACTAGACTAAAGGTTTGTTTTTGTATGTGCACACTGGAGCACGATTTATTTATTTAGAAACAGGGTTTCTTTCACTCTGGGGAGCTTGCCTGGAATTCATTGTATGCACCTGACAGGCTTCAAACTCTTGAGAATCCGACTTCAGCTTCCCAAAGACTGGAATGAGCCACCCCCCCACACTATTATGTTTCATTTGTTAATTTCAGGCTAGTTCTCTTATTGTAATTTAAATTCGTAGTAGCCGGCACTTGTAACACCAGTAAAAGTTACCATTGTAAAGGATATTTAGTATTCATTCCGGTGAAGGAAATCTAGTTTAAAAAAAAAATCCATACCCCTTGTTATACATATATTGCTACATGCAACTATGTAAACAGAAAATGCTACTTTCTTACTTCAAGTCTCACTTGGGTCAACATCGTGGTCCAAAATACCCCAAAATATTAAATGTGTGTGCTTATTTGTTACATTTACTTACTTTCTCTAAAAGTGCACAAGAAAGGGTCACTTAAACTATAATTGCTGTGTATTCAAAATAATTTATTACTGATACTTGATTGGGTGTTGCTTTATATTTGGAGAACAGATGTTTTCCTAAGATATTTTTGTTTCTAAATTACATTCAAGATTATTATCCACTCCATATCTACCAAGCATCAATTTTATGGATAGTAAATGGAAACATTTGCTTGTAGGTGGACCTCCCCCAGTCAGCACATTTCTGGCTCCTAAGGCGTTCTCATTCCTTCCTCAGCTCCTGTAACGCTACAGTTGTTCATTATGACAGAATATGCATCTTCAGCTCCGTTTATGGGGTGACCAGGATAATAATATTCAGAAGCATCATACAGTCACTACGAGCTTGGTGCTTGGTTACAGTGATTATGTGTGCATGTGTCATTCATCCTAATGTAAGGTTAGGAACTGTTAGCTTCCTCTCTTGATAGATAAGGGAATGGAAGCTTGAAGGAACAGAATCATTTTCCAAAGGTAAGAGTGTGTCTGGTTCCTGAACTGCAGCCCGCTCTTAAACCTTTCAGGTCTCTAGAGAGAACTTTTGAAATTACGTGTGCTTCAGACTCGCCAGTGATTTCCCGGAGTAGTACTTCAGTGTGAAGTGTCTGGACTGAGAATTACAAAACCCTTATAATGTATCTTTGGTTTCTTAAAACGGTGGCAGACTTGCATTTCCACGAGGACCTTTGCGGAAACATTCCTTCCTATGCCTCCAGTAGTCTCCCTGCTCAGACCCCTTGGCTAATACTTGAGCCCCTCGGCTCTCTTCGGGTTCCTCTTGAAAAGCCAGTAGGTTCCACGTCCACTTACTCAGTCCCTTTCTTACTGCATTATTGAATTTTATCTCTCCATGTTGGGTTTATCGCTGACTCGTGTTTATTATTGATAGAGTTACAAACATACGTGTTTAATGTCCATGACTGTCCATTATTCATTGCTTCCCCCGGGTAACCTTCCACATGTCTTTGTGATTACTCATTTGCTTTCTTTCCTTGAACTTCGTGTGTGTGTGTGTGTGTGTGTGTGTGTGTGTGTGTGTGTGTGTGTATGTGTGTGTGTGTATGTGTGTGTGTATGTGTGTGTGTGTGTGTGTGTGTGTGTCCCCGTCCGTCCATGTATGTGTGCAGGTAGGTGTACATGTAGGAGGGAGGTGGTTGGTGAGTGCACACTTGAAAACCCAATCACCCTGTATTTATTCTTTTGAAGAAGAGTCTCATAAACCTGGAGTTCAGGTTTTTCAGATAGGCTGTCATCCACCAGGCCCTAGAGATCACCCTGCCCCCATCCCCAGGCCTTCGGGTACAGGTGTGCACAGGACCATGCCCAGATAACTCTGTGGGTACTGGGATAAGAACTCTGGTCCTCATGCTTGCACAGCAAGTGCTCTTACCCACTGAGCCATCTTGCCAGCCCCTAATTGCTTTCTATATGTGTAGCACAAATTCTAATCCGTATTAATAAAAACAAAACAAAAAACCTGAGTCCAATATTGGGGGTGGGGAGAGCTGAAAGATCAGAGAAGCAGAGCAGCCAGCCACTAGTTCTTACCCGTACTGAATCCTCAGACCAGAGGGGCGATCCTGTCTCTAGGAACCATCAGACTGACTGCTGCTCAGACTGCACCCATCCCCAGGAATCCTCAGACTGCGTGCTCTCTGTATGAAACCTCAGAGCGCATGAGCTCGTTATACTCCTCTCTCCACCCAGCCATAGCTCTCCAGTCTCCACCTCCCTAGTTCTGGGATTAAAGGCATGTGTTGTGACTCCAAGTGCTGGGATCACTTTTGTGTGAGTTCTGTTTCTCTTTTAGTTGGACCAATTTCGTGTAGCCCAGAGTGGCCTTGAACCAACAGAGATCCGTCTGCTTCTGTCTCCCGAGTGCTGGTGTGTGCCACCACTGCCTGACCTCTATGGCTAACTAGTGTGGCTAGCCTTTGCACTCTGATCTTCAGGCAAGCTTTATTTGTTAAATCAAAAACAAAATAGCACCACATACATGGATTTGTCTATGCTGAATATTTTATATAGGTAAAAGTAAATGTGTATTTTTTGTATGACTTAGTTCTCTGGTTTCACAGCCCATGATACAGTACTATGTTAGTACTTCATTCTTTGATATAGATGAATATACTTGAGGAACATGCCAGATAAAAATTTAGGTTATTTCATGTTTTGGATGTGTGATGAATGGGGTTGCTCTAAGTGTTTGCATATAGTTTGCTTGATTATCTGCTTTTAGTTTGGGGACCTGTATCTACAAGTGAAAATGAAACATCATATTTCAGTTCTGTGTTAAATTTGTGAAGAAATTACCAAATTGTATCCATAGCGGTTATATCATTTTACATTTGTACCAAAAGTCTACACGGATTCCAGTTTCTCCCATTCTTGTGAACACTTCTTTCCTTTTTTTTTTTTTTTTTCTTTTAGTTTTTCAAGACAGGGTTTCTTTGTGTAACAACACTGGCTATCCTGGAATTCACTGTGTAGACCAGGCTGGCCTTGAACTCTCAGAGATCAGGCTGTCTCTGCCTCCCCAGTGCAAGGATTAAAGGCATCACCACCACCACCACCCAGCATGAATCCTTATTTTCTGTTTCTATAATCGTACTCATCCTAGTGAATGTAAGATGGCATATCATTGTAATTTTGATTTGTAGTTCCCCTAACAAGGTGTTGACATTTTTTTTTTACCATATTCTTTTTAGCTGTTTGTGTGTCTTTGGAAAAACGTCTTTTCAAGTCTTTGGCCCATTTAACGTTGGGATTCTTACCTTTTTGAGTTCTTTATTCTGCATGCTAGTTCCTTATCAGATATGATTTGGAAGTATTTTCCCATGTTGTTTTTTTTTTTTTAATCCCTCATCAGATACAGGGGAGAAGTTTGGCAACAGTTTCCTTTAACAATACAGAAGGAGAGTTAACATTAGAATGGATTTTTCAGGGTTTACAGTGCATGTCCATACGTACTATTGTTTTTCTTTATATTCTGTTAGATGCCAACATTAATATGTCCTATTATAGCTGTTAACGGGATTGTTTATTTTACAGCTTGGAGCTGCAGTTGGCTTTTTGTTGCCACCTGTTTTAGTGCCCAACACGCAGAATGACACAGACCTTCTGGCTTATAACATCAACACCATGTTTTACGGGACAGCGTTTATCTCCACGCTTTTATTCTTTTTAACAGTAATTGGTAAGTGAATTGTTCGTCCTGAGGCTCAGATAAACGCATGGCAAACATACGAGAATAACTAACCCTGGACGTTTTGCTGACGGTGTCCCCAGTGCTATTTGTCTTGTTCTTGCCATGCATTGTCTGTCCCAGGTACCGAATGGAACAACTCTAGGGATGCCTATGGTACACTCCATGTTTGTTTTTTAACATTCTAAAGGGTTTGAAGACTAATCAGTCCCATTTACTTTCCCACTAACCCAACTTGGTAAGTGCTCATTTCAAACAAGCTGCCTGGCTCCTCCCCCCCCCCATATTCCTGTGTGTGGTGTGCATCTGACCTAGCCTGCAGCTAGTTCCCGTAGTGCTTTGAAATGACGCAAATAGGCTACCACCTTCCCTTCTGTAGGAAATTGCCCCAGGGATCCCCAGTGTAAGATTAACTGGGTCTGAAATTGCTGACCTGTGGATGACCCTGGGTAGCGCGAGCTGTTCAGAATTTCAAACTGTGGCAACTATCTGCTTGTTAGGCCACTTCATCAAAGCCCGGCCGCCATCACAAGTCCCTGAGTCCTCTCGTCTGGGCCTGTCTTTTGAAGGAGTCAGTCAGAGTCAGCTGCAAGCAGCCATCACCAGCTTGGAAGGAGCTTTGGGAAGGTCTGCTTTTTTTTTTTTTTTTAAGTTTGTTTTTAAGGGAAAGCAATTTTGATTTTAGGGGAGAAGATAGACAATATATTGCTTTTGCTGTAACTGGAGTAGTGCCTGAGTTAGACACTCAGTATCTCTTGGATGGATTTTATTAGGAAAGGAACTATGAAGTTCACAGTCTTTTAATTAACGTTTGTAATTAAACCATGTTATGGTCGGAGGTTTTAGACTTACATACTCAGCTTTTACCTTGCTACAATATTAATGAAGACTTCATGTTTTGTGATCTCCAGATACGAAGTTGCATTTTCAGAAAAATATCTGCCAATTGCCTGGGTAGGTGAGCTGCAGGGTCAGGCATAGGAAAATCAGCCCACATCCGCAGCTCCCCTTGAGATAACGCGTGGAGTGTTCTCGCTCTCTCTCGGTGGCGCCTCAAATATGCCAGGGCATGCGGTTGGCTTCTCAGTCCTCGTCTTTGCAGTTAGCTGGGGAGGGGCACATTTGCGCTGTGCACGCTGCTGAAAGACAAGCTTTCCCTGTACTCACTCAGTATTTTAACAAAGCTTTAATAGAAGTCTGCACTAGTGAGGGAACCTGGATCTGCTTTCCCGGTTGGTGTATTTCACTCACTTGACAAGTAGGAAATACTGCTTCTATACAGGTTAGAGAAATGGATCTTGTATGTACAGTAGGGTTAAGTACAAAATGTCTTTCAGCGTAAATCACAGACTTCCATCTTATTGAATCTCCAGTTAGGCTGAGCTTCTCTTCACAAGGCATGAATAGTTAACTACATAAGACATCTTTATAAAGAGAAAAGGCTGGAGAGGCTGCTCAGCAGCCAAGAGCACTTCCTGCTCTTGCAGAGGACCCAGGTTCTGTTCCCAGCACCCATGTCATCGGGCGGCTCACGGCCCCCTGTGTGATTCCAGCCTGGTGGGGGGGAGGGGTCTGACTTCTTTTTCTGACCTCTGTATGCACTGCATTGACATGAACAGAACCCAACGCACACATACACAAGTAATTAAAAGTTAAAACATTTTTAATTAACTAGTCAATGGAAAGACAGCTCAGTGGTTAGGAGCACTCATGCACTTGTTGCTGTTGTAGAGAACCAGGTTCGGTTCCCAGCATGCACACGTAGCTAGCTGTCTCAACCATTTGTAATTCCAGTTCCAGAGAATCTGACTCCATCTCTGAACTCCATGGACACCAGACACTAATAAAGACATGTAGGAAAATCACTCATACACATAAATATGTCTAAAATAAAAGTAAAATATGTCTAAAATAAAAGTAAAATTTAAAAAATATCTATAGTTAGCCGGGCGTTGGTGGCGCACGCCTTTAATCCTAGCACTCTGGAGGCAGAGACAGGCGGATCTCTGTGAGTTTGAGACCATCCTGGTCTACAGAGCGAGTTCCTGAAGAGCCTCCAAAACAATACAGAGAAACCCTGTCTCGAAAAACCAAAAAAAAAAAAAAAAAAAACCAAATCTATAGTTGAAGTTATTTACATGATATCTATATCTATGTATAATACTATTACAAATAGGTTTTTGAGTTTTCAAAGACAGGAGAAAGAACAATAAAATAAGTATGGTTATTGGTTTATTATCTTTTGTAGTTTGAGAAATTAAAGATTGGGCTATTTATATGTCTAATTAGTGATTGATGTCCTTGTGGCTTATGGGTTAGAAGTGGAAATAGAACTGGAGGTGTAGAAACAATGGAATAAAAGGGGGCCGGTTTCAATTTGTCTTAGTGTCCTACATTTTTAATCTTATACTATGTAGACATAGTATAAAAGCAAACTAAAAATTAATCATGGTGGCATGTACTGTAATCCCAGTACTTGGGAGGTGGAGTCAGGAGGATCAGGAGTCCAAGGTTCTCCTTGACTACCTGAGACCCTGTCTCAAAAAAAAAGAGAGAATATATTGTTATTGTGTGGCAATTGTGACATTAAATAGAAAGGCAACTTGTGTTATCCTCAGATATATTTCCTAAGGAAGAAAACTGAATTTGGAAATTCTTATTTTAAGTGTCTTATTTACTAGAAGAGATGAGCTTACAGCCTACTAAATTCTACTGATAATTAAAACTTCAACCAAATTCATATAATTTATGGCTATACTTAACAGTTTTTAGTAGCATGACAGGTTAAACTTGTATTCATCAGTCTCCCTCAAAGACTTCCTTAAAGGTTCACTTCGTGTGACCTTCCTTGTCCTCAAGGGGTGAGGATGTGGATGGAACCCGCCTGGGAACCCTAGGAACTGACCCTACCCTTCCTCTGAATCTACACTAATTCCTCATTCTTGGAGAATCTGGCCTCCCACATTTGGATGGTAGACGTGCACCAAAACATGGGTGAATGCACACCACATGTTGGTTCTTATTACACCTCAAGATTCTTTACAGCACTGGGCGTTGGTGGCACACGCCTTTAATCCCAGCACTCGGGAGGCAGAGGCAGGTGGATCTCGTGAGTTCGAGCCAGAGCTTCATATAGCAGTGAGTTTTCTTCATGTAGCACTGAGTCTGCCCTTCTGATGGTGTGTCATTGGTAGACACAGAGTACATGTGCCAAGAGATTTTTCATCTCTCTGAAACTAGAGGATGGTACTTACATTCAGAAAATAAATCAGAATGGAGCTAAAGACTGGTGAGGATAGTTTTAAATTTATGTAAATTCTTTAATCCACATTTTGATGTTTTGCTATAGTAAATTAAAACCTTGGGAAGATATTTAAGACTTGCTGGAGACTCACGGCTACACTTACTTATAGTCTGAAACCTTGATTTACTACTGTGAAAGTTTTGTATTACATATGCTAACAAAAAGAAATATCCCCTACCCAACTAGACTACAGAGACTTGCAGGACAGACACGAGGCCTCCTAACAGTGCAAGGATCAGTAGGGAGAAAGGAAGAGGAGGGATTGCAGCAGCTAAAGTTTGTGTCCCCCAGGCTCCGATGTAAGGATGCTGCAAACAAGTTCCTGTGAGTTCTGTCCCTCCCCAACTAGTTCTGAGCTCTGCAATAGAAATGTGCTTAGTTTGGTATTAGTTTACATCGTACTTTTTTCCAACAAAAACCTTAATTTTTTCATTTTTAATCAGCAAATAAAGAAGTGACTCATAGCATTTTGTGGGCGTTAGAAGGATTGTTTCTTCCCCCAGTAACTCTCAGATGTGTCTGTGTATTGGGAACGTCCAGGAATTTCTATGTTTAAAGTCTCATATTCCATCCTGGAGATTCTGCTTATTAAACTTTGTAGAGAGTCTCAAAAATCATTATTAACTTTAAATTTCCAAGCATGAGACCCAACCCACTTCAAACTGAAAATAAAATAGGCCTCTTCCAACCCAGAAGAACTTGCTGTGGAAGGGAGAAAGGAGAAGAGAGAATGATGACGGGAGAAGGGGGAGGGGCTCTGTTGTGAAGGTTCTCTAGAGCAAAGAAGGGAGGAGGCGGGTGGAGGGAAGCAGACATTACAGTCTTTTAGAAAGCATGGCGTCCCTCGTGCTTCTCTTTTACTTATTCTTTATTTTATTTTATTTAACTTTTTACACATGTTACTCCCAGCACCCTCTCCCTCCCCTCCTCACCCGTACCTGTTAATTCTCAATACATTTTTCGTGAATGCTGATGTGTACATCGGGGTCTCTGGTAATAGAGACATGGGAAGGTCACTGAATCCAAGCATTCCTCTCCCCCGAGGGACTGAATTTAGAAGTCAAATCCTGGATATAGTGAACATTGATCTGATTATAAAAATGGAGTAATCAGTGGGCAAAGGTGGTCTTTCAGCTCAAATGAATTAGCCAAATCTCTGAGTTTTACTTCACAGAGCTCAAAGGAAAATGCCAAACTATTCTTCACTTAGAAGTCAGTGAAGATAAAAAACAGCTTCGTCGTCATAAAAGACTTTGACTACTTCCTCGTTACTAAACTAGATTCTCTCCTCTCACTAAGAAAGGAGGTACTTAATCGTGTGTGGTGTGGGTGTAATATACATGTTAGTCATGTATGATCCTTTTCACACATGTTTCCAGTGTTCACGGAAAAGCCTCTGTTACCACCAAGTCAGGCTCAGGCAGCTCTTCGAGACAGCCCTCCTGTGGAGTACTCCTACAAGATTTCCATATGGAACCTGTTCAGAAACATCCCCTTTGTTCTCCTGCTCGTCAGTTATGGTAAGTGCATTGTGTTCATTGGTGACCATGTACATTGATTGAGTGATTGATTGAGCACTATGGATTCTTTTTATTGAAACTAGTGGCTTGAACATTAGTGAGGTTGGTTCATGAACTCCCTAGCATAATTATGAACTTAAGTGTTAAGCTAAAAGCAAAAGTGCCTAAAGGGATTTTTCTTTTATGTTTTTAAAATAGAAAAGAAAAAGAAGTACTATATGCTTTTTTGAGTTCTGGTGGAGTATTACATCTAGAATGTAGAAGTTCTGCTTGCAGATATATTTAGAGAAACCTACCCTTGTGTTTAGGAGTAAAATCTTAATATCAATTGCAGTCTTATTTTAAATATTGAAAACCTTGGGGGAAGGGTGTTAAATGTACATTGATAAGACAACAGGTGCCGGGCGTTGGTGGCGCACGCCTTTAATCCCAGCACTCGGGAGGCAGAGGCAGGCGGATCTCTGTGAGTTTGAGACCAGGCTGGACTACCAAGCGAGTTCCAGGACAGCCTCCAAAGCCACAGAGAAACCCTGTCTCGAAAAAACCAAAAAAAAAAAAAAAAAAAAAAAAAAAGACAACAGGTAACGGCATTGAAATCTATTCACACTATGGACTGTTACGTAGTAGAGAAAACGGGCGGGTGACCCGGAAGAGAAAGTGTCGCCCTGAACCACAAAGCAAACAGCTGAGTGCAAAGACCAAGGCATAGATGAACACTGTTTATAAAGTCTATATGCAGAATAATCCAAATTATTCATGAATACACAGATGGAATTAAAAGCTCCAAGATCAAAATAGGAGTACTTTTGGAAAAGAAAGCATAGAAGTGGGAAAATTAATTTAAAGCAAAGGTGGCACAGTGTTAACATCTGAGAAAGATCACTGATCAGAGTATATTATTCACTGTGGTCTGTGTGTGCTTGAACATTTAACAGTAAAAGAGGATGAAATAATAAGTTTAAATCTCAGCTACGTTACCAATCCAGTGCCTTCAAGGGAGGGCACACCAGCGTCTGAGACCGCACGTGTGATTCCTGATAGCCAGCTGTTTAGATTCTCTGCTGTGTTCTTGTATTCATTTCTGAATTGCCTTGTAAACCTTTGCTTCAAGGGTAAGGTCTCCAAGACAAGCATTCTGTAATGTTGTTAATGATGAGGGGTTTTCCCGTAAGGTGTCGTTTGTTTGTTGTTTAGTGGGGTGTAGTGCTAGCAATCAAACCAGGGGTCTTATGGGGTCTTATGCATACGAGGCAAACCCTGCCACTGAGCCCTGTCTCACTTTTCTTTTCTTTCTTTCTTTTTGGTTTTTCGAGGCAGGGTTTCTCCGTGGCTTTGGAGGCTGTCCTGGAACTAGCTCTTGTAGACCAGGCTGGCCTTGAACTCACAGAGATCCGCCTGCATCTGCCTCCCGAGTGCTGGGATTAAAGGCGTGCGCAACCAACGCCCAGCTCACTTTTCAACACTACTGGCTGTGGCTCATGATGTGTGCACAGTAACCGTAGCTTGAATGGTGCCATATGCAGAGTTGCGTGTTCAGATATGATTTGTGACCCATGTGCCTGAATCAAAACAACGTGTTGTAACAAAATCCTAGTTTCCATTTCTGTTGCTACAACAAAATGCCCAGTATTGGATATTCTATAAAGAAAAGAGGTGTATTTATCTCATATCTTTGGAAAGTTAAGACGAGGTAGTCCCATCTGCTCAGTTGCTGCTGAGGAACCCTTGGGAGCATCATGACAGGGATAAAATACAACTTTGTGCCAAGTAGGCCAGGGCGTTTGGTAGCCTTATAAAGCAGCCTCCTCAGCCAATAACTGACTCACTCCACCAGACCTAAATGAATCTTTCGGGGGAGCCCCTGTGCCTCACCTCTTGAAGGTTCCATCGCTTTTGACCCACCCATGGGGAAGCCCGAGATTCCAGCGTGGATCTCTAGTACACCTGGTGGCAAATCCATCTCTCCTCTTTGTGAAAGGCTACATGGTAGTGTCTACTCTTCTTGGCAGTCTGAGAGCATTACGTATTACACATATTGCATAGCATTCCATATTATTTCATAGAATGATGAACTTATTTCTTTCCTTCATAGGTATTATGACTGGAGCATTTTATTCAGTTTCAACATTATTAAACCAGATGATTTTGACATATTATGAGGTAAGCTTTTTTTTTGTTTTCTGAGACAGAGTTTTTAATGGAACTCATTATATAGACCTGGCTAATCTGGAACTTGAAATGGCTTTCCTGCCTCTGTCTCCCCAGTGCTGGAATTATAGGCACGTGCCACCATGCCTGGCAAGCTTCTGTTTTTAACTTGTATACTTGGCTAAGACTTCGTCTTTAACAGTGTAGTATAATTTGCATTAGGGTCCTTATTGATGCAATAGATTGATGTCTGTGTTTTAAAAGGCAGCATTCCATCCACAACTAAGAGGTGGAAAGAGCTGAAGAAAGCAGACTCAGGAAACAGATGGCAGAACGGGTCTCACGGTTAGAGTAGCGGGGCCAGACCCTGAGTTGCTGGTGTGATGCACCATTCTCATTTGCTCTGGTCCCCTGGCCTTAGTGTGTGAGTGCAACTCAAAAATCACTATCTCCCATGCTTTTTAGTAAGGCAGTTTGTGTGATGAACCTTCATTTGGTTATATGGAAAAGCACAAAACTTGTGAGGAATGTAAGCTTAACCGTCAAGGTTATACTTAAAAGGAGCCGGCACTTTTACTCTGTAAAAGCATTGCCCTTTGCTCTCTGTTTGCACACGTGTAAGTGTTTCCTGAGTCGTAACGAAAAGTAAGTGCAACCACGGAGTACCCAGGAAGTGTTTCCTGTTTTATTTCTTTTATAATCGTCTTTGTTGTTGCTGTTGCTTTAAAATAGAACACCCTCTCCAAAAACACAGCTCTAGCCATGCAGTGAATCTTCCTGTTCTATGCTTAATTTTGTATGATTATTTCCCCTAACCATGTAAATGAATGGGAATATGGGCCGTCAGCTTGAATTAGCAATATCTGATTTTCAAATTGCTTTAGGGAGAAGAGGTTAATGCTGGAAGGATTGGACTAACGCTGGTGGTAGCTGGAATGGTGGGCTCTATTCTTTGTGGCTTATGGCTGGATTACACCAAAACCTACAAGTAAGTTACAGCAGATCTGCGCGGTACGTACGTGAACATGTAGTGATCTTAAGAATGGGTGTCACTAAGCTGGGCGTTGGTGGCGCACGCCTTTAATCCCAGCACTTGGGAGGCAGAGGCAGGCGGATCTCTGTGAGTTCGAGGCCAGCCTGGTCTACAAGAGCTAGTTCCAGGACAGCCTCCAAAGCCACAGAGAAACCCTGTCTCGAAAAACCAAAAAAAAAAAAAAAAAAAAAAAGAATGGGTGTCACTAGGTAGCTCAGGCTGGCCTGGAGCTCAGCCTCCTGCCTCAGTTGCCCAACTGCCAGGGTGACAGCATTGTGCCACCACCAAGTCTGGCTAGGACTGGAGGCAGCGTTTCCTTGATCTACCTCCATGAATACTTTACAAACCTTTGTGGGCTGTTCCCCGCTAAAAAGAGCCCTCCTAAGGAAGCACCAGGTTCCAGACAGACTTTATCTCATCTTTTTAAAACATAAAAAAAGTTCTTTTCTGTGGAAAGATTATTGTTGAGCTAGCTACCTTATCCACAGAGAAGGAGTGGTCTACATTTTTCTCTGTGCCTAGGGAATCAGAAGGAAGCCATTACTAGTTTTGTCTCTGTTTCAGGCAGACTACCCTGATGGTGTACATTTTGTCTTTCATTGGAATGCTTGTATTTACTTTCACGCTGGACCTTCAGTACATCATCGTGGTGTTTGTTACTGGTGGGATCCTGGGGTAAGTCTCAGGTGTGTAGAAGACATAACACCTGCCCCATGATTCTGAAGCAGTATGCAAAAGGCCCTCCAAAAGTCCTTTAGATATTTTGAACTTTAAAGTTCCATTATGTACTTATAAATGTACAATTCCTCAGAATTATTTATTTAGAAAAATGTTTGTCCGGGCAGTAGTGGCACACTTGGGAAGCAGAGGCAGCCAGATCTCTGTGAGTTTGAGGCCACCCTGGTCTGCAGCACAAGTTCCAGGACAGGATCCAAGACTACACAGAGAAACCCTGTCTCAAAAAACCAAAAGTAAAAAGTGTAAAGTGTTTTGGTATGCTGTTGGACAATATAGATGAGCCTTATCAGTCAAAGTGGCTGCCCGTCCTAACCCCCATCTTGTGGTCTTGCTCTCCTAGCTTCTTCATGACTGGTTACCTCCCTCTGGGCTTTGAGTTTGCTGTGGAGATCACTTACCCTGAGTCTGAGGGCACGTCCTCTGGGCTCCTCAATGCAGCCGCACAGGTAATCAATCCTCTTCTTCGTCTTAACCAGAGACAGTTAGCCAGGCCTGCGGGTAGCAGTTCCAAGCACTAGGTAGATAGGGACAGGAACATCAAGAGTCCAAGGCCAGTGTTAGCTATATAGTGTGTTTGAGGCTAGGCTGGCTACGTGAGACTCTGTCTCAAAACAGAGCAAACAAAACCACAAGAAGCAAGGTGATTCCTATGGTCAGGGAGCAGCGAGCGTGGCCTGACTTTGTGGCTTAATATTTCTGATTTTTCAGTGGTTGTTTCTAGAAGTCAAATCTTATAAGGAAGGTCAGTTAAGGAGGGGCCTGTGGGGGAGGGGTGTCCTTGTTTTCAAACAGCAAACTTAACAAAAGTGATTTCACGGATTTTACTTTAGATATTTGGGATTTTGTTCACATTGGCTCAAGGGAAGCTCATGTCAGACTATGGTCCCATGGAAGGAAACATTTTCCTCTGTGCCTGGATGTTCTTAGGCATCGTGCTGACAGGTGAGTGGTGAGTGTGCACCATGCTGTCTTTAAGTTCTGGGCATCGCTGCTCCACAGCGTTGCAAAGCTCTGGAGTTTAGAATGAATAAAAAGATTTCTTCTCAGGATGTGACTCTGTCCTTTCATTTTGGTGATTCCAAATATAATACCATTACTCTGCATGAAAGACAGTACCGGGGCTGGAGAGATGGCTCACCAGACCCCGGTTTAATGCCCGGCACCCAAAGGGTGGCTCAGAGCAGTCTAACTCCAGTTCCAGAGGGTCAGCCGCCCTCTTCTGGCCTCCTTGGTACTGCACAGACATAAACGAGGCTGCGCACCATATACATAAACTAAAAATCATCTTTTCTAAGAGCTTATAGAAATTATATAAATTACTTATCTTGTGTGTAAGTTGTCTTATCCCCTTCCGCCTGGACAGATGGGCATCTTAGACCTCCCTGTCCAGAGCCAAATCCACTGTGCTCCTATTTCTCTGTGTTTTCTATTTTAGTAGCTCCTGCTGTCATCCATTCAACAGCCAAACAAGGGGATTCTGAAGTCACCACTTTTCCTCCATTCCTACATCCCTGTATCACACCTGCACTCATTAGCTGAGAGGCAGCTGGTGAATAAGCCCAGCACAGCACTGAGGCGTCTTCTCAGCTGCAGAGTGCTGTTGGTGTACCAGCATTGCCCACCGTGCGGTACATGTTACAGTAGAAAAGGACACGGTGACCAGTCTGTGGTAACTCTTGGTGCTTCTGTTTCAGCGTTGATCAAGTCTGATCTGAGAAGACACAACGTAAACATGGGGCTTACAAATGGCGATGTTAAAGCTGTAAGTAGCGTTTCAAAGGCTGGCCTCCCCGTGTATAGGGTAAACGGGAAACCATTCTAGTTTAATTGGCAACTTTTTTCTTGAGTCATCAATTGACTGTCTGACTGTTAGACTGTCTGACAGTCAACAATTGGCTGTTAGATAGCATGTCCGGTGTGGTACATCCCTTCAGTGCCGCTTTTTCCACAGGTGCCAGTTGACAGTCTGATAGATCAGAAACCAAAAGTGGTGATGTCCAAGCAGTCAGAATCTTCACTCTGAAGAGAGCAAAGCGCTTGGCCCTCAGCATGGGGATGTGGTGTCGTCCTTGGGGAGCTGTGTGAGTGGTGAGGACGCTTACTTGGAATCTTCACTCTGAAGAGAGCAAAGCGCGTGGCCCTCGGCATGCGGATGTGGTGTCGTCCTTGGGAGCTGTGTGAGTGGTGAGGATGCTTACTTGGAAATTATGGCCTGAACTCTGAATATTATCTTGCTTTATTGTTAATTTAAGCAGCATTTTGCTTGCATCTTGTTAACACTACTGTTCATCTAATGCTGTCCGTTTTCAGTTGTGTGTCGTGTCTATGAAAATTACATTCTTGACATTTTTTCAGGAAGTTTTGTTTTTGTGGGGATCTAGTTCCCATAAGACATGTCAGAGTATGTGCAGTTCACATGTGAGCATGCCCATAAGACATGTAAGAGTATGTGCAGTTCACGTGTGAGCATGCCCATAAGACATGTAAGAGTATGTGCAGTTCACATGTGAGCATGCCCATAAGACATGTAAGAGTATGTGCAGTTCACATGTGAGCATGCCCATAAGACATGTAAGAGTATGTGCAGTTCACATGTGAGCATGCCCATAAGACATGTAAGAGTATGTGCAGTTCACATGTGAGCATGCCCATAAGACATGTAAGAGTATGTGCAGTTCACGTGTGAGCATGCCCATAAGACATGTCAGAGTATGTGCAGTTCACGTGTGAGCATGCCCATAAGACATGTAAGAGTATGTGCAGTTCACGTGTGAGCATGCCCAATGCATTTCCAGTTAGCTGTCATCTTACTGTGCAGACCATGTCAGACAGACATCGCAGTGTGTGTGCCGAATCCCACAGGAAGCGCTGACCCACTCAAGGACGAGGCTGGGATCGGGATTCCCGAGGAGCCCCCAGATTTTCCCACCCTGTGTACCCTTGTTACACAGTGTGCTGTGACACATTCTGTCCTACACAAACAAGAGTTGAATGCACAGATGGGATCTGTTACACTCTGGTTCGCTAAGGAGCTGAGGCCCACGCCGATCGCTCAATTCCCTCTGTGCTGCCTTCATGCAGATAAACGCTTACTCTGTATTTCTCAGTTCGACTTGAAGTAGAATAGTTTTCCGGCCATTGTCAATTTACTCCCTTTCAAGAAAATTATAGCTCGCTCACGGTTTCTTGTATCTCGTCTGCATTTGCTCTGGCACGGCCTAAGATAACAAGTCTCTGATGACTTCAGAGAGCCCGCGTGTCTCCATCGTGCAGACAGCCCTGGAGACACTGACTGCTGTGTTTCCAGGGTCGTTTCTCTTGATGGTTGTCACGTGTTCTGTGAGTGCTGGGGACGGACTCTGTGTCGTCGTCTCTCTTACATGCTCAGGGCGGGGAAAATGGGACCAAGAGTTTTCACAGTGCCTACTGCTGTGTCTTGTTTACAGTGAGAATTAAATGTCATTGATATTTTGACATTTTATGGACAATAATATTTAAATAGTGTAATTTTGTAAATTTTACAAAAAATTTACATAATATCAAAATGCAGGCAGAAAAGCCAGTCATGTAATGAATATGCTTGAAGAAAATACATCTTTGATTTAGGCAAAATATACATTAGTTTATTTTGATATTATTCTCTTTCATCAAATTGCTATAAATTGGAATCTGACACTGGAAAATGTACTAGCAGAATTTAATGTCACTTATATTGGGAATTCTGGTTTTGTGTCCTCGGTGTGTTTCTATCATGGTGACCCTGGACACATCATTTAACCTCTCTGGAAGCATTTTCATGAGCCATGAAATAAATGCTTTCACTTTGATCCAAAACAACGGTTCTCAACCTGTGGGTTGGAACCCCTCTGGGAGTTGAACAACCCTTTCACAGGGATTGCATATCAGATATTTATGTTACGATTTATAGCAGTAGCATAATTACAGTTCTGAAGTAGCAATGAAATAATTTTATGGTTGGGGTCACCACAACCTTAATAAGGAGCCATGTTAAAGCATTAGGAAGGCTGAGAACCCCTGATCTAAAAGATCTTTGGTGGGGCGTTGGTGGCGCACGCCTTTGAGCCCAGCACTTGGGAGGCAGAGGCAGACAGATCTCTGCGACTTCAAGGCCAGCCTGGTCTACAGAGTGAGTTCCAGGAAAACCAGGGCTACACAGAGAAATCCTGTAAGTAAAAACAAATAAAAAAGATCTTTTGGGAGACAGAGGCAGGCGAATCTTTGTGAGTTCGAGACCAGTCTCGTCTACAAGAGCTAGTTCTAGGACAGCCTCCAAAGCTACACAGAGAAACCCTGCCTCGAAAAACCAAAAAAAAAATCTTTTAAAAATAATGTCATTCATTATGGAGTAGACCAAATCACTGTAGCACAGGAACTTAGAAATCTAGCTAGAAAAAAGCTCCATGGGCAATGGAATAAACAATGTGACAGCTCCTGTGTAAACACAGGGAAATTTTAAGTAGCTTTTTAACCTTGGTAGTCAGTCTGTAGTAGTTCAGGAAGAATCTAACTTCTTTTGATGTTTGTGTCAAAGGTTAAAAATGACCAAAAATACAGTCTCCCCTGACTGTTCCTATTTTTAAATTGTTTATAACGATCTCGTATTTGTTGAGTTCCTGAAGCTTTGAACAAATCACAGATGAAAGTTGGAATACTTAATGCGTGAAAAGCCATGTGTGCATTGTTTGTCACTGTTTGGAAAAGGGATAAAGTATGATGTATTAGTGCAAAATGAATTAATGATGTTCTCAGTATTTTAAGTGAAGGTTGTGGATAGATAATATATCAGGTGAGAATTTAATATAACTTTGTGTCATGATTTTATTAGTAGTAATTATCACCTGTGTCAATTTTAGTCAGATGATTTTAGGAACAAAATTACATGTCCTCAGAAGCTGTTGTGTTTGTAGATGTTATGAACAAAGCTTTTGTCTTTTGAGAATGTTGGAGAAATGTCTTGTGTGAAAATGTTTGTGTTAGTAACTGGGACAGCACCTGTGTCTTATGTCTTCATTCCTGTTCTTATTTTTGCTATTTTTATAATTTCCTTATGTGTTTGTTCTTCATTATTTCATACTTGAAATAAATTTATTTTTTTAATGCTACTCTTGTATGTCTTTTAAAAACAAGTTCTGGTACCTAGTATATGTGGGAAGTTAGAAAGTGATTATGTGATTTTAGAGTGAACCACAGGGAAACAAGTGCATGTGATCAGCACTCTGCAGAAAATAAAATATTTACTTAATAATATAAGAGTAGACTGGGAAAGTGGTTCAGCACCGAGGATGTGTGTGGCCCTCACAGAGGACATGAGTTTTGTTCCTAGCATCCGCATCAGGCAGCTCACAGCGGTTCCAGGGATCCAGCACCCTCTTGTGGCCTCTACGGGCAACTGCATGTGCGTGTGCACAATGTACATAATAAAAACAAATCTAACAAAGACCCAGCAAGGACGACGTCAGCAAGACCGCCGAGCACTATTCTCAGAGTGTCATTTCTCTCACTCCTCACGCGCTTTTGCTGGGGAGCCAGAAATCCAGTGAAGCGGTTTCAGCACAGCATACACGTTGCCCTTACCCAGAGTGGCACACCATGGTGCCAAGAAAGACTCCATCAGAGGGCACAGAGCAGACATTCACTCCATCAGCTTTGTAGAAAGCTGGGCTGTCTAGCCGGCCCAACCAGGATGATGAGGTCATTGGTACAGCTGAATGTTGGAGAAGAAAGACCAGGGAGCCTTCTGCCCACTCCAGACTCCATCAGGAAGCCACTCGGGATGCCTCGCCTGTGGACTCTGGGCACCCCATTACTGTGTATGCCATACCCTTGATCAGTCAGGCTGGCTCCCCAGTCCTGTCCACACGAATAGTGACTACAAGTATCTCGGGCAGATAGTGGCTCAACTTGGCAGTGCCAGAAGGCACCCAGACGAGGGGGAGCAAACAGGGAGCTCTGGACACCCAGCCTGGCTTTTCAGAATGGAGAGCAGATGTGAGCAGGTACGTCCACAGCAAGTGTCGGAGGCTCAGCGTCCCTGGCCAGCCTAATCTGTAAGTTCTCTCCTTAAAGGTAGTCAGTATAGCCAGCAGGAGGAGCCGGAAACATGTCAGCGAGTAAGACGCCCTGCCTCCAAGCCCGACAACCCGAGACTGATCCCGGGATCCAGGTCACAGGAGAGAACTGACTCACCCAAGTTATACCCCGACTGCCACACGTGGCCTGTAGCACGTGTGAATCAGCATGTGTGTGCACACACACACACTTTAAAAAATTAATCTAGATGGCTCGCTTACCGGAGTCTTCCTGACTGGGCATAAAATAAATAAATAAATAAAAATAAAAAAATAAAAATAAAAAATAATAAAAAAATTAATCTAGAGGAGGTGTAGTTTCTTATACAGCAGTGAAAGACTTGAAACAAACGAAGCTGGGGTGTGTGATAGCGCGTGTCGACCTGCCCAGCATTCGAGAGGCAGGAAGACCAAGTTTCAGAGGCATCTTCAACTTTGTAGTGAGTTTGAGGCCAGCCTGGGCTACATGAGACCCTGTCTCAAAAAGTTTGTTTATTTTAGATAAAATTTAAAGCAAACCAAGGAAACATGGAAACATGATGCCGCAAAAGAAAACAATAATAATCCAGTAACAAAGTCCAAAGAAACTGAGTTTATAAACTTCCTTGCGAGGAATTTATAACTGTTTATTTTGCAGTGCTGGGATCAAATCCAAGGAAAAAAAAAAAAGCCATTGTTCTAAGTAAACTCAGTGTTGCGGTTTGAATGAGAAACAGCCACCATAGACTCGTTGGTATACTTGAACACTTTGTCCTCAGTTGCTGGTGCTATGTGGACGTTATGGAAGCTTCTGGAGTAGAGGCTTTCTGGAGGAGGTATGTCACTGGGTTAAGGGCTGATAGTGGACCCACTTTCTGTGCTGTGTGTGTAGATGAAAATGATCAGCCAGCTTCCCATGGCTGCTGCCATGTCCTCCCTCATGGTGCCTTTCCCACCACGACAACCCTACACCCCATGGTACTGTAAGCCTCCGAATACCGTGAGCCCAGCGTACCCGACTGTGCGAATATAATAAACCGTGAAGCTGAGGAGTGCAAACAGCAGAGGCTCAGCTCCTGAGATCCAGAGGGGAACGAGAACTTTCCTAGGACTTAGGCTAGAGGCTGCATTGTACCTGTAACCTGAGAATTTGCCTAAGGCTAAATAAAAGACACTTAAAAAAAAAAGGCATGAATTAGGAGGGGTCAGGTGTAGGAGAATCTGGAAGGCATTGGGGAAGAACGAAATAGTGAATATGCCAAAGTACATGAAATTCTCAGC